GAACTAGGTAGCGAACTTTGCCCCGGGATGTGAGCGGAAATCGCGCGCCGGTATTGCGGTGGCAGCGGGAGGCCCCATTAGCGAAAGCGCGCCTCAGGTTAAGATAAGGTTACCAGATTTTTTCCAATGAATCCGGGGACAGTTTTCCACTTCAGTAGGAATGATAGGATTTTTGTCAGGGGACTGGTTTGTAAATCCGGGGACTGTCCTTGGGGAAACGGGGATGTCTGGTAACCTTAGGTTAAGAACAGTTTCAGGTTAAGAACGGACCTCCGGAACGAATTAAGTGCATAACCAGAGGTACCACTGTACTTTTTGGGGGTACATTTTCCATGTATTGAGGTCCCAAAATTTGTTTTGCTTTAATCAAAGTCTCAGAACAGTGGATCCATTATATGAGTTAATGCATCAGGCAATACTCAACTTTTAAATCACTTTTTAGATTTCAAATGAGGATTTGTGCACTCTCGTAGAGAGGATAATTTTTTTTTAAAAAAAAGTTAAATTCAACAGGCATTCAGGATTTTACAATGCTGCACAGGAATTCCTCCTGGAGAAATCACTTTTGGTAATGTGGGGGAAATTTTGTTGTAGATCCTACTCAGTGCTTTCCCCCCATAAAATATATGTTTAGGGGTACTCTCATTTTGACTCACGAAAATCATGATTTTATAGTTCAAACCGGGGGAAATAAATACAGTAAATGGACAAAATTACAAAGATTCACAAAATGTTTAGGGGTATGCGTCCCCCTTTGTCCCCCAGGAAAAAAAAGCACTGGTCCTACATGTCTACAGCTATTTCCCTTGTCGACAAAATCATGATCCAGAGTACATCACACATACCAACAACATCACACATACCATCTCGGGACTATTTAATTGCTCATCGTCTAACATTGTGTATGCCATCAAATGCCAACAGTGTCCTTCAGCTCTCTATATTGGACAACAGGCCAAACCTTACGCCAAAGAATAAACGGACATAAATCTGACATCAAGAATCACAAAACAGAGAAACCAGTAGGAGAACACTTCAATCTCCCAGGACATTCTATACAAGATCTCAAAGTAGCTGTTTTACTACAAAGGAATTTCAGAAATAGACTGGAAAGAGAAGCTGCTGAATTGCAACTCATTACCAAACTTAAAACCATGGAGAGACCTGGTCTGAACAAAGACATTGGATTCTTATCTCATTATACATGACTAAGCCATTTCTCACCTTCTCACCCCTTGCCTTTTCCTGTAAGACCTATTGCAGTCGTTAAGAGTCGTCAACAGGCTCATCTCAGCTATCTGCCAATCTCCCATTCCCACCACCCTTCTGAGTAATACCCCTCCCCACCTTCTCACTATATAGAAGGGTCTGGCAACTTCTGTTTCAGTGTATCTGAAGAAGTGTGCATGCACACGAAAGCTCATACCAAGAACTAACTTAGTTGGTCTTTAAGGTGCTACTGGAAGGAATTTTTTTATTATGATCCAGAGTGATTTCCTACCTTGTACTCCTGGGAAGCCTCCTCCAGAGGAATCACCTTGTGGCTTTCATGTTCCTTGGATCTGTCACACACCAGACAGATGGGCCTTTTGTGGTCCTTGCAGAAGAGTTTCAGGGGCTCCTGGTGTGTCTCACACCTTCTCTCCTTTCCTCCTACCGTTTCCCAGCCCTGAAGACTGAGTTCTTTGGCTCTCAGCGTTTCCAAAACAGTTGCCAGTGGCTGATTCGGGATGAGGTTCCTCTGCTTAATTTGTTCTCTGCACTGGGGGCAGGAAGCCTCCGCCTCAGATTTCTCCCACCACTGGCTCAGGCAGGATCTGCAGAAATTGTGCCCACACTCCGGGATGATGACTGGATCCTGGAAATACTCTAGGCAGATGGAACAAATGGCTTCGTCACAGAGATCCTGCGCCGGACTCCCTGCCATGGCTGCCTCGCCAGGAAGAGAGAGATGGTTTTGTTTTCTCTCTTTTGCGCCTGCGAATGGGCGTGTTTCCTTTCCAGGAGATTCAGACCCGATGGCTCAAAGATCACTGCTCTCTGAAGTGGGGGGGTTTAAACCGGGACACAGAGATGAGAATTCAGATGAGGTTATTTCAATCTCTGCTGTGGATTCAGCTGTGACACAGTGTCTCTTTGACATGGGAATGTTTTGTTTTTTTAAAAATAAAGAATGTGAATAATTTGTTGCTGCTAAGTTAAGGAACCATTTTCCTCTGAAAGGTGGAGATACGGGAGAGTTTCTCCTTCGAAAGCTAGTGATTGAATAACTCAAACTCACGTGCTTTTTTCCAGCATCAGGGCACAATGTTCAAAGTCCAAAAGCAACATAGCCCAACCTCCCACTGCTCTGCACATTCCCACTGCGCAATTTGACACCCATTCACAACCACAGAGAACATGTGAAGGAAACTGGGGGGTTTTTAAGCTGCTCCAAAGCTCCAGCTCCTTCCCAGTCCTATCCTTCCTCTGGTCCCATCGCCAGCCTGTCCATTCTCTCAGATGGATTTTTAAAACTTTAAAAAATATTTTTTTACAAGCTGTCCCAGAAGGCTGAGCTAACTCACGGCCAGCATTTGTTTTTTGGGGGGAGGTGGGGTGCAGAAGAATGTTCTCTCCCTCCCTACTTGTAATATTTTAGATACTGCTAAAGTTATTATTGTTGGTGGTTGATCAATATTCCTAATAAAAATATACAGTGGTACCTCAGGTTACATACGCTTCAGGTTACATACGCTACAGGTTACAGACTCCGCTAACCCAGAAATAGTGCTTCAGGTTAAGAACTTTGCTTCAGGATGAGAACAGAAATCGGGCTCTGGCGGCGCGGCAGCAGCAGGAGGCCCCATTAGCTAAAGTGGTGCTTCAGGTTAAGAACAGTTTCAGGTTAAGTATGCACCTCTGGAACGAATTATGTACTTAGCCTGAGGTACCACTGTATTACAAATAGATTATGTTGTTCAGTGTTGATGCTTTACAAATTTCATTTGATCCAAGTGAGGATTTTATTTTCCCTTAATTTGGGTATATTTTTAAGTGTAGAAATGAAGCGAAAACAATTAAGGCCATTATAAATCCACCAGAAACTGCATTGAGACTCAGATTCTAGATCCTTATAGATTCTGTTTCCTTTTGCAGAAGGGTCCAGAGCTTAAGAAAGGGCTGAGGTGTCCCTGGGGAGACTTCTGAAAGCTTTTGGAGGTGGGATATCCTCAGACCATGCGGGAAAAGTTCTGGGAGGACACACAAAAAGTAGTGGGGGAGCAGTTTCTCTCCATGTAGACATGGTTTTACTTATATCCATTAAGCTTATGTTAATCATTAAGATAGGTGTTATCTGCACAGGCCCTGTGGCAGCAGCAGGTCAGGTCGGAGGGGAAGTGTTTCTGGGGCTGCCAGAAAAACAACATCATGCTATGAGGAACCTCCTGGTGCAGAGGCAGTCTACCTCTGAATAAGCTGAAGCTGTGGAGGCGAACAACAGGAAAGGGCTTTGGGTCTCAAACCCTCCTTTAAGAGGGCGTGCAAGTCAGTGGCCACCACCACAGGAAGTGCTGCGTGAAGAGGAGAATCACCAAAACCTGTGAGCTAATCATTTTCGTCTATCTATAAAAACATAGGCACTCCTATGTCTACCCATTAAGTTCAAAGGGACTTACTCCCAGAGAGGTGGGCCCAGGGCTGTAGCTTTAATTTTGAGACTCCTTAAGGGGAGTGAAAGGCGGGATATCAAGTCCAAACTCTTCTCCTCTTCTTTTTCTTCTTCTTCTTTCTCTTTGCTCCATAGATCTCAAAAGGGATTAGAAAGACATGCTGCCTTCACTTCCTCTTCCCATTTGAGAATCACCATTTGGGTGGCAGAAATGTGGAAATGAAGTGTCTCCCCATATCATCCAGCGCCGAGGGCCTTCTGGCGGTTTCCCTCGCTGCGAGAAGCCAAGTTACAGGGAACCAGGCAGAGGGCCTTCTCGGTAGTGGCACCCGCCCTCCCATCAGATATCAAAGAGAAAAACAACTACCAAACTTTTAGAAGACATCTGAAGGCAGCCCTGTTTAGGGAAGCTTTTAAAGTTTAATAGGTTATTGTATTTTAGTGTTTTGTTGGAAGCTGCCCAGAGTGGCTGGGGAAACCCAGCCAGATGGGCGGGGTATAAATAATAAATTATGATGATGATGATGATGATGTGTGACACCCCCATCCGCTTGACATGAATTGAAATGTTTAAGTAACAAACTGGGGGACAGTGGCAGCCCTATTGCTGTGGGGATCAGATGGGATATCAGTCACCCTGTTTATATCCTTGCAGGAAGTGTCATGTGGGATAGATGGGGCCATTATACTATTAAGCCTGAAATAACAAAGGAGCAAATAGTAATAATAATAATAATAATAAATTTTATTTATATCCCGCCCTCCCCAGCCGAAGCTGGGCTCAGGGCGGCTAACAACAATCAAATAACCAATAGTTGAATAATCACACATTCTAAAATATTTCATTATAAAAATTAAAAAAAATTAATTAAAATCAGATTGATGGCAACCAAAGTACTGTGCAGGTTGCCGGAGGAGGGGGTCAGGCTGCGCCCTGACCAAAGGCCTGGTGGAACAACTCTGTCTTGCAGGCCCTGCGGAAAGATGTCAGGTCCCGCAGGGCCCTAGTCTCTTGTGACAGAGCATTCCACCAGATTGGAGCCGCAGCCGAGAAGGCCCTGGCTCTAGTTAAGGCCAGCCTAACCTCTCTGAGGCCTGGGACCTTGAGGATGTTTTATTTACAGACCGTAGGTTTCTCTGTGGGGCATACCAGGAGAGGCGGTCCCGTAGGTACGAGGGTCCTAGGCCGTATAGGGCTTTAAAGGTTAAAACCAGCACCTTAAACTTGATCCTATACTCCACCGGGAGCCAGTGCAGGTGGTATAGCACCGGGTGAATGTGATCTCGCAGCGAGGACCCCGTAAGGAGTCTCGCTGCGGCATTCTGTACCCGCTGGAGTTTCTGGGTCAGTAGCCGTATCTTTAATAAAATCAAAGATGTTAACACATGAAACATATTTCCACATTAGTTCAGGCATGTTACACGGCCCCTTCTGACAGTGTCCCACCCCGCAGTCTCCCCCTTCTTTCTATTTTTTGTTTGTTTCAACAAAGTGCCCAAGGCTGTTAATACATAAGTGAGTCACACGCAAATTTTGGATCTCTTTGAATAGGGAGATTTTGCCGAATCGCCACATAAATTGAAGGAAAGGGATTTTGATTGAGACGACTGAAATGTCATCATGGCGATGAGTTGTTGGGGTGAGGGTGAGCTTTCATTCTTTCCAGAGCTAACTGAATGATCTTGAAGATTCCAGAAGATTCCGAAAACTGCTAGAAGCTGTCAGAAAGATGGATGTTTATCTTTCGTCAAGGCCGCATCTGTGAGAGGAGCTGCTTCTGTTCTTACAGCAGCTGTATGAAAAGTGTGTTTAGTATGCATTTATCTGGCAAGCTGACAGAGAGGGAAGAGCAGGGCATTGTGGGTCACAAAAAGCAAAGTCTGGAAAACTCTAAGGAAGAAACTCTTAGTCAGACGAACTCTGTAAATGGGAGCCATTAAGCTTTTATGACCCGGTAGTGAAATATTACTGTCTGTACTTAATTGTCTCTGTGAGTTATTGCCTTCGTTGTCTGGGTCAAAGCTCTTGAAGCGGTTTGATGTTGCGCATCGCTCTGCTGATTTATGATTGCTGGCACGGAAAAGCGGCGAACTGAGAAGCTAGTCTGTCTCTACACTCTACACTCAAGAGATTTTCAGGTGGCCTTTGGCAGCCACATAAAAGAAGGGCTGGAGGGTCTCTCCTGAGAAGGAGGCTGCCGAGAATGAGTGGAGGAGGACTGCTGTATCTGCATCGTAAAAGGACACCCGTCCCCCTTCACAGTTCAGGGTCACTCGGATCCACTTGGGCTCCTCTCTTGGAACAAAGTTCTGATACCCACCGCCCCACTTCCCCAAACACCAGATGCCTTTCCCATTACCAAAAGAGAAAAGACCCTTCCTCTTCACAGACTTTCTGGCCACCCCCACCCCCCATTCCTCCCCTCTTCTCACAACGACTTCCCAGAAATGTCGGCCTGATGTGAAACCCTCACATCCCAGCACATAGGTATATCTGTCAAATCTCTCAGGGTTGTCTGACAGGTCTTGACGCACTTCTCCCTCTCTCACGCTCTTTCGATCCTCAGACAGGATGAGACAGGGATTTGCTGTGTCTGGATCCAAAGTTATGTTTTCTGTGGGGGCAGATGAGGAAAGAGAAGAGAAACGATGTCAACGGGGAAGCTGACTTTTCTTTAAGCACGACAGAAAGAGCATCCTCTCTGAAATGAACAGGGACTCCAGGGCTCTGCATTCGAGACAGGGATGTTCATCAAGTTCTTAATAACGATTCTTGAAACATTTGCAGTTCTTTCAAGTACTTAGCACACATTATCTACATATAACCCTTGCAACGACCCTGTGAGTTAAGTCAATCTTAGGATGCCCATTTTTCAGATGGGAGGACTGAGGCTGAGAGACAGTGGCTTGTCTAAGGCCACCCCCACCACCTACAGTTCATGGCAGAAGGGAGTCAAAGCAGGGACTCTCATTCACACCACATGACAGACTATGCTTGACATGCCAGGTGGAACTGGCAGCAGGTGCTCTCAAGTTTCAGTTACATATTTAAAGCATGTTATGCCCCATCTTTCCAGGTAGTTTATAAAAAGAACAATACATAAAAATCTTTTTCTGTCCTCTGACTGATACTCCCTGTCTAAAATGTCCTGCTTGGAATTATTGATGTGAGCGGTCAACCAAGAACAAACTTAAAGTAATTTCGTTGTCCCCGAAGGGGGCAATGACAATAAAGATATTATTATTATTATTATTATTATTATTATTATTATTATTATTATTATTAAATTGGTTTGTTTAGAGTGAAGCAGAAAATTGATAGTTCTGTCTTTTAAATTGACATCTGTTACATTGTTGATATTGTTTCCTTTTGCTATGACTTGTTTTAATGCAACCCCCCTTGGGCTGCCAGGATAAAGGGAGAGATACAGTAGAAGTCTCTTTAACTACATTGGACGCTCGGGTTGTGAACGTGATCGTGCGGGAGGTACATTCGCAACCTGCAGCGTTCGCAACCTGCAGCACAGCGTTTGTGCACGTGTTGGTTGCGATTTGGCACTTCCGCGCATGCGCAAAGCGCGATTTAGTGGTTCCGGTACTTTTGGGTTCGGCGCAGTGTGCAACCCGAAAATGCACAACCTCAAGCATCTGTAACCCGAGGTATGACTGTATTTAAATTACTTTATTAAAGCCAAACCCGGTAACACCTGGGAAGTGCCGTTCCCACCCTCACCTTCAATGCAAAAACGCCATCCTGGCTCCCCACACCAGATAGGCTATATGACTCATCTTTCTCTTCTCTGCTCCTCACATACGTAAAAAACAGCTTAGGAAAATTGCCAGGTCTCTTGTTATTGTTGTCACAGAGATTTCTGGCTAAATAGGAAAAAAAAATAGCTAGAAGGTATCCGGAGTCACGTCCCACCAAGAAAAAAAAAGTACTAGCTAAAGACGATGTTATCAGGAGTCTGACAAGAATAAAAATTAATGGGACTTCCGGGTTAGCGCGATCGGCTAATGGCGGATTCCCTCCGAGCTCCGGAGGGAATCGGCTCTGTAGAAGACGGGTCTTGCCGCGACGACGACGCGGGGGCCCCTAAAAACCACAGGCGCTGAAGCCTGTGGACCTGGTGACTAGGCGGGCACCAACTGCGCCCCCCCGACCCGCGAAGGAGCCTTTTTAAAGGCTACGGAACGGGGGACGGGGAGCGGCGTGGTGCTGAGAGTAGACCGCTTCTCCTACGGAGTGAAGCCGCAAGCCATGGCCGGAGAGCGCTGACTTCTTTCTTGAACAATTTGGATTTTAAAAAGTAACAACCTGTGAGTAGTACGGAAAGTGGAACTAATTTTTTTTTTTTTTGAATTAGGCATGATCGGGGGAGCCGCTAAAAGGAAGTCCGCCTCCCCCTCCTGTAGATAAATTAAGCAAGAATTTGATAATTAAGGTCGAGAGAACTTTCTTTTTAAAAGCTATTAATTTCACGACTTGGCATACAAGTAATTTTGCTGGAGGATAAGAGTTGATTTTAAGAGTTGAAGCGCAACCCCCCGGGACCCGGGAGTGATCCGTGAGAGAGCTTGCTGAGGAGACATAAAGAGGACTGAGAGAGAATTGAGGGCCTCGGATGTGAGATCTCCGGGCTGAGAATTGATAGACTGTTGGACATTTGTTGGGGATCGAAACCGGGAAAGGGGGGGGTGAGAGTTGGGGAATCCAAAGGGTGTATAATAATATGTTGTTGTTTCTTTTGGTTTGTTTTCTACTTAATATAAAAATTGGGAAATTCGTGGAAGGGAATTTGGGTCGACTTTAGAAAAGGGTGTAAAGAATGTGTACTGTTGTCTAAATTGGGGCTTTTAAGTTAAAATCAGTTATTTAAGATGAATTAAATACAGTAATAATAAGGTAAAGTTGGGGATAAGAACTTGCTGAGTTGATTATTGGAATTGGAATACAGGAAGGGGAGGTGAGGGGAAGTCAGGGAAAAATGTTAAGAAAATAAGGATTTGAAATTGTACTTGTTGTATGTGTTTGTCTGTGTTTTTGTGTGTGTTTAAAAAACTTTAATAAAAATTTATTATAAAAAAAGAATAAAAATTAATGTTTGAGTGTATGGCAGAGGAGGAGAAAGAGGGAGTGGAGTTTGGGCTCTATCGGCTGAGAACATGTCATGGTCTTGGTCCTGGCTGCCTCTTTCTGATGCCAATCTGTGGACTTGCCTGTTGTGAATGTTTAAGCTCTGTCAATCTATTGATACTGGTAAATAAAAAACTCAAAAAGGATGAAATGTCATAAGCCTCCAATGATATCCTTCAAAAGGAAACCTCTTTGAACTCACTGACAAGAAAATTGGGAGAGTATAACACCTTAAGTACAATTTATCACTTCCTGAAAGTGACAAAAAACTGTAAAGGAGACATGGAAAGTGCAAAAGGGGACTGGACTGGGGGGGGGTGATGGACAGAAGATCCACAGTAGCCTGGTCTTTTGAGAAGCAGATTCCATCACTCCTGAAACTGTTCCTCCTTTAAACCCTGACATTTACCTTTTCGCTGCTGAAGTCCAGATCTCAGGGTGTCTGGAAGAGAAAAGAGAACAGAGATTTAGCATCTTGCCACTGTCTTGATAACTCATCTAGTAATGACAATACGAACTCATGAGATTGTACAGTCATACCTTGGAAGTTAAATGGAATCCGTTCCGGAAGTCCATTCGACTTCAAAAACGTTCAGAAACCAAAGCACAGTTTCTCATTGGCTGCAGGAGTCGGGAGTTGATTTGTTTGGGAGCAAAGGCATTTGAGATCCAAGGTACGGCTGTAGTTTAAAGGTAAAGGTAAAGGGACCCCTGACCATTAGGTCCAGTCGTGGCCGACTCTGGGGTTGCGGCGCTCATCTCGCTTTATTGGCCGAGGGAGCCGGCGTACAGCTTCCGGGTCATGTGGCCAGCATGACTAAGCCGCTTCTGGCGATCCAGAGCAGCGCACGGAAACGCCGTTTACCTTCCCACCTGAGCTGTACCTATTTATCTACTTGCACTTTTGACGTGCTTTCAAACTGCTAGGTTGGCAGGAGCAGGGACTGAGCAACGGGAGCTCACCCCGTCGTGGGGTGTAGGTGAAGATACTTGGGAAATGGGTAAGATGCGTGAAAGCACCTAAGGCCTGGCTGAGAGATGTGAAGAGGTCAAGTACAACTTTTTACAGACAACTCGCAACTTATGTGAGGGTTGTACTCCATCTGAGATTTGGCATGTTCCCATAAGTTCTTGATGGAGCCTCTCAGAGCCCAATAAACAAGGCAGAGGCGGAGCCCAGTAAACGATAATTTCTTGCCCGCTCTCTATTTTATAGCGATCCGCGTAAAGCTGTGATTGCATAAAGAAAGCAGCATAAGCTCTGAGTCTTCGCATGTGAAAGTATGGCTTCTAGATATTGAAAGAGAATAAATAAACTTCCATTTTTCCTGGCATGGCTAATAATCCGTATGACTTGGAGCCTGTCATGAACACTTCTAAACATCCATTAAATAATCCTTTCAGCCCTTCTTTATTACCTCTGAATTTTTCCATGACTCCCTCCAGGAAGGGATTTATATCTCCGAAGTCCCAGATCCTCCACTTCAGGGCAGGAGGAAAAGCCACAGGAGGATCCTCTAAGTTCTCCTTCTCCTGAGACCTGGGAGGAGGAGAGCAAAGTCAAGCCAACATCCTTCCTATGCAAGGAGCTTTCTGAGAAGGCAGGTGTCTCATCCTGACAATAAAGGCATGATGGATATATATCATGAAGACTTAGGAACAGGTTTTTTCCTATGGCAAAAGGGAGCATCTAGAGAGCACCTAACAAGTTGAAGGAAAGCTGACACTCACTTGCTTCCAAAATATACTGACGGAAATATATGAATATGAGATTGAAGGTAAATAACAAATAAATAAATTATTATTTATACCCTGCCCATCCGACTGGGTTGCCCTTGCCACTCTGGGTGGCTTCCAACATATATAACATATATAAAAACTAGTAAAACATTTAAAAACTTCCCTATACAGAGCTGCCTTCAGATGTCTTCTAAAGATTGCATAGCTACTAATCTCATTGGCTCAGAAGCCACATAACTTCATAACCTCCAACGTTTCTCTGATAAAAAATAGGGATGTCCTAAGGAAAATTCCAGGATGAAATCAGAAACTGGGATGGCTTTTGTAAATCCAGGAAAGTCCCTGGTTTCTGCAGATGTCAAACTTTCCACACCTTGCCCCTCTTATAAAGAAAAAGTAAATGAATCCATCACAAAGAAGAGCCTTCAGAAACATGCAATGGAGGGGAACGAGGAATGGGTTCCTTCCCATGATTGTAGATGAGACCAATAGCTACAAATGACTATGAAAATGTGTCCCTATTTTTGTCTGTGATTTTGTGAAATGGACGATGGAGTCCTAAGCTATCTCTGGAAGGAGGAACTGGAGAGTGAGTTTCTTACTCTCAATCTTGTGAAATTTAAACCTTGTGAAATGGACGATGGAGTCCTAAGCTATTTCTGGCAGGAGGAACTGGAGAGTGAGGTTCTCACCCGTTAAACAGGAACTTTTGTAGCATCAGAATAAGGAAGGGTTTTTTCCATCACTTACCTCTGCAAGAAGCTTCTGATATCCTGGAAGGAAAGAAAAAGATATCCATGGAGCCATTTCTGCACAGAGTGCTGCGGTCAGTTATAAATACTAAGCAGCTGAAGTGGTGAGAGGTTAGCCAAGCACAAAAGACCCCCAATAAAATATGCAGTGCCATGTAATTTGGAATAACCATCAGATGGCAAAAGTCAGCCATTCCAGTGATGACGAAGAAAAGGTCCCTTTCTTCTCTTTTGACCAAGTCACCCAAACACCTGAGAGATTCAATCCCACCTCCCTGATTTGCCATTTTGCCTGCAGTGCATGCTGGTTCCGTGTTCACATACAACTAATCGGTTCACTGCTATGTACATCCCACACTCAATCATATCCTATGAACCACCCTGAGACTTGTGGGTATAGGGTGGTACACAAACTTATTTTAATAATGATAATAATAATAATAATAATAATAATAATAATAATAATAAGAAGAAGAAGAAGAAGAAGAAGAAGAAGAAGAAGAAGTCACCCCCCTCTTTGGCTGGACCCAAGACAGCATCTGAATGAAAGTGCCAATCTGATGTTGCAGTGCCAATTTGGAATGCCTGTGTTGGAGGCAGTATCGGTTGTTTTCAACTACCTTTTACTCAGACACACTGAAATGAATGAACCTAAGATAGTCTACTCTGAGTAAAGGTTAATTGAATACAGAGTTCTATTGGCTTGTGGGCTTCCCAGAGACCTCTGGTTGGCCAATGCAAGAACAGGAAGCAGGACAGAAAGGGCCTGTGGTTTGATGTAGTAAAAATATTGGGGGGGTGGGCAGGTAAGCTCCGCCCCACATAATCAATCACAAGATGCAGTACACACACCCCATTTCAAAACAAATGTCTATTATTGGGGGGGGGGCTGGTCCTCTCAAATATTTCATTGGGGTGTCAAGGGACCTCAGCCCCTCAGAGTTGGCTCCTGTGCCAGGGCTGACATCATTTAGCATTCATGTACTGCTTGTTTCTCTGACAACAGTATTTTTATGTGGGGAAGGACTATGAAATGCTTGTACAGGGGTACCTCAGGTTACGTACTTAATTCGTTCCGGAGGTCCGTTCTTAACCTGAAACTGTTCTTAACCTGAGGTACCACTTTAGCTAATGGGGCCTCCCGCTGCCGCCACACGATTTCTGTTCTCAGCCTGAGGCAAAGTTCTTAACCCGAGGTACTATTTCTGGGTTAGTGGAGTCTGTAACCTGAAGCGTCTGTAACCCGAGGTACCACAGTAGTCTGAAGCAGCACACTCCACCCTCTCGCATCAGGATGAGGCCTGACCTGCAGGAGTTCACTCGCTGGTTCCTGAAGCTTCTCCTCCATCTCCCGAATGGCACTATCAAAAGCGGAAAGTTCCCTGGAGAGACTGGCCAGGTGCTCCTCCCTTTTCTTTGCAATCTCCTTCTCCACCTCTTCCATCTGGGCCAGAAGAAGCTTCTCTTGTTCTTCCAGAAACTGGTGCATTTGCCTGATCTCAGCCACCAACTTCCCCTTCTCTGCTTTCATTTGCTTCTGCAGCAGCAAAAAGAGAAAGAGGAGGAGAACAGCAGGCTAATATCAGGCATAATGTTGAAGAATGAAGAGACCAGTTATCAGAATTCACTTGGAAGGGCATGTCTGACATTTTAGAGAGATTTAAGACTACAGCACTTTTTCACTTCAAAGAAACAGTGATGCTTACAAGCAGGTCTTGGCTTTCCTTTTCTGCATCTGCTTTAAACATCAGAATTTTCTTTCTCTCCTTCCTCACGTTGTCTAGGCATCTGCTGATCTGATCCTGAAAAGAAAACAAAATCCCAGCTGGGTTGCTTTTTCGAGCGTTTTAGTAATACCAGGCAACTGAATCATATGCTTGCTCCCTGCCCCACATTCCCGGGTCCTTCCGGAGGTTCCCCTTCATTCCTGCCCCCTGCCTTGCCCCACTTTCCAGTTCTAGGAGCCTTCACTGGGAGCTGCTTCCAGAGGAAGAACTGTGGGGAGTGACCCCAATATGCTGCAGGGGGACACAGAGGGAAATTAACCCCTCGAAAGATGATGAAACATTTATCAACTAGTGTTTTCAGAAGTTTCACAAGGCTGCACAAACGCTCCTGCTAGAGGGGGTGGGGAGAATTCATTATTTCAAGAGTATCTTGGCATCCTTCCTGCCTTGCAGGGGGTTGGACTAGATGACCCTTGGATCCCTTCCGACTATGATTCTGTGATCCTGCAGGCCTGGCTTGTCTACAGCTGTTCCAAGTAAATCCAGAGCAGAGGCATAGCATGGGCCAGCCTGGGGGGTGCCTGTCGTGAGCTGTTGCGTCCTTTGCGCAACGTCTTCCATCTGTAGGGCAGGTGAGAAGGACTAACAGGCTGGAACCCTGGCTTTGCAAGTCTCAGAAAGCGGTGCTGGGCTCGCAGTGTGCTGTGAGACTTGCACCCCTCAAAGCAGGGCAGCATCGGCCGCATTGGCTGACCGAGCTCCCCACTGCATGGCCGAGCAGGCGGCGCAATTCCCCCCCCCCTTAGCCCCAGTTACTGGGGATCGCTCCACCAGCACGTGTCCCCATGGGGTGTGGCACACCCCGGGCACCAGCAAGGAATGCTCCGCCACTGATCCAGAGTGTTTTCCTACCTTGTACTCCTGGGACGCCTCCTCTATAGGAACCGCCTCGTGGCTTTTGTGCTCCTTGGCTCTGTCACAAACCAGACAGATGGGGCTTTCGTCCTCCTTGCAGAAGAGCTTCAGGGGCTCCTGGTGTTTCTCACAAACTCTCCCCTTTCCTTTGGCCTCCATTTTTCTGCCCAGAAGCCTGAATTTCTGGGTTATTTCCACAAAATTTGCCAGCTGCTGGTTTGGCCTGACGCTGCCTTGATCCACCCTTTCCCTGTACTGAGGGCAGGAAGCCTCTCCCTCGGATTTCCCCCAATACTGGGTCAGGCAGGACCAGCAGAAGTTGTGCCCGCATTCATGAATGATCACTGGATCCCTGAAATACTCCAGGCAGATGGGGCAAGTGGCTTCCTCGCAGAGATCCACTACCTCCAGAAGCAGCCAAGGCCACCGCCCCAGGGAGAGAGAGTTGATTTCGTTTTCGCTTTTCCTTCTGCAAATGGGTGTGTTTCCTTTCCAGGAAATTCAGATTTGCTGCGTCCAGATCTCTGCTGATATGGAGCTATGGAGTTAGCTGGAGCAGAGAGCCTCTTTCATGTAGAGAAAATTAATTTCTTTATTTTAAAAGGAATGCTCCTGGTGGCTGCTCGTTTAAGGAACCATTTCCAGTGAGAGCAGGAGAAAAGTGAGGTTGTATTTTCCCTAACTTCACATGAGCCTCAGACTACTTTGAAAACCTAACTCCATTTCCCCCGCAAATTGCTCCATTCTAGCTCTTAGCCTCTACGTAAAGAGCAGAAGCAGCCCATGGTGCCTACTTTTAGTGTGGACAAAACTGCCAGCCTCTCTGATAATGTGAAAAAACACTGGGGCCCCCGCTAGGTGAACACTGGGATCACACAGCATTTTTAGCAAAACGAGAAACTTTGTCTTTCATAATCAAAAAAGAACTGGGTCATTTTTAATCTGCTATGAAGACCCAGTGAAGCTGAAAGGAGGGAGAGTCAGGGAAGGAAGGACTTCTCTTCACACAAGATTTTGTGGGATTCTGATTAATTTTGCAACATGCAGAAGGGCTTGAGGTGACATGAGGGAGGGGATCCCAGAGACCGAGGCAGAAAAGTGGGCAGATGCCTGGAAAAACAAACTCGGACTCTTTTTGGAAAAAGGTGAGCGATGGGGAGCCATGATAAGAGTTATAGAAAATGTGGCAAAAGTGGACAGGAATATGTTTTTCTCCTCATAGGCTGTGAGCTAAAGTTCATGTATGTGCCAAATGCTGTTACGCTCCTAATGTTGGTGCCATTCCATAGGGAAAACCTCCTGTTTTGGGAGGTTTGTAATGCTTGATGTTTTTATTATGTTTTTAGATGTGCTGTAAGTCTCCCAGAGTGGCTGAGGAAACCCAGCAGATGGTTGGGGTATTATTATTATTTTATTACTTAAAAAGTGTGCCCTAAGGTAAAGGTAAAGGGACCCCTGACCATTAGGTCCAGTCGTGGATGACTCGGGTTGCGGCGCTCATCTCGCTTTATTGGCTGAGGGAGCCGGCGTACAGCTTCCAGGTCATGTGGCCAGCATGACTAAGCCGCTTCTGGCGAACCAGAACAGTGCACGAAAACGCCATTTACATTCCCGCCGGAGCGGTACCTATTGATCTACTTGCACTCTGATGTGCTTTCGATCTGCTAGGTTGGCAGGAGCAGGGACCGAACAAGGGGAGCTCACCCCGTCGCAGGGATTCAAACTGCCGACCTTCTGATCGGCAAACCCTAGGCTCTGTGGTTTAACCTACAGCACCACCCGCGTCCCAAAGTGTGCCCTACTCAAAGGTTAATAGTTTGCATGCTAAACATGCAGTCCTTGATCTAACGCCAACGACACAATGTCCCCCACCCGCCTTTAACTGATGAATGAGTGGGAAGAGAAAGGGAGACAAATGCTTTTAATATTTATGGGCAGAGCCTGGATCATTTTGCAAGGTCTGAGAAATAATAGGTTATGATTGGCTGGAGGTTCTAGTCTATGGAAGGGGGCGAAATAAGTGAGTGTGGGGACAAAGCACATGGGTTGTCTACAGGGCCGTTTTAAGCGTGTCCGGCACGTGGTGCAAAGACAGGAACGGTGCACTCACCCTCGCTCACTCAGCGCGCTCATTCGGTGTTCCTCAGACTCTCGCCTGGCGCCCTCCAGAACGTGGCACCTTGGTGCCCCGCGCCACTAGTGTGTATGGGTAACATGCCCCTGGTTGTCTAGTCAGAACAGATTTAGTTGACCACATGAACCACCATATGAAAGAAGGTTCAAAACCTGGGTAGATATAATACAGTGGTACCTCCAGTTATGAACTTAATTTGTTCCGCAGCTCCATTCTTAACCTGAAACCGTTCTTAACCTGAGGCCGTGCTTTCACTAATGGGGCCTCCTTGCACCCTGGGGCATAGTTTGCTACCAGGAGCAACTACTTCCAGATGAGCGGAGCTTGTTACCCGAAGCATTTGCAAGGAGGATGGTATGTAACTCGAGGTTCCACTGTATATGCATTTGCATATACAGAATCTGGGCATGAACTGTTGTGTCGAATGACAGCCTCTACGCTGTCTTGGCAGTGAATCTTTCCTCCTGAGCAACCAATAAATGAAATCCAGGTGTCTGATCAAAGGAATTTGCACACACGTGTGTTCATCGCACTCTTCCTCAACGCTCGATGTCTGGCAGCTTAACACTCAAACTGACTCCACAGAGAAGCATGGACTCAGGGGTGGTGTGCAAGTGGCTCTTGTGGTGGCTGATTCATCACAAGCCTCCATGAGACACTGCCGTCGTCCAGTGAGGGACAGACCTCTGTGAAGCAGCTTGAAGTACCTGGATTTCCTTTAAGGCTGTGGCTCTAAGCGTATTTATTTGGGAACAAGTTCCATTGTGGGAAGGGGACAGAGAGAAGGGACAGCCCACGCCAATGTCTTGGGAGGGTGGGGCGAATTGTCCCAAGATCTTAATGCTCCCACTTGAATTAATCGTGAGTTGGGCAGGTAAGCTTTAAATCAAAGCTGGCAATCTGTTGAAAATGCTGTGTGTGTGTGTGTGTGTGTGTGTGAGTGAGTGAGAGAGAGAGACCTGCATTGATGTGCTGTTGGGTCACTAGTCATGGGAACTACAATGTCTACTGCGCATGCATGAGATGAGAATGAATTCACTGTGGGTTCCTGTGGAACGCCCTCCCATCAGATGTCAAACAGATAAACAGCTACACAGCATTCTGAAGACATCTGAAGACAGCCCTGTATTGGGAAGTTCTTAATGTTTGATGTTTTACTATGTTTTAATATGTGCTATAAGCTGCCCAGAGTGGCTGGGGAAACCAAGACAGATGGGTGGGGTATAAATAATAAAATAAAATTATTATTCTGAGACTGGAATAATGCGAGTCAGGACTGGAAGTTTTAATGGATAATGTGAGGTAGGCAAACCAGCTCCTTGAGTTGGACCCTGCCTGGTCCCCTGGGAAGCAGTTCTCTCACAGTCCTTCTCCCATAAAGACCCTTATGGATCCGTAACTGCTTGGTTCCTGCTCACTGCAGACAGATCTGCATGGACCTGTCTATTAACTACAAAGCCCCTAAGAGAAAATAATTCTATACGTGGAAATCTACCACACACCCACCCTGAAATTCCCTAGATTGTCTCTGTTCTCTCCTCAGAGCTTGTCAGTGGTTATGTTCTGGGGGTCTGCATTCAAAGGCAAAACCACATAAAGGCAGGAAGACCCCCAGAAATGCCTTCTGCAACCTTCCTAGAGGGCAGTAAGGAAGGCAGAGGAAAGCCCAGGGCCAAAAGAGTTTAATCCCTCTGCCTTGCTTTCTGCCCTCTGGAGGCTCTTGTGAGATATCGCACGGCCCCTTCTGAGTCTTACTTCCAAGCCGTGCGCCATCTTGATATTTTTGTTTTGACGAAGCATGCAAGGCAGGGATCGTGCAACTAAGCTGCGTGCAGATTTTGGGCCACTTTGGATATAGAGATTTTACTGAAATGCCACATAAGCTTCCCTGAGCAACAGCAAAGAAGAAGGGATTTTGGTTTTTGCATCTCCACAGCCAGTGAAGGTCTTGGGGGAGGGAAAGGGAAACGGAAAACAGGACGGAGGCTGAGGGAGGTTTTAAGCGATGCCTATTCAGAATTCTGATTTTATTCAGAAGTGATGAGCGTATTCTCCATAGAAAGCTGTTAGTCAGACTTCACTGACTTTTAGGAGGCTGGAAAAAGTATTACATCAGAACGGGCATGAAGGTAGGGTTGATTTTGTGTTTATTATTAGGCTGCTTCTTTGCCCCTCCTTTGAAGCAGCTGATTCCCAAGGGAGAACATGAGGGAAAGACAACAGGCAGGTTTCAGGACTGACTCAACCAATTGGTACCATTTACAGAAGTGGCCTCCCCTTCATGGATCACTGCCTTGTCGTGGCGAAGGGGCTTGAAGAACTTGGAGAAGCTATGAGCTATGCCATGCAGGGCCACCCAAGATGGACAGGTCATAGTGGAGAGCTTTGACCAAATGTGATCCACCTGGAGCAGGAACCGGCAAGCCACTCCAGTATCCCTGCCAAGAAAACTCCATGGACAAAGACAAAGGCATATAAAAGTTATGACACTGGAAGATGAGCCCCTCAGGTCGGAAGGCGTCCAACATGCTACTGAGGATGTGGTCAAAAATGAAATGGCAAGAATAAATATTGACATCCTGGGCATCAGTGAACTAAAATGGACGGGAATGGGCGAATTCAGTTCGGATGACCATCATATCTACTACTGTGGGCAACAATCCCGTAAAAGAAATGGAGTGGCCCTCATAGTCAACAAAAGAGTGGCAAAAGCTGTATTGGGATGCAATCTCAAAAATGATAGAATGATCTCGATACGAATCCAAGGCAGACCTTTTAATATCACAGTAATCCAAGTTTATGCACCAACCACTGGTGCTGAAGAAACTGAAATTGACCAATTCTATGAAGACTTACAACACCTTATAGAATTGACACCAAAGAAGGATGTTCTTCTCATTATAGGGGATTGGAATGCTAAAGTAGGGAGGCAAGAGATAAAAAGAACAACTGGCAAGTTTGGCCTTGGAGATCAAAACGAAGCAGGGAAAAGGCTAATAGAGTTCTGTCAAGAGAACAAGCTGGTCATCACAAACACTCTTTTCCAACAACACAAGAGACGACTCTACACATGGACATCACCAGATGGGCAGCATCGAAATCAGATTGATTATATTCTCTGCAGTCAAAGATGGAGAAGCTCTATACAGTCAGCAAAAACAAGACCTGGAGCGGACTGTGGCTCAGATCATCAGCTTCTTATAGCAAAATTCAAGCTTAAACTGAAGAAAGTAGGAAAAACCACTGGGTCGGTAAGATACAATCTAAGTCAAATCCCTTATGAATACACAGTGGAAGTGAGGAACAGGTTTAAGGATTTAGATTTGGTGGACAGAGTGCATGAAGAACTATGGACGGAGGCTCGCAACATTATACAGGAGGCAGCAACGAAAACCATCCCAATGAAAAGGAAATGCAAGAAAGCAAAGTGGCTGTCCAACGAGGCCTTACAAATAGCGGAGGAGAGAAGGCAAGCAAAATAGGCTTCCAGGTGGAAAAATCGAAATTAGAAACAGAATTGTTAGAACCTAAAACTAAGGTACTTTCAAGAATGCATAACTTGCTGTTAAAATGGAACACTCAGGATGAAACGGTCAAATCAGCTATGATCAAGTGGGTGCAAGACATTGGTCATAATATTATGTTTGCTGACTGGGAACGGTTATGGACCACCGGTGTGAAATTCACGGCATGTAATGCCTTAAAAGAAAATATTATGAAAATGATATATAGGTGGTACATGACCCCAGTCAAGCTTGCAAAGGTATATCATTTGCCTGATAATAAATGTTGGAAATGTAAAGAAACTGAGGGAACATTATTTCACCTTTGGTGGACGTGCCCAAAGGTCAAGGCTTTCTGGGAAATGATCTATAATGAATTGAAAAAGGTATTTAAATATACCTTCCCTAAGAAACCAGAGGCCTTCCTCTTGGGCATTGTCGGCCAAATGGTGCCAAAGAAGGATAGAACTTTCTTTATGTATGCAACAACAGCAGCAAGAATACTCAAGTCAAGTACTTTATTACGGTCGTAGACCAGCATAAGCAAAACAGCTGAGTAAATAGCATAATAGTATAAATCTAAGCAAATAATTATTAAATAAATAGGAGCAAGAACCAAACGTAGATTTAAACATATACATAGAATACTTAATTAAGCATAGATAATGGGTGAGTAAAAATTTATAAGAAAAATTCAAAGATTGGTTAACACAGCTATATGGGATGGGCTTCAGAAGTGCGGATCTAACAATATGGGCCTTCATTTTAGGACTGAATTGTAGCGGCCAAAGCCAGTGACACTAAACACCACGAGATCAGACAACAAGAAGTCAGCAACAACCTCAGAAAAGAAAAAAAGGTTCCAATGCATGCGCGTCTCTGCCCTTGTATGTCTAATAAGGTAGAATCTGTCACACATATTCTTCTATCTTGTGAATTTTATAGTGAAGAACGAGTTCAACTTATTTTACCGCTTCTATCAAAATTTATACCCCTTCAATATTATTTGGAATCCTCCCCTGAAATTCTTCGAAAATTCCTCCTGGAAGATTCCTCAAGCTCAATATCATATGAGGTGGCTAAATTTTGCAAGAATACTTATCGCGAAGCACTGGAAGACACAAGATTTGCCCACTCTGGAAGAATGGCAGATGCAAGTGATAGACTACATGGAATTGGCAGAAATGACTGGCAGAATCCAAGACCTGGGAGAAGAGCTAGTGGAAGAGGATTGGAAGAAATTTAAAGATTACCTGCAAAAACATTGCAAAATGTTTGAATGCTAAAATGATGCAGGATATAAAGACAATATGGCATTAGTGACATAGTTGAAAGGAATATGTAAAAAATGTTTTATAAGAATAAGGGTGAAAAAGCTAGAATAACATTATGTCAAATTTAAACAAAATGATATAAAGGGAAAAATTGGAGACATACCGTATTTTTCGCTCTATAACACGCACCAGACCATAACACGCACGTAGTTTTTAGAGGAGGAAAACAAGAAAAAAAAATTCTGAATGAAACAGTGGATGTATCATTTTTGTGCTTCATGCTGTGGCCGCAGACATGTGATTTGATGGTGAGTTTGGGGTGACCCAATGCAAAAATCCTGAGGATCCATGTGGATCCGTGCTTTGTAACCATGTTTTTGCACCATTGCAGCCCCAGGCAACAGTGGGTGCGTGATTTTTTTGGTACAGACTGTAGCCATGGACATGTAATGTGATCTGATGGTGAATTTGGGGTGACCCAATGCAAAAATCCTGAGGATCCATGTGGATCCGTGCTTTGTCACCACGTTTTAAATGGGGAGGGAAGGAAAAACACAGAAGGGACAAGAAGCACAAGAGGGGTGTGCGGAGAAGCAGCTGGCTAAGAATGCAGGGGTGGAGTTTAACGGGGTGGGGGGGAGGAAAGGAAGGCAAAAGCCCCCCCCCCAAGCCAGCCCTCTCTCTCTCTCTCCCACCTGCATGTTTTTCGGCTGCCTGTGAGTCCCTAGAGCACGGAGAGGAGGAGGTGGTGGGCTGGAGCCTGCACGCAGTGTGACTAGGAAAGAATTAGAAGGAAGGACTCGATCCTTTCCTTAACCCTCTGCTTGCCAGGAGGGCAGGGGATTCCCTGCTCTTTGTTGAGTTTGAGCAAACGCAGCAACAGAAGCTGGTGGGCAGTAAGACCCTGAGGCAGAATGCAGGAAAGCAGCAGCTTCCGCCTTCCCGCCTTCCCTCCGCCCGACCGCCCAATCTTATTTTTGCCTGATTTTTGCCTATTTTTGCCCAGGGACCACACATCCGCTCAATAACACGCACAGACATTTCCCTTTACTTTTTAGGAGAAAAAATCTGCGTGTTATAGAGCGAAATTTACGGTAATAGTTGAAATGTATAACATAGAATAAGATTTGAAAAAGGGTAAGGCATTGCTGAATACGATTGTCTAAAAGGGAACACAGAAAAGGGAGATGTGAGAAAGTCAGGAAGGAGGGCTATGAAAATAATAAGTAAGAAACTGGATTTTTATGTCTTTTTTATGTCTTTTTTCTTCTACTTTTTATGTTTTGTATTGCATTTTTCTGTTTGTATTTGATTGTGATAATGTTCTTTCTTTTTCTCTTTTTTTGGTTTTGATTGTGAAGTTTGTTTTACTGTTCAAAATTTCAATAAATATCTTTAAAAAAAAGAGAGAGAGAGAGAAGGCAAGCAAAATGCGAGGGAGATAGTGAAAGATACAGGAAATTGAATGCAGATTTCCAAAAAATAGCAAGGAGAGACAAGAAGGCCTTCCTAAACAAGCAATGCAAAGAAATAGAGGAAAACAACAGAATGGGAAGAACCAGAGATTTGTTCAAGAAAATTGGAGATATGAAAGGGACATTTCGTACAAAGATTACCATAATAAAGGACAAAAGTGGTAAGGACCTAACAGAAGCAGAAGACATCAAGAAGAGGTGGCAAGAATACACAGAGGAATTATACCAGAAAGATATGGATGTCTCGTACACCCCAGGTAGTGTGGTTGCTGACCTTGAGCCAGACATCCTGGAGAGTGAAGTCAAATGGGCCTTAGAAAGCACTGCAAATAACAAGGCCAGTGGAAGTGATGGTATTCCAGCTGAACTACTTAAAATTTTAAAAGATGATGGTGTTAAGGTGCTACAATCAATATGCCAGCAAGTTTGGAAAACTCAGCAGTGGCCAGAAGATTGGAGAAGATCAGTCTACATCCCAATCCCAAAGAAGGGCAGTGCCAAAGAATGCTCCAAATACCGCACAATTGCACTCATTTCACACGCTAGCAAGGTTATGCTTAAAATTCTACAAGGAAGGCTCAAGCAGTATATGAACCGAGAACTCCCAGAAGTGCAAGCTGGATTTAGAAGAGGCAGAGGAACCAGAGACCAAATTGCAAACATGCACTGGGTTATGGAGAAAGCTAGAGAGTTCCAGAAAGACATCTACTTTTGCTTCATTGACTATGCAAAAGCCTTTGACTGTGTCGACCACAGCAAACTATGGCAAGTTCTTAAAGAAATGGGAGTGCCTGATCACCTCATCTGTCTCCTGAGAAATCTCTATGTGGGACAAGAAGCTACAGTTAGAACTGGATATGAAACAACTGATTGGTTCAAAATTGGGAAAGGAGTACGGCAAGGCTGTATATTGTCTCCCTGCTGATTTAACTTATATGCAGAATTCATCATGCGAAAGGCTGGGCTGGATGAATCCCAAGCCGGAATTAAGATTGCCGGAAGAAATATCAACAACCTCAGATATGCAGATGACACAACCTTGATGGCAGAAAGTGAGGAGGAATTAAAGAACCTTTTAATGAGGGTGAAAGAGGAGAGCGCAAAATATGGTCTGAAGCTCAACATCAAAAAACGAAGATCATGGCCACTGGGCCCATTACCTCCTGGCAAATAGAAGGGGAAGAAATGGAGGCAGTGAGAGATTTTATTTTCTTGGGCTCCATGAGCACTGCAGATGGTGACAGCAGTCACGAAATTAAAAGATGCCTGCTCCTTGGGAGAAAGGCGATGGCAAACCTAGACAGCATCTTAAAAAGCAGAGACATCACCTTGCCAACAAAGGTCCGTATAGTTAAAGCTATGGTTTTCCCAGTAGTGATGTATGGAAGTGAGAGCTGGACCATAAAGAAGGCTGATCGCTGAAGAATTGATGCTTTTGAATTCTGGTGCTGGAGGAGGCTCTTGAGAGTCCCATGGACTGCAAGAAGATCAAACGCATCCATTCTCAAGGAAATCAGCCCTGAGTGCTCACTGGAAGGACAGATCGTGAAGCTGAGGCACCAATACTTTGGCCACCTCATGAGAAGAGAAGACTCCCTGGAAAAGACCCTGATGTTGGGAAAGATGGAAGGCACAAGGGGACGACAGAGGACGAGATGGTTGGACAGTGTTCTCGAAGCTACCAGCATGAGTTTGACCAAACTGCATGAGGCAGTGAAAGACAGGAGTGCCTGGCGTGCCCTGGTTCAGGGGGTCACGAAGAGTCGGACACGACTAAACGACTAAACAACAACAACAACAGAAGTGGCCTGAGAAAAAAAGAGTTGCACCATGATGGACACTCGGGTCAGTCTATCACTCTTTTGCCAATACAGCTGCCCCTTTAGTGCCTCTGAGATAAGAGAGAACTTAGATCGAAGATGTGGTGATATGTATCTGCTTGTCTGTCTCTATCCTCAGAGAGTGCTAAGTGGCCTTTGGCAGACACAGAAAACAAGGGCTGGAAGGTTTCTCCTGAGAAGAAGGCTGCTGAGTATGACTGGAGAAGGGCTGCTGTATCAGCATCGTAAAAGGACACCCACCCCCCTTCACAGTTCAGGGCCACTCGGATCCTCTCGGGCTCCTTACGGGGGGAGCAGAACTTGTACCTACCGCGCCACTTTCCCATACCCCAGATCCTTCACTAGGACCAAAAGAGAACTTGCCCTTCCTCTTCACAGACTTTCTGGCCACCCCACGGCCCATTCCCCCTCGCTCCCCACAACGACTTCCCAGAAATGTCGGCCTGATGTGAAACCCTGACATCCCAGTACATAGCTATGTATGTCAAATCTCTCAGGGTTGTCTGGCAGGCCTTGACGCACTTCTCCCTCTCTCACGCTCTTTCGATCCTCAGACAGGATGAGCCAGGGATTTGCTGTGTCTGGATCCAAAGTTATGTTTTCTGTGGCGGCAGAGGAGGAAAGAAAAGAGGAACCACATCAACTGGGGAGCTGACTTTGCTTAGACAGTAATGTAATTCCCTCTGAAATGAACAGGGATTCAGTTAACTGTGTTCAAGACTAGGATGCTCCACAAGTTCTTAATAATAATTATTGAAACATCTGTATGGTTTTGGGGGAGTCGTGCCATCAAAAGGAACCCTCCTATTTTCTGGTAATGAAATCACTGTGCACAGAAACCTTACACCAGCCCTGTAAGTAAGGTCAACTTTATTATGCCCGTTTTTTAGACGGGAGGACTGAGGCTGAGAGTGGCTTCTTTACTCACCCCCAAAGCTCAAGGCAGAGGGCGCAGTCAAAGCAGAGACTCCCTGATTCACAGCTCAATCTTTTCCTTCACACCACACGACATACTGTTCTTGAAATGGCAGGTAAATCTGGCAGCAGGCCACAGCAGAGAACACACCCTTCTCATGGCAAGCACCCAAGTTCAGTTATGTATTTAAAGGATGTTTTACCCCACCTTTCCAGGCAGTTTATAAAAAGAAAAAACACTGACACCCATAAAATTGTCTCTATGCTCTGCTGCTTATGAAAGCGACTAGTCTCCCTTGACCCTCTCTGTGTGAAATGACCTTCTTGGGGCTCTGAGAGCGAATCAGGGGGTGGGCTCTGTTTTGACGAGCAGACGTTGTCAGGCAGGCTGCCTCTCTCTGCAGATGCCAGACAGTTGACTTGCCTGTTGGGAATGCTGAAGTTCTGCTCATCTCATTGATATTGGTAATGAAACTCAAATAGGGCAAAAATGCATTCTCCTCCAATGATATCCTTCAAAAGATCATTTTAATGAAGGCCTGGCACCTTCGTTATACACACTTAAGTGCCAGGCAAAAACATTCCTCTTTAACCAGGCCTTTGGCTGATTGACATCTGATGCCCTTTTAAAATGTGAATTGGGGAAGTGTAACAACCTAAGTAAGGGACATGGGGGGTGCTGTGGTCTAAAACACTGAACCTCTTGGGCTTGCTGATCAGAAGGTTGGCGGTTCGAATCCCCACGACGGGGTGAGCTCCATTGCTCGGTCCCAGTTCCTGCCAACCTAGCAGTTTGAAAGCACGACAAAAAGTGCAAGTAGATAAATAGGTACCCCTCCGGCGGGAAGGTAAATGGCATTTCTGTGCACTGCTCTGGTTTCGGTGTTCTGTTGCACCAGAAGTGGCTTAGTCATGCTGGCCACATGACCTGAAAAAAACTGTCTGCGAACAAACACCAGCTCCCTCGGCCAGTAAAGCGAGATGAGTGCCGCAACCCCAGTCATTTGCGACTGGACTTAACTGTCAAGGGTCCTTTACCTTTACCAACCTAATTTATCACTTCCTGAAAGTGACAGAAAACCTGTAAGGCAGACATGGAAAGTGCTAACTGGGGGGGGGGGATAAAATTGTGCCGCTATTCGACCCTGAAATTTACCTTCTTGCAGCTCAAGTCCAGATTCCGCAGTGTCTGGCGAAGAAAAGGGAACAGAGATTTAGCATCACACCATCACCCTGATAACTAATCTGGTAATGACAATATGAGCTCATGCAATTATAGCTGGGGAAGCCAGAGTGGTGAACTTTAGGCATTGCGGACTACAGTTCCCATCATCCCTAACCATCGGCCATGCCAGCTGGAGCTCATGGGAGTTGCCATTTAAAATGTCTAAAACCCACCATGCTGCCTATACCTGCATAAGCCAGGGCAGGGGCGAGGTCAAGATTCAGGCCTGCTCAGACCTGAGAGGAGGAGCAGGACCCCCAGAAGATCGCCCCATCAGCAACAATCTTGAGGAGATGTAATAATAATTATTATTATTATGATACCCCGCCCAGTCACTCTGCGTGGCTCACAGCATATACAGTGGTACCTCAGGTTACATATGCTTCAGGTTACAGACTCCGCTAACCCAGAAATAGTGCTTCAGGTTAAGAACTTTGCTTCAGGATGAGAACAGAAATCGTGCTCCGGCGGCACAGCAGCAGCAGGAGGCCCCATTAGCTAAAGTGGTGCTTCAGGTTAAGAACAGTTTCCGGTTAAGTATGGACCTCCGGAACGAATTAAGTACTTAACCCGAGGTACCACTGTATTGAAACATAGTAAAAAATCAAACATTAAAAACTTCCTGATACAGGGCTGCCTCCAGTTGTCATCTAAAAGTGAGATAGTTGTTTATCTCCTTGACATCTGAAGGGAGGGCGTTCCAGATGGTGGGTTTCCCTACTGAGAAGGCCCTGTGGCCCTCACTTCTCGCAGGGAGGGAACCTCCAGAAGGCCCTCGCCGCTGGACCTCAGTGTCTGGGCTGAATGATGGGGGTGGAGACGCTCCTTCAGGTATACTGGGCCGAGGCCTTTTAGGGCTTTAAAGGTCAACACCAACACTTTGACTTGTGCTCAGAAACGTACTGGGAGCCAATGTAGATCTTTCTGGACCAGTGTTATATGGTCTCAGTAGCCAGTCCCAGTCACCAGTATAGCTGCTGCATTTTGGATTACTGTAGTTGTAGTTTCGGGGTCACCTTCAAAGGTAGCCCCATGTACAGTGCATTGCAGTAGTCCAAGCGGGAGATAACTAGACCATGGCAAGACAGCCTGCGGGCAGGTAGTGCCTCAACCTGTGTACCAGCTGGAGCTGGTAGCCAGCTGCCCTGGCTACCCTCTCCTGCATTCTTAGCCAGCTGCTTCTCTGCACACCCCTCTCGTGCTCCTTGTCCCTTCTGTGTTTTTCCTTCCATCCCCACTTAAAATGTGCTTACAAAGCATGGATCCACATGGATCCTCAGGATCTTTGCATTGGGTCACCCCAAATTCACCATCAGATCACATAGCATGTCCGTGGCTACAGCATGCCCCCCAAAAATCATGCACCCACTATTGCCTCGGACTGCAGTGGTGCAAAAACGTGGTTACAAAGCATGGATCCACATGGATTCTCAGGATTTTTGCATTGGGTCACCCCAAATTCACCATCAGATCACATGTCTGTGGCCACAGCATGAAGCACAAAAATGATACATCCACTGTTTCATTCAGAATCCCCCCCCCCTTGTTTTCCTCCTCTAAAAACGATGTGCGTGTTATGGTCAGGTGCGTGTTATAGAGCGAAAAATACGGTACACTGGCTCCCAGTATGTTTCCGAGCACAATTCAAAGTGTTGGTCCTGACCTTTAAAGCCCTAAACGGCCTTGGTCCAGTATATCTGAAGGAGCGTCTCCACCCCCATCGTTCTACGCGGACACTGAGGTCCAGCACCGAGGGCCTTCTGGCAGTTCCCTCACTGCGAGAAGCCCACGTTACAGGGAACCAGTCAGAGGGCCTTTTTGGTAGTGGCGCCTTCCCTATGCAATGCCCTCCCACTAGATGTCAAAGAGAACAACAACTACCAGACTTTTAGAAGGCATCTGAAGGCAGCCCTGTTTAGGGAAGCTTTTAATGTTTGATGTATTATAGTATTTTAATATTTTTTGGAAGCCGCCCAGAGTGGCTGGGGAGGCCCAGCCAGATGGGCGGGGTATAAATAAATTATTATTATTATTATTATTATGGCCCCACAAGAGCCTCTCACAGCCTACTAAGCAATGCAGAGGGCTTTAAAGCGATTTTCATGGAAGGATTAAGAGCACCATTTCTCACAAGAGCCTCCACATCCCAACAAGTAATTGTTTCCTCCCCACTTCCTATTTAATTATTTGTGATCCCCATCAAGCTGTGACTGTGTGAGTAAAATTAGCGTAAGTTGTGAGTCATCTGTATACGAAAGGGAGGCATCTGGATACTGAAAGAGGATAAATACATAAACCTTTCATTTTCCTGGCATTGCTAATATTACATATGACCTGGACACTTTCATGAACACTTTGAAATATCTAGTATAGAATCCTCACAGGCCTTCTTTACTACCTCTGAATTTCTTCATGACTCCCTCCAGGAAGGGATTTATATCTTTGAAGTCCCAGATCTTCCACTTCAGAGCAGGAGGAAAAGCCACAGGAGGATCCTCTAAGTTCTCCTTCTCCTGAGACCTGGGAGGAGAAGAACAAAGTCAAGCCACCATCCTTCCAATACAAGGAGCTTTCTGACAAGGCAGGGGTCTCATCCTGATGATAAAGGCACGATGGATATATCATGAAGACTTGGGAGCAGAGTTCTTCCTATGGCAAAAAGGAGCATCTAGCGGATGTCTGCATCTAGAAAGCATCTAAAAAGTTGAAGGAAAACCGACACACACCTGCTTCCATAGTACATGGAAGGGAATATATGGAGATAAGACTGAATGTATGCAGATGAATTATTTAGAAGAAAAATAACAATACAAGGTCCTTAGAAAGAGATCTAGAACTGCATCAGTTTTAGCGAAGCATTTCATAGGATTAAAGTTATTAATACCTTTTAGCCCTGTGGTTACATTTAAAGTAGGGAGAAAGTAGCAACATAATGAGGCAGGGGTTTCCCATCACTTACCTCTGCAATAAGCTTCCAATATCCTGGAAAGAAAGAAAGAAAGAAAGAAAGAAAGAAAGAAAGAAAGAAATTAGTGGAGCCATTTCTCCACTCAGTTATAAACACTAAGCAGCTGAGTGGCAACTGCTGGGAATCACAGGTTTCGAGAGCACTGCTATTTTTTAGGCTTCTCAGAGACCTCTGGTTGGCCAATGAGAGAACACAATGCTAGAATGATGGAGCCTGTGGTTTGATCTAGCAGGGCCCCTTCTGCGTCCCCAGGACTGACGCCTTTCACCCTTCATGTACTGTTTTCCATCCAGCAGCATTTTTATGTGACTAAGAAATGCCTGTGGTTTGAAGCAGCCCACTCCACCCTCTCACATCAGGATGAGGCCTCACCTGCAGGAGTTCACTCGCTGGTTCCTGAAGCTTCTCCTCCATCTCCCGGATGAGGCTGTCAAGAGAGGAGAGTTCCCTGGAGAGTCTGGCCAGGTGCTCCTCCCTTTGGGCTGCAATCTCCTTCTCCACTTCCGCCATCTGGGCCAGAATACGTTTCTCCTGTTCTTCCAGAAACTGGTGCAGTCGCCTGAACTCAGCCACCATCTTTTCCCTCTCTGCACCTGTTTGTTTCTGCAGCAAAGAGATTGAAAGAAGAGAAGAGTGGGCCAATATCAGGCATCTAGTCTGCTCTTGAAGGATGAAGAGGCCAGGTAACCAGATTTCCTTGGAAGGCCACTTCTGACATGTTCAGCAGAGAAAGAGCTTCGTAAAAACTTACAAGCCCACCCCCTCCTTTAAATGGTCTTTCATGCTCTGTGGGAGATAGGGCTGTTCAAAAAGAAACCACTTTCTCTATTCCATATTCATTTCCCCCGTAGAAGACCTTAAAAGAATCAATGATGCTTACAAGCAGGTCTTGACTTTCCTTTTCTGCGTCTGCTTTAAACACCAGAAATTTTTCTCTCTCCTCCTTCATGTTGTCTAGGCAGGTGCTGATCTGATCCTGAAAACAAATCAAAATCAAAGTTTGCTTGCTTTTTTCCTTGTTGGAATTCATAATAACAGGAAAGTTGAATCAGATGCTTGCTCCCTGCCCCAAAGACTGTGGTCTTTGCCTTCGTCATCCTGGGAGCCTGTGGCGCAATGGGTCAGTGTGTCTGGCTGTTAACCAGAAGGTTGGTGGTTCGAGCCCAACCAGGGACGGCTGTGGGCAGAATTCCTGCAGTGGGGGGGGTTGGACTAGGTGGCCCTCAGGGTCCCTTCCAACTCCACCATTCTGTGATTCTTTCCCTGCCACCTCCATTGCTCCTCCCTCCAGCCCTTTCCTAAGGGAGCTGCTTCCAGAGGATGAACTGGGGGTGAGTTTCTCCTGCAGGGGGACATTAGGGGCACTGTAATCCCCCAAAAGGAAAAAAGAAATGTTTAATGAACAGAGTTTCAGAAGTTTAGTTTTAGAAGGCTGCACAAAAGCTCCTGCTGGCGAGTGACTCTTTGGCTGCCGGAGGGGAGAATACATTAAAGCGTTTTCTTGCAAGACCCCCTTCTCTGTTGCTATTTCACCCTCACCATCCCCAAAGGAAACCCAGAGAGATTTCTCACCTTGTACTCCTGGGACGCCTCCTCTAGAGGAACCACCTCGTGGCTTTTGTGCTCCTTGGATCTGTCACACACCACACAGATGGGGCTTTGGTCCTTCTTGCAGAAGAGCTTCAGGGGCTCCAGGTGCTTCTCGCAGACCCTCCCCTTTCCTTCGGCCCCCTTTTCCTCATGAAGACGGAGTTTCCCGACTGTAAGTTTTTTCACAACATTTTTCAGCGGCCGATTGGGGATGAGGTTCCTGTGCTGAAGGATTTCCCTGCACTGAGGGCAGGAAGCCTCTCCCTCGGATTCCCCCCAGCACTGGATCAGGCAGGATCGGCAGAAGTTGTGCCCGCACTCCGGGATGATCACCGGATCCCTGAAATACTCCAGGCAGATGGGGCAAGTGGCTTCCTCGCAGAGATCCTGCACGGGACCCCCAGAAGCAGCCATAGCTGCTGCCTCACCAGGAAGAGAGAGATGCTTTCGTTTTCTCTCTTTTGCGCCTGCAAATGGGCGTGTTTCCTTTCCAGGAAATTCAGACTTGATGGCTCGCGATCACAGCTGCCTGACGAGAGGGGGAGTTAGGTGGGACACAGAGTCTTTGGGGCATGGGAGTTTATATATTAAAAAGAAAGGGGATAAATCCTGGCTGCCGATTTAAGGAGCCGTTTTCCAAGGAGAGGTGGAGGGAAGCGAGTTTTTTATAAGCTTCATGTCAGTCTCAGTGAATGAATCTGAATCTTGCAAGCCCCTCCCACCCAATGGCTCAAACTCACGCGCCCTTTTCCAGCTGCAAGACACAAAAGTTCAGACTCCGAGGAGCATCGCAGCCGAAGCCCAACCCCTGTAATGCACATTCCCACGGGACCATTGGACACGAATCTGCAGCCACTGAGAACATGGGATGGAGGGTGGGGAATTTCTAAGCTGCTCTCCAGCTCCAGCGTCTTCCCAGTCTTGTCCACCCACTGGTCCCATCTCCAGCCCCTCCAATGGTCTGCCGGGGGGGAAATATAATTTCTTAAAATAACATTTTTAAAAGGCTTCCCCAGAAGGATATATTTTATTGGGATGGGGGGAGAAAGTGGGCACAAGGATGTGGCATTTATTTCCTCTTTGCTCCACAGAAGAGATTAAAAAGACGACCTGCCTTCACTTCCTCTTCCCATTTGAGCAGTGGGACTATGTCAGAAATGTTCCTGTCATGTTCCCTCTCCTTGGCCATTGACCCTGGTTCTTCAGTTGTCTCACTGCCATGGCAGATAAGGCTGAGTTTCACTTGCCCAAAGGACTTTGAATACATGCTGAAGTTGCGGAGACAAACATCAGAAAACGGTTTAATAACTCTCCCCACCACCCCTCTCCAAGGAGCCCTTGCAAGTTCAATAAAAGCCTCCGGAATTCTCTCTTCAATCCCCTCCACAGCCCCATTGTCATTATTTATTCTGGCAAAAGTGGGTAGTATTTAAGTCCTGCTCAGAACAGACCCATTGAAGTCAATAGGCATGACTTAGGCTCATTCATTTCAATGGGCTTACTCTGAGTAGGACATACCTGGAACCAACCCAGAATGTATAGGATTGCTAGCCATCCTAACCCAGAAGTTTCTCCCATGCATTTCAGGAGAATCCACCAGAATTCTCTCTTCTCCACCTGGCAGGTTCTGCTCCACCAAACCTGCTGAATGGGAGAACTTGGCTTTCCAGAGGCCCTTTTTCTCACAACCCTCACAATCATGAAGATATGTGTTATTTGCACAGGCCCTGTGGCGGCAGCAGGTCAGGTCAGAGGGGAACTGTTTCTGGGACTACCAGACCACAACATCATGCTATGAGGAACCTCCTGGTGCAGAGGCAGTCTACCTCTGAATAAGCTGAAGCTGTGGAGGCGAACAACAGGAAAGGGCTTTGGGTCTCAAACCCTCCTTTGTCTCAAGAGGCAGGTAGGTAGCCGTGTTGGTCTGCTGTAGTCAAAATAAAAAAACAAAAAATTATTGAAAAAGATAATTTAAAAAAACTCTTCTAGAAAAAAATATCCTCCAAAAGAATCAAGTCCTTTTTTAAAAATCTTTTTTTCTAAAAAAAAGTCCGTAAAAGAATCCTTCCAAAAATTGTTCAGTAGCACCTTTGAGACCACCTAAGTTTGTTGTAGGTATGCACTTTCATCTACATGCACACTTCTTCAGAAGTCACCAGACCGGTGTGTGTGTATTTGTGTGTGTTTGTGTGTGTATAGTGAGAGGGTGGGGTGGGGTATTTCTCAGAAGGGTGGTGGGAATGGGTGCTTGGCTAATAGGTGTGGTAAACCTGTTGATGATTGTTAACGACTGCAATTGGTCTTGCAGGAAAAAGCTTCAGTGTATCTGAAGAAGTGTGCATGCACAGGAAAGCTCATACCCAAAACAAACTTAAGTGGTCTCAAAGGTGCTACTAAACAATTTTTGGAAGGATTCTTTTAAGGACTTTTTTAGGGATTTCTTTTTTTTAAGACTTGATTCTTTTGGAGGAATTGTTTTTCTGGAGGAGTTTTTTAAATTATCTTTTTCAAGAATTTTTTATTTTTTTATTTTGCCTTTAAGTGGGTGTGCAAGTCAGTGGCCAACACCACACAGTGTGCTGTGTGAAGAAGAGAATCACCAAAACCTGTGAGCTAATCCTTTTCGTCAATCTATAAAAACATAGGCACTCCTATGTCTACTCAGAAGTAAATCCCATTAAGTTCAAAGGGACTTACTCCCAGGGAAGTGGGCCCGGGGCTGTAGCTTTAATTTCCTCTTGCTCCATAGAGCTCAATTAGAAAGACATGCTGCCCTCACTTCGTCTTCTCATTTGAGAATCAGCTTTTGGGTGGCAGAAATGAGGAAATGAAGTTGAAATGGTTAAGTAACAAAGTGGGGGCAGCGGCAAACTATTGCTGTGGGGTTCAGATGGGATAGCACCCTGTTTATATCCCTGGGGGAAAGTGTCATGTGGGGTGGCTAGGGCCATTATACCATCGAGTCTGAAATAATATAGGAGCAACAATAAGTAGCATCTTTAATAAAATCAAGCAAGTTAACAGATGAAGCATATTTCCACATTTATTCATGCAAGTTACACAAAAGGATGAGAGGTGATCTCTAAAAACATGTAGAGTCATACCTCTAGATATGTTGCCTTCGGGTAACATAATTTCATGTTATGGACAGTGGCAAACCTGGAAGTCCCAGAATTGTTTATTTCCATGTTTCGCCGTTTGTGCATGCGCAGCAGCTCGAAATTGCGCCGCGTGCATGCGCAGACACAGCACTTCATCTTATGGACGCTTCGGGCTGTGGGTGTGCCTCCCTGTGATGGCCTGGGACTCGGGCTCGGACTCAGAACCAGAGGAGTCTCAGTCCGCACCAGATCCTTTGCCTCAGGCGGCATTAAACCAAGTCTGGGGCGTGATTCTGAAGAGCCCCAGTCTGCATAGGTTCCCCTGCAACAAGCACCAGCTGGGCTGAGTCAGGGGCCTGAGCCTGCCCTGGCTCCAGATGCGGGGATGACCTCGTTGCCTTCAGCTGGGCCATCACTTACAGCTGCTCCACTACCGGTTGGGTCAGGGGAAGCTGAGGTGGCCTCTGGGTCTAGTAACCCACGACATGTCCCGAGCTGCAGAGACAAAGGTCTGAGAGAAGGAGAGACCCGAGTACTGGCAGGAGGAGTGCGAGACAGGGAGGTGAGTCACCGGGGGATTAGGACCGGTTACCCCAACAAAGATAAAAGGCTGTCAGACCCCACCCCAGCTTGTGGGAGTAACATTGTTGTTTGCTAGAACCTGCCTGAGACCCTGTGCCTGACCTAGCCTGGTTTTCTGCCTCTTGTCCTGCCTCGGCCCTGTCGGACTGTCTCCTCGTGGAATCCTTGGATTCTGGACTGGACCTGGACCACATTGCTCAGGTTAACCCCCGGGCCCAGTACACTTCCGAATGGATTAGGTCCACAACCTGAGGCACCACTGTAGATGTTTCTGATTGTTTGCAAGAAGTCACCTTAGAGAAAATAATTGTATAAATGGGAATTTACTACCACTCCCTGAAATCCCCCAAATTGACTCTGTTCTGTCCTTGGAACTGTCAGAGGCTCTTTCGTTCTGGGGATTAGCAAGACAAGTCAGGGAGACCCCTGCAAATGCTTTGAGGAACCTTTCCTGGAGGTCAGTAAGCAAGGTGGAGGGCTTAGAAACTATTTACAGAGCAGGATTTGGGCACCAAAATTGTGAGCCTCCATCTTGCTTACTGGGCTCTGGAAGTTCGTGTGAGATCTCACACGGCCCCTTCTGACAGTCACCGCCCCCAGTCTCCCAAACTCTATTTATTTATTTTTGTTTTGACAAAATGGGATTTTGGTTGAGACGACTGAAATGTCATCATGGTGATGAATTGTTGGCGTGAGGGTGAGCGTTCATTCTTTCCAGAACTAACTGGAAGTTCTTGAAGATTCCAGAGAATTCTGGAAATTGCTAGAAGCTGTCAGAAAGCCGGACCTTTCATCAAGGCCACATCTGTGAGAGGAGCTGCTTCAGTTCTAACAGAAGCTATATAAAAACTGTTTTTAGTCCGCATTTATCTGGCAAGCTGACAGAATGCAAGAAAGGGATGTGGGTCGCAAAAAGCAAAGCCCGGAAAACTCTAAGAAATGCTTCAGCAGACAAACTGTAAAAGGGAACCATTATGCTTTTGACCCGGTAGTAAAATATTTCTGTCTGTGCTTAATTGCCTCTGTGAGTTACTGCCTTCGTTGTCTGGGTCAGAGCTCCTGAAGCGCTTTGATGTTGCACATCTCTCTGCTGATTTAGGACTGCTGGTACTGAGAAGCATACTTAGCAGTGAACTGGGAAGCTTGTCTGTCTCTACACTCAAGAGACTGTCAGGTGGCCTTTGGTGAACATGTAAAAGAAGGGCTGGAGGGTCTCTCCTGAGAAGGAGGCTGCCGAGAATGAGTGGAGAAGGGCTGCTGTATTAGCATCGTAAAAGGACACCCGTCTCCCTTCACAGTTCAGGGCCACTCGGATCCTCTTGGGCTCCCCACCCAGCATCAAAACAGGGGGCCCATCGCAGGTGGAGACCCTGTACTGATCACCCCATTTCCCTATGCGCCAGATCCCTTCTGTAGGACCAGCGATGAACTTGCCTTTCCTCTTCACAGATTCTCTGGCCACCCCCACGGCCCATTCCCCCTCGCTCCCCACAAAGACGTCCCAGAAACACCTGTATTCCTTGAACACCTCACTTCCCAGCACATACAAGTGTCTGTCAAATCTCTCAGGGATGTCTGTCAGCTCTTTTACCCAGCTAGGACCCAAAGAGAAAAGGCCCTTCCTCTTCATAGGCTTTAGGGCAACCATCCACTTCCTCCTCTCCTCTCCTCCCACAGTGACCTCCCAGAAATGTCTGCCTGATGTGAAACCCTCACATCCCAGCACATAGCCATGCGTGTCAAATCTCTCAGGGTTGTCTGGCAGGTCTTGACGCACTTCTCCCCATCTCACACTCTTTCGATCCTCAGACAGGATGAGCCGGGGATTTGCTGTGTCTGGATCCAAAGTTACGTTTTCTGTGGGGGCAGATGAGGAAAGAGAAGAGAAACGACGTCAACTGGGAAGCTGACTTTTCATTAGGCACATGACAGAAATAGCATCCCCTCTGAAATGAACAGGGTCTCCATGGATCTGCATTCGAGAGAGGAATGTTCATCAAGTTCTTAGTAAGGTTTCTTGAAACATTTGCAGTTCTTTCAAGTGTCTGAAGTACTTAGCACACATTATCTACATAGAACCCTTGCAAAGACCCTGTAAGTTGAGTCAATCTTACTATGCCCATTTTTCAGATGGGAGGACTGAGGCTGATAGACAGTGGCTTGTCTAAGGCCACCCCCACAGTTCATAGCAGAAGGGAGTCAAAATAGGGACTCCCTAATTCACATCTTAATCTTTTACCTCACATCACATTACAGACCACGCTTGACATGCCAGGTAAATCTGGCAGCAGGTGCTCTCACCCTCCTTGTAACCACTATTCAGGTTTCAGTTGTATATTTAAAGTATGTTATACCCCATCCTTCCAGGTAGTGCATAAAAAGCAAGAAAGTGGTTAGGTTACCCCGCCCCCCGTGTGAAATGTCCTACTTGGGACTCATGACAGCACATCAAAGATTCATAGTGTTGGAAGGGACCCCAAGGGTCATCTAGTCCAACCCCCTGCAATGCTGGAATCTCAACTAAAGCACCCATGACAAATGGCCGTCCAACCTCTGCTTAAAAACCTCCAAGGAAGGAGAGCCCACCCCCTTCCGAGGGAGAACGTTCCACGTTGTGCAAAATTCACAAACCGGAACACCTACTTCCGGGTTTGCAGTGTTCTTTTTCCAAGTTGTTTATAAACTAAGTGTTCCAAAACCAAGGTACCACTGTATATAAAATCAAACCAAAAGCAATAACCCAATAACGCCCCCCCAAAACCCCACATTCTAAAAGGGTGTTGGATATCAATAAGATCAACCAAAGGCCTGATTAAAAAGGAACATGGTTGCCTGGTGCCTAAAGGTGTGTAATGTAGATGCTAGGCAAACTTCCCTGGGGAGAGTATTCCACAGATGGGGAGCCACTGCAGGGAAGGCCCTGTTCTTGTGTTGCCACCCTCTGAACCTCGAGGAAGAGGCACACGAAGAAGGGCCTCGGAAGATGATCTCAGGGTCCGGGAAAGTTTGTGTGGAAAGAGGCGGTCCTTGAGACATTGTGGTCCTGAACCATTTAAGGCTTTATAGGTCAAAACCAGCACTTTGAATTGGGCCCAGAAACTAATTGACAGCAACTTAAGTTTCTGAACCGCCTTCAGTGGCAGCCCTACGTATAACACTTTGCAATAATCTAACCTTGAGATTACCAGAGCATAGACCACAGTAGTTAGGCTATCCCTGTCCAGATAGGGGTGTAGCGCTCTGGGCCACTGAGGCCACCTGAGCCTTGAGTGACAGCAAAGGATCCAGGAGGACCCCTAAGCTACAAACCTGCTCCTTCAGAGGAAGTGTAACCCCATCAAGAGCAGGCAACCTCCCAGCCATACCTTTTCCAGCTCTTATGATTCCCTTTTTGTGGTGTCCAGGATCAGGCCAGACTGGACTTCTGTCTTCCCATTGAGCCTTTCCCCCTGGTCTGTGGTGCAATTCTGCCCTGCTCTGCCCGGCTCTTTTAGGTTTACTCAAGTTTCTCTTGTTTTAGCAGAGAAGCCATGTCTCCGCTCCAATACAAGACCCCCAATCTTGCAGGGAAGCCGGACCACTGGAGTTCACACTCAGGCAGCCCCCACCTCCCTCCACTGACACCAGAACCCTTTTACCTTCCAGCCCCCAAAGCCTGTTGCAGCCATTTTCTGAGCTATTTGTGTTCATGCATTTCCCACTCTTACACCTTTCTCTTACATAAGCTCTCCTAAAAGGGGTAGGGATCCTGTATGGCTCAAAGGGATATTTCCCCCTCATGTGCCGGGAGCCTTTGGCTTCACACCACCCCTGTGTCTTATTGAGATTGGGCACAGAAAAGCCAGGCATCCTGGGCTGGGGGCTTCCTAAGAGTCTCCATCTCTCCTGAATTAGTGCCTCTGTTTGATTCAGAAATGGCTGAATAAACTCAGCCAGATGAGCGGGGTATGAATAAATTATTATTATTATTATTATTATTATTATTATTATTATTATTATTATTATTAAATGTACCTTTTCGCAGCTTAAGTCCATATTCCACAGTGTCTGGAAGAGAAAAGGGAACAGAGATTTACCATCACACCATCATTCAGATAACAAATCTGGAAAGAACAATATGAGCTCATGAGATTGTGGCCAGGTGTTGTGGACTACAAAACCCATCCTCCCTAACCACTGGCCACACCAGCTGGAGATTATGGGAGTTGTAGTTAAAGCTATCTGAAGGTCTCCATACTGGCTATCCCTGCATAACCAGGGCAGGGGTGATGTCAAAGGTCAGTCCTGCCCAAATCTTGGGAGGAGGAGCAGGACCCCCAGAAGATCACCCCATCAGCAACAAGGTCCAGACACCCCTGTTCCAGGACGGGAGGCCTCAGCCCCAGTCCCCTCTGCTCCTGGCTGGCTCCTGGACAGCCCCCCTCCTTCCCTCCTTCCGCCCCCCTTACATTAATCTCAGGGGCAAAGGAACAGAGGAGATGCCCAAAAAGCTGTAGGTGAGGCTACCTGGGAAATGGGTGAGATGCGTGAAAGCACCCAAAGCCTGGCTGAGAGATGGAAAGAGGTCAAGGACAACTTTTTATAGACAACTTGTAATCGTGCAAAGTCAGAATGACCCCGAAATCACCCCTGCCATCTGAGATCCCAAGACGGCCCCATGAGATTTCGCAGGAGCCTCTCAGAGTCCTGTAAACATGGCAGAGGTCTTAAAAGTGATTTGTATGGTGGCCAAACCCTTCCTGGCAAGAACTTTCAAGCCCTTTACCTTGCTGACTGGAATCTGGGAGGCTCCCCCAAGATCTCGCAGGAGCTTCCAGAGCCCAGCAAGAAGGAGTTACCGTCCATTTCAATTGCCTAAGTAAAATCATTTGTGAATCATCTACATATGAAAGTGTGGCTTTTAGATATTGAAAGAAAATAAATAAGCCTTCTGTTTTCCTGGCACTGCTAATGAGCTGGAGCCTTTCATGAACAATTTTAAATATTTTCAACCCATCTTTACTACCTCTCAATTTCTTCATGACACCCTCCAGGAAGGGATTTATATCACAAAAGTCCCAGATCCTCCACTTCAGGACAAGAGGAAAAGCCACCGGAGGAGCCTCTAAGTTCTCCTTCGCTTGAGACCTGGGAGGAGAAGAACAAAGTCAAGCCACCATCCTTCCAATGCAAGGAGCTTTTCCTATGGCAAAAAGGAGCATCAAGGTGGCGTCTGAATCTAGAAAGTATCTAAGAAGTTGAAGGAAAACCGACACACACCTGCGTTCAAAGCATTTTGAATGAAATATATGAAGAGGAAACTGAAGATAAAGAAGCTGATATATGCACAATTTTTTTTGGAAGAAAAATGAACCATACTGGATCCTTACACAGAGATTTTAAGACTACACCAGATTTAGTGAGGCATTTCAAGTGATTAATGAGCAAAATAAAATAGATTTGGTACGTGCATTTCTGAAATATAAGTTCAGAATGCTTTAGAATGGCTTTTGCAATTAACATTATAAATGTGTTTTAGCACAGTGGTTATATTTTACAAATGGACCAAAAAAAAAAAAGTAAAGCAGTATGCTCTGAACATGGGAGGGTTTGTAGTTGTCTGGAGGACAAGCCTCTCAGCGGCTGCTATTTGCGATGGCTGGTCAAAGGCCTCGGTGCCTCTGAAACCACAGGAGGAAAGTGTCCTCTGCTGTGGGTTTTGCACTGGCATCTGCTTAGTCACTGTGAAAACAGGATTCTGGACTAGATGGGCTACTGGCTGGATCCAGCAGGGCCCTTTCTCACATTTTTATGTCTGAGGAAGAACCTGCAGAAGCCTGAAATACGTCAAATATTTATGGGTAAATTATAGTGAATATATTTACAAGCACCTTTGGGATGTCCCCGCTTTTTGTATCAATTGCAGAATAAATGAATCTATCACGGAGAAGGGCTTTCAGAGATGTGTAATGGGAACAGCTTTGTTCCCATGTTTATAGATGAGACCAATTGCTACAAATGACTGTGAAAACGTGTCCCTATTTTTGTTTGTGATTTTGTGAAATGGACGATGGAGTCCTAAGCTATTTCTGGATGGAGGAACTGGAACTCTGGACGTTTTTCACCCGTTAAACAGGAACTTTCCCAATACAGTATCTTAAAGCAGCCGATTTCCATCACTTACCTCTGCAAGAAGCTTCTGATATCCTGGAAGGAAAGAAAGAAAAAGATATCCGTGGAGCCATTTCTGCAGTCAGTTATAAATACTACGGTAAGCAGTTGAAGTGGAGAGAGGTTAGCCAAGCACAAAACCAAAGACCCCCAATAAAATATGCAGTGCCACAAAATTTTGGAATAACCACCAGATGGCAAAAGTCAGCCACTCCAGTGATGACTAATAAAAGGTCCCTTTCTTCTCTTTTGACCAAGTCACCTGAACACCTGAGAGATTCAGTCCCACCTCCCTGATTTGCCATTTTGCCCTGCAGTACATGCTGGTTCCGTGTTCACCTGCGACCAATCGGTTCACTGCTATGTACATCCCACACTCAATCATATCCTGGGAACCACCCTGAGACTTGTGGGTATAGGGTGGTACACAAACTTAGAATCATAGAATCATAGAATCATAGAGTTGGAAGAGACCACAAGGGCCATCGAGTCCAACCCCCTGCCAAGCAGGAAACACCATCAGAGCACTCCTGACATATGGTTGTCAAGCCTCTGCTTAAAGACCTCCAAAGCAGGAGTCTCCACCACACTCCTGGGCAGCAAATTCCACTGTCAAACAGCTCTTACTGTCAGGAAGTTCTTCCTAATGTTTAGGTGGAATCTTCTTTCTTGTAGTTTGGATCCATTGCTCCGTGTCCGCTTCTCTGGAGCAGCAGAAAACAGCCTTTCTCCCTCCTCTATGTGACATCCATTTATATATTTGAACATGGCTATCATATCACCCCTTAACCTCCTCTTCTCCAGGCTAAACATGCCCAGCTCCCTTAGCCGTTCCTCATAAGGCATCATTTCCAGGCCTTTGACCATTTTGGTTGCCCTCCTCTGGACACGTTCCAGTTTGTCAGTGTCCTTCTTGAACTGTGGTGCCCAGAACTGGACACAGTGCTCCAGGTGAGGTCTGACCAGAGCAGAATACAGTGGCACTATTACTTCCCTTGATCTAGATGCTATACTCCTATTGATGAGGCCCAGAATTGCATTGGCTTTTTTAGCTGCCGCGTCACACTGTTGGCTCATGTCAAGTTTGTGGTCAACCAAGACTCCTAGATCCTTTTCACATGTACTGCTCTCAAGCATAACAACAACAACAACAACAATAATAATAATAGGTCACTCCCTCTCTGGCTGGACCCAAGAGAGCATCTGAACGAAAAAATGTTGCAGTGCCAATTTGGAATGCCTGTGTTGGAGGCAGTATCAGTTGTATTCAACTCGCTTTTACTCAGGCACACTGAAATTAATGAACCTAAGATAGTCATCCCCATTAATTTCAATTGTCTACTCTGAGGAAAGATTAATTGAATACAGAGCTCTAGTTGCTTGTGGGCTTCCCAGAGACCTTTGGTTGGCCAATGCAAGTACAGGAAGCAGGAAGGAAAGGGCCTGTGCTTTGATCTAGCAGGGCCCTTCTTGTCAGCTCAGGGGTGACAACTTGAACAAAATATTTTTTTGGGGGGGGACATAATCAGAAGATGCAGTACAAACACACCATTTCAATAGAAGTGTCCATTATATATGGGGGGGCTGGCCCCCTCAAATATTTTACTGGGGCGTCCAAGGGACCTCAGCCCCTCAGAGTTGGCTCCTATGCTGACACCTTTTAGCATTCATGTACTGTTTGTTTCTCTTACAACAGTATTTTTATGTGGGGAAGGACTAAGAAATGCCTGTAGTCTGAAGCAGCACACGCCACCCTCTCGCATCAGGATGAGGCCTCACCTGCAGGAGTTCACTCGCTGGTTCCTGAAGCTTCTCCTCCATCTCCCGGATGAGGCTGTCAAGAGAGGAGAGTTCCCTGGAGAGTCTGGCCAGGTGCTCCTCCCTTTGGGCTGCAATCTCCTTCTCCACTTCTGCCATCTGGGCCAGAAGAAGCTTCTCTTTTTCTTCCAGAAACTGGCGCAGTCGCCTGAACTCAGCCACCATCTTTTCCCTCTCTGCTTGCATTTGCTTCTGCACCAGCAAAAACAGGAAAAGGAAGAGAATACATCAGATATCTAGTCTGCTGTTGCATGATAAAAAGACCAGAATTCACTTGGAAGGGCATGTCTGTCATTTTAGAGAGATCACGGCAGTAGGAAGAGAGTTTCATAAAAATCTACAAGCCCATCCCCTCCTTCAAATGGTCTTTCATGCCCTGTATTTCAGTTTCCTCACATACTGATTCTAGACCATGGGTAGGCAAACTAAGGCCCAGGGGCCGGATCCGGCCCAACTGCCTTCTGGATCTGGCCCGTGGGTGGTCTGGGAATCGCCGCGTGGATCTGATTCTGATCATTTGGGCTGCACCATTTCCCCCTCCCTCACACACACCGCGGTGGCGCCTCCTCCTCCCTTCTCCCCGCCCTGCCTAGAGCTGAGAGCAGTGGCGGATGAGGGAGGAAAGCAGGGAGAGGGGCTGGGGGAGAGGGGGAGAAGTGAAGCCCCCCCTTCACCGGGATCCCCGTCGCCCAGGCCTGAGGTCGACCCCCGATTACATCTCCTGTCAGTCTCCAGATATGTATGTGTGTGTGTGTCTGTGTGTAGTTTGGCCTGCCACAAGATCTGAGGCACAGTGAACCGGCCCCCTGCTGAAAAAGTTTTCTGACTATAGCACTTTTTCACTTCCAAGAAACAGTGATGCCTACAAGCAGGTCTTGGCTTTCCTTTTCTGCATCTGCTTTAAACACCAGAATTTTCTTTCTCTCCTTTCTCATGTTGTCTAGGCAGCTGCTGATCTGATCCTGAAAAGAAAACAAAATTAGATAGATTAGATAGTGAAGGGGTACAGTTACGGTTACCCCAGAAAGCCCTAAAAACTGTTTGTGAATCTCCCCCCCCCCCCAGCCAGGCCTCGGAGTACGCATTTTAAAAACTGCATTTTCCTCTAAGACAAAAAGCATGAGCTAAGCAGTCCTCTCTGTAACAAAAACGCTGTAACGAACCCAGAGCTGAGAACAGTAAAGCTTTTCGCTTCCCAGATCCAAGATAACCTTGTCCTGGTACATTGATTTGCAACATACTTCCGCGGACAGAGTCAGAGAACGAAAAGCAACATTTCTATGTAAGAATCTGTGAAGGGGGAGAGGAAAAAAGGGGTTTGAAAAAAGGATAAAACCTGCTTTTAAAATGTTTTCGGTGCAGCCTGTCTTTTGTGAACTGAATCACACAGGTGCCTCTGCCCCCCCCCCCCGATGGCAGAATAAAACACTCTTTCTCTGGATTAACCCCTTGGTGTCATTTGGCTCCTTTTGTCTCTGCTCGGGTGCTAGATGATAGATAGATAGATGATAGATAGATGATAGATAGATAGATAGATAGATAGATAGATAGATAGATGATAGATAGATAGATAGATACCATATTTTTTGCTCTATAAGACTCACTTTTCCTCTCCTAAAAAGTAAGGGGAAATGTTTGTGCGTCTTATGGAGCGAATGCAGGCTGCGCAGCTATCCCAGAAGCCAGAACAGCAAGAGAGATTGCTGCTTTCACTGCTCAGTGATCCATCTTGCTGTTCTGGCTTCTGAGATTCAGAATTTTTTTTTTTCTTGTTTTCCTCCTCCAAAAACTAGGTGCGTCTTGTGGTCTGGTGCGTCTTATAGAGCGAAAAATACGGTATATCTTTATTGTCATTGTCCCATGCAGGACAATGAAATTGCAAAACTACATAAAACTACATAAAAACTACATAAAACTACCACAAAACTACATAAAACTACGTAAAAACTACATAAGACATTCAAAAACCCCTAAAAACTCTAAAACCCTATTTTAAAATACACTATACTGTAGAAACCCCTTATGCTGCCTTTAGAACCAGGATTGCATTTGCATAGAAACTGTTTCTCAGGCGGCTAGTCTGAGAATTCCAGCTTGGTTGTTTTTTCTTTCCCTTTTTCAAGCGTTTTAGTAATATCAGGCAACTGAATCATATGCATGCTCCCTGCCCCACATTCCCGGGTCCTTCCGGAGGTTCCCCTTCATTCCTGCCCCCTGCCTTGCCCCACCTTCCAGTTCTAGGAGCCTTCACTGGGAGCTGCTTCCAGAGGAAGAACTGTGGGGAGTGACTCCAATATGCTGCAGGGGGACATAGAGGGAAATTCATCCCTCGAAAAAAAGAAGAAATGTTTTTTGAATCGAGTTTTCAGAAGTTTTAAGTTTCACAAGGCTGCACAAACACTCCTGCTAGAGGGGTGGGGAGAATACATTACAGTGGTACCTCGGGTTAAGTACTTAATTCGTTCCGGAGGTCCGTTCTTAACCTGAAACTGTTCTTAACCTGAGGTACCACTTTAGCTAATGGGGCCTCCCGCTGCGCCGCCGGAGTATGATTTCTGTTCTCATCCTGAAGCAAAGTTCTTAAACTGAAGCACTATTTCTGGGTTAGCAGAGTCTGTAACCTGAAGTGTCTGTAACCTGAAGCGTCTGTAACCCAAGGTACCACTGTATCACAAGGTTATCTTGGCATTATTCCTGCATTGCAGGGGGTTGGACTAGATCAGGCATAGGCACCTTTTGGCCCTCCAGACGTTTTGGACTACAATTCCCATCATCCCTGACGAATAGTCCAGTTAGCTAGGGATCAGGGGAGTTGTAGGCTAAAACATCTGGAGGGCCGAAGGTTGCCTATGCCTAGACTTGATGACCTTGGGTCCCAGAGGAAGAACTGTGGGGAGTTTCTCCAATATGCTGCAGGGAGACATAGAGGGAAATTCATCCCTCAAAAATGATGAAATGTTTATTAACAGTGTTTTCAGAAGTTTCACAAGGCTGCACAAACGCTCCTGCTAGAGGGGGTGGGGAGAATGCATTATTTCAAGAGTATCTTGGCATCATTCCTGCCTTGCATGGGGTTGGACTAGATGACCCTTGGGTCCCTTCCAACTCTATGATCTTGCAGGCCTGGATTGTCTTCAGCTATTCCATCCCCTGAGCAAATCCAGAGCAGAGGCGTAGCATGGGCCAGCCTGGGGGGTGCCTGTCATGAGCTGTTGCATCCTTCGCGCAACGTCTTCCATCTGAAGGACTAACAGGCTGGTACCCTGCCAGCCGCACACAGCTTTTGCAAATCTCAGAAAGTGGTGTTAGCCTCGCAGTGCACTGTGATACTTGCACCCCACAAAGCAAGGCAACACCGACCATGTTGGTTGGCCAAGTTCCCCACTACATGGCTGAGCAGGCGGCACAATGCCCCCCCTTAGCCCCAGTTACTGGGGGTCGCTCCACTGGCACAACTTGTCCCCATGGGGTTCGGCATGCCCCGGGCACCAGCAAGGAATGCTACGCCACTGATCCAGAGTGTTTTCCTACCTTGTACTCCAGGGACGCCTCCTCTATAGGAACTGCCTCGTGGCTTTTGTGCTCCTTGGCTCTGTCACAAACCAGACAGATGGGGGCTTCATCCTCCTTGCAGAACAGCTTCAGGGGCTCCTGGTGCTTCTCACAAACTCTCCCCTTTCCTTCGGCCTCCTTTTTTCCGCCCAGATGGCTGAATTTCTGGGTTATTTCCACAAAATTTGCCAGCTGCTGGTTTGGCCTGATGCTGCCTTGCTCCACTGTTTTCCTGCACTGAGGGCAGGAAGCCTCTCCCTCGGATTTCCCCCAATACAGGATCAGGCAGGATCGGCAGAAGTTGTGCCCGCACTCCGGGATGATCACTGGATCCTGGAAATACTCCAGGCAGATGGAGCAAGTGGCTTCCTCGCAGAGATCCATGACGGGACCTCCAGAAGCAGCCATGGCCACCGCTCCAGGGAGAGAGAGTTGGTTTCGTTTTCTTTGCTTTTCCGTCTGCAAATGAGCGTGTTTCCTTTCCAGGAAATTCAGACTCAATGCGTCCAAATATGATATGGAGCTGTGGAGTTAGCTGGAGCAGAGAGCCTCTTTCGTGTAGAGGAAATTAATTCCTTTATTTCAAAAGGAATGCTCTGGGCGGCTGCTCATTAAAGGACCCATTTCCAGTGAGAGCAGGAGAGAAGTGAGGTTGTATTTTCCCTAACTTCACATGAGCTTCAGACTAATTTTAAAACCGATGAATGAATCCTAACTCCATTGCCCCCACAAATTGCTCCATTTCTAGCTATTCGCCTCAATGTAAAGAGTAGAAGCAGCCCAACACTCCATCACAGTGGCTATTTTTAGTGTGGACAAAATCACCAGCCTCTCTGATAACGTGAAAAAACACTGGGTCTGCCCCCTAGGTGAAGACTGGGATCACACAGCATTTTTAGCAATATGAGAAAATGGGGTCCTTCATAATCAAAAAAATGACTGGGTCTTTTTTAATCTGCTGTGAAGACCCAGTGAAGCTGAAAGGAGGGAGAGTCAGGGCACACAGAAGGAAGGACTTCTCTTGTTACCGGAAAAATCCGAGGGCTCCCTTGGACAAAAAGTAAAGACACCAACCAGAGTAAATTGGAGCAAATCAGCAGCCTGTAGGCTTGGTCTTTATTGAACTGTTGCAACAGGGTGTTCCCCTCACTTGCAGGAGAGAGGAAAAGACACAGAAAATGGTGTGCAAGACCTTATAAAAACTTTTGAAATTCCCACCCTCTAGGTCAAGCCCACCCCCAGAAACATCATGCATACATTACAGAAAGGAGGGGTTGAGGGAGGAGTTGTGGTGGTAACCTGAGTGTCCTGTCACCTGGCTGGTTCCCCTCTACTCCTCCCCATGAGTCATTTTCTGAAGACAAAAGGTAGTCGCAGTTTCCTGCCCCCTGAGGGAAGATCTGATCATTGTCCTTTGTTCCAGTCCATGCTGAATCCACTCCCATATGCAAGTTCTTTGTGATCTTGATTGACTTCTGTCTAGGACCATCAGGGTTGGCATAGCAACTGGGCAGGGCTCCTGTGGATGTGCTGGGCTGGCCTGTATCAAACCTTCCCCATTTTGTAGTCCTTCCTTCGTGGAGTAAAATAAAAGTGGAACAGTGCAAATCCGATGTATGGTTGATTTTCTATGAATTTATAACAGAAGTGTAGCGTACGTAGTGTGTGAGTGTGAGTGTGTGTGAAGTTTGTACAAACTGAATGATTGGGGGGGGGGTTTCCTGCTACACTCTTCACTCCGGATTTTGTGCGATTCTGATTAATTTTGCAACATGCAGAAGGGCTCGAAGGTGACATGAGGGAGGGGATCCCAGAGACCGTGAAATAAATATTTAATTGCCTCCCCAAGGGGCCCCTGCCTCAGAAGGAGGACTAGGACCTTGGAAGGAGCGCGATTGAAGGCTCCGTACCAGTCGGGAAAAGACAGAGACCACACCAGGATTTGGAAAAAGCAAAGCCTGATCTTTGTTTAAAGAAAAGGAGGCAGGGGAAAAACACCACAAAAAACTGTTGCAACAGGGTCCCCGCTCACGCAATGACACGGAGTCAGAGACCCCGAACAAAAGGACTGCCTTGATTCTTACACCTTTTGATTTTCTTTTTTTATATATATAAAAAATAATATTTATTAGTTTTCCAACAAATTAAACACAACACTACAAAACACCAAAAAAGAAAAAACATACAATACCAAAAAAAGAAACAAACAAAACAAAACAAAAACCATTTAAAACACAATCCAATTTCAACATCTTATCTTTCTTTCCCTTATTTCCTCAACCTCCTCAAACCTCCCATTTTGAATTCCACTTCTGTTAATTGTTTCAGCAATTCCTTTCCATCTTCCTGTTTTCTATCCTATAATTGTCTTAACACATTCTAACCATATTTTTCCCTTTAAAGCTCTATTAATCTATTTATACTTAATTCCTTGTAACATTTCTACTAAAGCCATATAATTTCATTCCAACATTTTTCTAACATTAATTTTACAGTATTTCTGTAAATAGTCTTTAAACTTTTTCCAGTCTTCTTCCACCGATTCTTCCCCCTTGTCTCGGATTCTGCCAGTCATTTCTGCCAATTCCATGTAGTCCATCAACTTCATCTACCATTCTTCCCTGGTGGGTAAATCTTGTGTCTTCCAATAACACGCGATGAGTATTCTTGCTGCTGTTGTTGCATACATAAAAAAAGTTCTATTCTTCTTTAACACCAATTGGCTGACCATGCCCAGGAGAAGGTCTTATACCTTTTGATTTTCATCCAGATCAATAGCAGCGGAGGTGGCGGGAAGCGACAGGAGTGGTGCGAAAAGTGGATTAACATAAGGTAAGTAGGATGTTGAAAGACTTTTGGGAGGTGTCAATTTGCTGAAGGGCTCAGGTGATATGTGTTATTTAATTTTGGGTCTGCTTAAATGGCTTTTCCTTTAACTACAGGAAAGCCTCCGCAACTGCTGATAATCCACATGCAGATGTGAGGCTGGATGTTTGAGAAGATGATCAGGAAATGGCTAAAATATTAATGTGAAATCCTATTCTGTATTGCTATCAATTCAGGTGTGATAGCCTGATGTTTGCATACTTTTTGGAAAATAAAACTGCTTTATTTTGAGCTCATGTCTGTGTGCATTCATGGTATGGTTTGCAGACCCAGTAGGAGGCAGTGTGGTGGATTGAGTTTTGGCAGCCTTTTAGATACAATATTGAGGCAAGTACATACATTTTAAAATACAGTGGTGCCCCGCAAGACGAATGCCTCGCAAGACGAAAAACTCGCTAGACGAAAGGGTTTTCCGTTTTTTGAGTCGTTCCGCAAGACGAATTTCCCTATGGGCTTGCTTCGCAAGACGAAACGTCTTGTGAGTTCTTGTTTCCTTTTTCTTAAAGCTGCTAAGCCGTTAATAGCCGCTAAGCTGTTAATAGCCGCTAACCCCTAATAGCCGTGCTTCGCAAGACGAAAAAACCGCAAGACGAAGAGACTCGCGGAACGGATTAATTTCGTCTTGCGAGGCACCACTGTACTTAGATTGTTACATTCTTTAAAACTACATTTTGGATACATTCAGAAAAGTACAGCATACTACGGCATTTCATTAAAGATATATTCACAAATACATTTTGTAAGGGAAACACATTTTAAAAGGATAGCTTCATGGAGAAAAGAGGTACACTTCAAAGAGGTACACTTCATAGAGAAAAGATTCATATCAGAAAGGGCACCTCAGGGAGAATACATTTAGACTCATTTCAGTGAGACATGAATAGCAACAGGCACGTTCCATTAAGATGATGCAAAAGAATGGAAAAGGCACACATTATATCACATTCGACGATGCGTAAAAAGTCACAGTAAGATGACATATTCCCAACGATGCGTTCTTCAAGGCACAGTTTATTATTGTTGTGGGGCTTTTGGGTAAAATGATATCATTATGATCACTTTCCCTTTATTCCCCTCTCTGACCCTGATTCTTTTATGACAACCGAGGCTGACAAGTGGAAAAACAAACTCGGACTATTTTTGGAAAAAGGTGAGCGATGGGTCGGCATGGTAAGAGTTATAGAAAATGTGGCAAAAGTGGACAGGAATATGATTTTCTCCTCATAGGCTGTGAGCTCAAGTTCTTGTATGTGCCAAATGCTACAATGCTCCTAATTTTGGGGCGTTTCCATAGGAAAAACCTCTGGCTTGATGTTTTTATTATGTTTTTAAATATGCTGTAAGCCGTCCAGAGTGGCTGAGGAAACACAGCAGATGGATGGGGTATTATTATTCTTATTTTATTATTTAAGAAGTGTGCCCCACTCAAAGGTAATACCGTATTTTTCGCCCCATAAGACGCACTTTTTCCCCTCCAAAAATGAAGGGGAAATCGGGGTGCGTCTTATGGGGCGAATGCCTGCAAGCCTCGCGCGCCCGGCAGGAGGGCCCACCGGGTGCGCGAGGCTTGGGGCGGCAGCCTGTCGCCCGAAGCACGGGGAGCCCTCGGGAGGGCTCCCCCTGCTTCGGGCGAGTGTCTGCAAGCCTCGCGCACCCGGCAGGAGGTCCCACCGGGTGCGCGAGGCTTGGGGCGGCAGCGGACTGCTTGCGCGCTCCTAGAAGCTTGGGGCGCGCTGAGCTCAGCACGCCCCAAGCTCCTGGTGTAGCGCAGCGATCTGCTAGCCCTGGGAGAGCCCCGCGGCTCTCCCAGGGCCAGCAGACTGCTTGCCGGCACGCAGAAGCTTGGGGCGCGCTGACATCAGCTTGCCCCAAGCTTCTGGATTAGCGCAGGGGTCCGCTAGCCCTGGGAGAGGCGCCCGGCTCTCCCACGCTAGCGGAGACCTTGCCGGCACGCAGAAGCTTGGGGCGCGCTGAGCTCCGCACGCCCCAAGCTCCTGGTGTAGCGCAGCGCACCTGGGGGGGGGGGGGGAAATAATTTTTTTTCCCTTTATTTCCCCCCCAAAAATCTAGGTGCGTCTTATGGGCCTGTGCGTCTTATGGGGCGAAAAATACGGTAGTTTGCATGCTAAACATGTGGTCCTTGATCTAACGCCACTGTCTCACAGCCACCTTTAACTGATGAATGAGTGGGAAGGGAGAAAGAGAGGCCAGGGCCGTAGCTAGGGGGTGGTGAGGTGGGCCCCTGCCAGGGAAACAGGTGAGGGGAGGCGCAAAATTGGCTAAAATATGTCCATAAATATGTCTACAAATAAAAATATCGATTATTGCCTCATAAGAAAAGGTTTTGTGATAGGAATTTTGAGGTCTTAGATATATTGTAATGTTCATAAGCGTACCAACCAAGCACGTACATAGATCAGCACAGGAAGACCGACCTGGAACCATTTTGATTCCTAAACTAAGGAAATGTTTTCTCTGCAAGGTCAAAGTGGGAAACTTCCCCATTGTCTCTTTCCTCTCAAATCCTGTCTTAAGGGCACATTGAAGATATGAATAGGGTGTGAGCCTGTGACCTGGCCCAGGAACTAAGTATTTATAATTACAAAAGACTGGCCAGGCTACCCAGGAAATCCAATCAAGTAACCTGCCAGACAAGAGATAAACAATGACAGGAGAAAAACAACATTCAAATTTCTGTTTTACACCACCTTTTCTGTGATGTATCTATGCTGTTTCTGGGGTTGGTCATGATCTACAGGGTGACAATTTCAAATGTCTTTATAAGGCCTTGTGCGCCATTTTTCTGGGTTCCTCCTCTCTCCTACGGGTGAGGGGAGCACCCTGTTGCAACAGATCAATAAAGATCAGGCTTACTAGCTGCTTTGCTTCTCAATATTCTCTGGTTGGCCTCTATTATCTTCTCCTACCAATAGGAAACCTATGTAAGGACTCTATATGGGCTCTTTGATACCGCATAAGGGAAAAGGGCAATTTTTGTTCACAACAGTTTTTAATAGATGGTGAATTGAATGGGTGGAGGGGTTGGAGGAGAGGTGGAAAGAAAAGCCAATTTGTCCATGGTTGGGGGTGCAATCTGGACAGTTCTGCCAGGGGCACAAAATCACCTAGCTATGGCTCTGAGAGAGGCAAATGCTTTTAATATTTATGGCCAGAGCCCGGATCAGGTAAGGAAGGAAAGGGATTCTGGAGCTTCGAACTCTATGACCAGTTCCTTGCTGAAGAAAAAGGGAAACTGAGAGCAGGATTGAGGCCGAGGGAAGTTTCAAGTGGTACCCATTCAAAATTCAAATTTTACTCAGAATAGTTTGATGGTATTGTCTATAGCAAGCTGTGTCTCACTGTCTTTCAGGAGTTTGAAGAACTAAATCAGAACAAGAGCGAGAGTAGGATTGTTTTTTATTCCAATTACTAGGTCACTTCCTTTCACCTCTGTTTCCACTGCACCTATTGAAGGAGCTAATTCCCAAGCGAGAGCATGAGAGACGAAAGGCAGGTTTCAGCTGCTAGAATAGTGATTGCTGGACTTCCGGGTTGACGCGATCTGGAAATGGCGGATTCCCTCCGAGCTCCGGAGGGAACCGGCTCCACTGAGGACGGGTCTTTGCCGCGCCGGCGACGCGGGGACCCTTAAAAACCGCAGGCGCGGAAGCCTGCGGACTGAAGACTCGGCGGGTGCCTTAAGCGCCCCCCCTGATTCGCAAAGAGCCTTTTTAAAGGCTGCGGAGGGGATACGGGGGTGGCGTGGCACTGAGAGTCGATCGCTACCTCGGTGGAGTGAAGCCGCGAGCCATGACCAGAGAGCGCTGACTTCCTTCCTTGAAAATTTGGACTGAAAGAATTACCCGTGAGTAAGACGGATTGGGACTTTATAAAAATTTTACCTTGAATTGGAGACGATCGGGGGGTGTGCTAAAAGGAAGTCCGCACCCCCCCCTTGCAGACGATCTAAGCAACGGCATAAGAGCTAAGCTGGAGAGCCTACCCCTGGTGGGGTGAGTTAAAAAGGACATTAACCTCCAAGATTTAACTAAAGGAAATTTTGGGCTGGAGAGTGGAGTTTTGGGAACCTTCTTTTTGCTTTAAACAACCCCCCCTCCCGGGCTCGGGAACGTCCTGCCTTGGTGCCTGTGTAAGAGCTGCGGAGTTTGACAGCTGTCAAAGCTGCCAAACGGCCGGTTTAAAGTGGAAAAATTGTCATCTCTGGACTAAGACGAGCTATAATTGAGCTAAAACTGTTGGAAACAAAGTAATAATAATCAGTTAAAGGATTGTTGGTGAAAAGGCTAATAAGTAACCAGATTCCCCCTAGGGGGAATTCTGTGAAACTACAATGGATACAATGGCTGTGGAAGGAAAGTTACTAGTGGAAATCGAAAGGATGTTTCAATTGGTGGGAATCTTACAAGAGCAGAGCTTGGCCATGAATAAACAACTTGAGACTATGACCTTGGGAACAGGCAACTCTGCTCTTTGTATTGAGGACCTTAACGAGAAAGAATTCACAGCTGAATGGGAAACAATACCTATAGAGTTGGAAGAGACTAAACAACAAGAAAAAGAAGAAGTAATCCTGGGAAGCAACAACCAAAAGCTGACATCTGCGGAACATAAGCAAGGAAACGCTGGGAACATATCTACTACAAGTCTGCGAAAGATACAGAAGAAGAAGGAGGAGGTCCCGGGACAAAATGGAATACAGAAATTTAAAATAAAGAAATATGATTGGGGCCTCCGTTTGGACTTTGATCTTGAAGAGATAGGTTTTGTGGAAATTCTTCAGCAGTTACTTTTGAATCCCCTTGTGGGAAGAGGAAACACTTTGATGGTGAAAGAACTTTTCCCAGACTTGACGACTGACATAAAGGACTACCAACGGGACAGGCGGAGAGGGACTGAAAGGGATTTGAAAGCCTCGGACGTGAGGAACCCAGGCTGAGAATCTCGAATTTGGATCTTTATTGGGAAGGGACAAAAACCGGGGATGGGAGGGAGGGAAGAAGAGACTTTTAAAAACTCTTAAGACTTTTAGGTTTGGTTAATATGACTCTTAATTAAGATAAAATGAAAATCGATGGAAGAGAACTTAAGTCCAACTTAGGAAAATTAATTTTATTATAAAATAAGGTAATAAGATGAATAAGATTGTTAAGAGGAGAAATACCAACTTGCTGATATAATCTTGAAACTGGGATGCACGAGGGGAGGTGGGGGGAAGTCAGGGAACAAGTTTATGAAACGGGGATTTGTTGATTTTATACATGTTTTTGTCTTTCTCTTTTCTTTGTGTATGTTTTGTCTTTATAAAACCAGAAAACCAAATAAAAAAATTTTATTAAAAAAAATAAAAATAGAATAGTGATTGCTGCTAGGTGGAAGTCACAAACTATACCCACAAAAGAGGAATGGATTTGTAAACTAAATGACTATTTAATTTTGGCAAAATTAACTGCTATAATAAGAAATCAGTCGAATCAAAAATTTAAAAAGGAGTGGAAATGTTTTGATGAATATATGGCAAAATATTGTTCAAAAAAATATGCTAATATGCCTAGATTAAAATGTGAAGTACTGGATGGAAGAAAAATTAGTAAGGAAAGATAATAAGAATATAGAGATGACTTGAGAAGACTGTAGAATGCAAAGATTTTTATTTTTTTTTAAAGTATTTTTTATTGGTTTTACAAAAAAATTTATAGACAAAACAAACAAATAAAGAAACAAACAAACATGTATAATTTCATATCCTTTTTTTCATAAACCTCACTTCTCTGACTCCCCCAGACCTCCCATTTCTACATCCCAATTTCCAAAATTATTTCAGCAAATCCTAAACTTAATTTTATCAAATGTACCCTTCTTTATTCTTTTCTTTTACTTGTAGAATGCAAAGATTATTGTAAATTGTATAATGTGGAGGAAATCGAGTGGGGGCGGAGGGAAGTGGGAGGAGGAAGAAAAGAATATGATGGATTGAGGAAATAGAAACGTAAATGTATGGGGGGATGGGGAGGAAGTGGTGTTGGCTTTGGCACATTTGTATTGTAATGTAATATGTGAAAGGCAGGTTTCAGGACTGGCAGGAGAGTCAAGCAATCGGTGCGGTTTACAAAAGTGGCCTGAGAAAAGAATTATGCCATGACAGAGACTCGGGTCAGCCAATCACTGTTCTTCCAATACGGCTTCCCCTTTAGTGCCTCTGAGAAAAGTCTGGAGAAGACTTGTCTGTCTCTACACTCAAGAGATTGTCAGGTGGCCTTTGGCAGACACGTAAAAAAAGGGTTGGAGGGTCTCTCTTGAGAAGGAGGCTGCTGAGAATGTGTAGAGGAGGACTGCTGTGTCTGCATCGTAAAAGGACACCCGTCCCCCTTCAAAGTTCAGGGCCACTCGGATCCTCTTGGGCTTCCTCACTTGGATGAGGGAACTCATGGGGGGAGGATAACTCGTACCCACCGCCCCACTTCCCCAAACCCCAGATCCCTTCCCTAGTATCAAAACAGAACTTGCCCTTCCTCTTCACAGACTTTCTGGCCACCCCCACCCCCCACCCCTCCTCACCTTCCCACAATGACCTCCCAGAAATGTCTGCCTGTTGTGAAACCCTCACATCCCAGCACATAGCCATATGTGTCAAATCTCTCAGGGTTGTTTGGCAGGTATCTAAACACTTTCCCCCTTCGCACACTCTTTCGATCCTCAGACAGGGAGAGCCAGGGATTTGCTGTGTCCGGATCCAATGTGACGTTTTCTGTGGGGGCAGATGAGGAAAGAGAAGAGAAGTGACGTCAGCTGGGAGACTGACACTTCTTTAGACACATGAGAGAAATATGAAAAGGGTTTTCATGCACTGCGTTCAGAACTGGGGTGCTCCTTAGGTTCTTAATAATGATTCTTTAAACATCTGCAGTTCTTTCAAAGCACTTCACACATCTCTCTCTTGAAATTGTGCCTCCTTTAGATCCTGAAATTTACCTTGATGCAGCTGAAGTCCAGAGTCCAGAGTGCCTGGAGAAGAAAAGGGAAGAGAGATTTAGCATCACACCACCATCCAGAGAACAAATCTGGTAACAACAATATGAGCTCCTGAGATTGTAGATGTGGTGCCAACCCATCAGCCCGAACCACCAGCCACACCAGTTGGAGCTTAGGAGAGTTGCAGCTGAAAATGTCTGAAAGCCACCACAATAGCCATCCCTGCATAAGCCAGGGCAAGGGCTATGTCCAAGTTCTAGGCCTGCTCAGACCTGAGAAGAAGAGCAGGACCTCCAAAAGACCTCCCCTTCCGTATCAACCTTGAGATGTAAGATCTCTTCCAGGACTGGAGATCTCATCCCCAGTTCCCTCTGATCCCAGATGGCTTTTTGACAGCCCCCCGCCTCCTTCACATCAATCTCAAGGCCAGAGGAACAGAGGAGACGCCGAGAGGCTGTAGGTGAGGCTACTTGGGAAATGGGTGAGGAGTGTGAAAACATCTAAGGCCTGGCGAGAGAGATGTGAAGCAGTAAAATACAACTTTCTACAGAAAACGTACGCGAGGGTTACTTTCCTGGGGATTGTGCATAAAGTTGTGTAATGTCAGAATGACCCCTGGAATTGCCCCTGCCATCTGAGATCTCAGACAGCCCTGCGAGACCTCGCAGGAGCATCTCAAAGCCCAGTAAGCAAGGAGGATGGCTTAAAAGCAAATTCCGTGTAGGGATTAAAAGTGCCTTTTTCTCATGAGAGCCTCCAGAGCCCAGCCAATGAGGGCTTCCTGCTTGCTTTCTGTTTATTTATCTGCAATCCACATAACAGTTTTGATTGTGTAAGTAAAACCAGCATGATGTGAGTCATCTGTATGTTAAAGTGTGGCCTCTGGACATTGAAATAAAACAAAAACATAAACCTTTCCTGGCATTACTAATATTACGTATGACCTGGAGCCTTTCATAAACACTTTAAAACATTCAGTATAAAATCCCTGTTGCCTTTCTTCATTACCTTTGAACTGCTTCATGACTCCCTCCAGGAAGAGATTCATATCACAGAAGTCCCAGGTCCTCCACTTCAGGGCAGGAGGAAAAGCCACAGGAGGATCCTCTAAGTTCTCCTTCTCCTGAGACCTGGGAGGAGGAGAGCAAAGTCAAGCCACCAGCCTTCCAATGCAAGGAGCTTTCTGACAAGGCAGGTGTCTCATCCTGATGAAAAGGCATGATGGATATATCCTGAAGACTTGGGAGCAGGGTTTTTCCTATGGCAAAAGGGAGCATCTAGAGAGCACCTAAAAAGATGAAGGAAAACCGGCACACACCTGCTTCCAAAATATGGTGAAGGAAATATAGGAATATGAGATTGAAGGTAAAGAAGCTGATATATGCATTTTTTTTAAAAAAGAAAACTTAACAATACAAGGGTCTTAGGCAGAGATTTGGACTACACCAATTTTAGTGAAGCATTTCAAGTGAATATAATAATAATTATTTTTTAGCCCAGTGGTTACATTTAAAAAAGGAAAAAATATTAGAAATTAAAACTGTATTTTCTAAATGTGGAAGATTTTTAAAATACAGTGGTACCTCAGGTTACATACACTTCAGGTTACATATGCTTCAGGTTACAAACTCCACCAACCCAGAAATAGTACCTCGGGTTAAGAACTTTGCTTCAGGATGAGAACAGAAATTGTGCTCCGGCAGTGCAGCAGCAGCGGGAGACCCCATTAGCCAAAGTGGTGCTTCAGGTAAAGAACATTTTCAGGTTAAGTACGGACCTCCGGAACGAATTAAGTACTTGACCCCAGGTATCACTGTATGTTGCAGTTGTTTGGGGGACAAGGCTCTCAGCGGCTAATATTCACGATGCCTCTGAACCACAGGAGGGGAGTGTCCTCTGGGGCTCGGATCCTGCTCACAGGTTTCCTACTGGTATCTGGTTATTCACTGTGGAAACAGGATGCTGGACTAGATGGGCCACTGGCCTGATCCAGCAGGGCCCTTTCTCACCTTCTTATGTCTGAGGAAGAACCGGCAGGGGCTCCAAATACACTGGATATTTAAGGGTAAGTTATAGTGAAGATATTTACAAGCCCCTTTGGGGTGTCCCCCCTTTTTGTATCAGTTGCAGAGTAAACGAATCCATCACAGAGAAGGGCCTCCAGAAATATGCAATGGGAATGGCTTCCAGTCTGTGATTGTAGATGGGACCAATAGCTACAAATGACAATGAAAACGTTTCCCTGTTTTTGTCTGTGGTCTTGTGAAATGGATGATGGAGTCCTACATTATCTCTGGATGGAGGAACTGGAGAGCGAGTTTAAACAAGAACTTTTGTAGCAACATAATAAGGCAGGGGTTTTCCATCACTTACCTCTGCAAGGAGCTTCCAATATCCTGGAAGGAAAGAAAGAAAGATGTCAGTGGAGCCATTTCTGCACTGATCACTGCAGTGATGACTAATAAACGCTCCCCTTCTTCCCTTTTGGCCAAGTTGTCCAAATAGCTGAGAGGTTCAATCTCACCCTGGTTTACCATTTTGCCCTGCAGTGCATGCTGGCTCCATGTTCACCTGCGACCAATTTGTTTACTGCTAGGTACATCTCATACTCCAGTCATAGATCCCAGGACAGCACCTGAAGGAACACGCGCTTGATGCAGTAATGATCACCAACTTGGAAGGGTTTAGAAGGTTGGTTTATGAAAACTACCCACAAAGTGTTGGAGGCAGTATCAGTTGTATTCAACTAGTTTTACTCAGATACACTGAAATTAATGAACCTTAGATGTTGTTGTTGTTTACTCGTTTAGTCGTGTCCGACTCTTCATGACCCCCTGGACCAGAGCACGCCAGGCACTCCTGTCTTCCACTGCCTCCCCCAGTTTAGTCAAACTCATGCTGGTAGCTTTGAGAACACTGTCCAACCATCTCGTGGGGGCCAACAGAGAACCTTAGATAGCCATCACCATTAATTTCAATCAGTCTACTCTGAGTAAAGGTTAATTGACTACAAGCTTATACCTCTGGGAATCACAGATGGGGAGAGCCCCATTGGCTTATGGGCTTCCCAGACATCTCTGGTTGACCAATGAGAGAAGAAGATGCTGAACTGAAGGCGCTTGCAGTTTGATCCAGCAGGAACCTTTTTTGTGACTCCAGAGCTAATAGCTTTCATCCTTCTTGTACCAACTGTTTTTTTTTAACACCGATATTTTTCTGTGGGGGAGGACTAAGGAATGCTTGTACAATCATACCTCAGGTTGAATGTGCTTCAGGTTGAGCGCTTTCGGGTTGCGCTGCGCAGCAACCCAGAAGTAACGGAGCGCGTTACTTCTGGGTTTCGCCACTCGCGCATGCGCAGACACAGAAAATGACAACCTGCACATGCGCGGAAGCGGCAAAACACAACCCGCGCACGTGCAGATGCGCTGTTGCGGCTTACGTTCCATTCAGGATATAAACGGGGCTCCGGAACGGATGCCGTTCGCATCCCGAGTTACCACTGTAGTCTGAAGCAGCACACTCCACCCTCTCACATCAGGATGAGGCCTCACCTGCAGGAGTTCACTCTCTGGTTCCTGAAGCTTCTCCTCCATCTCCCGGATGAGGCTGTCAAGAGAGGAGAGTTCCCTGGAGAGTCTGGCCAGGTGCTCCTCCCTTTTGGCTGCAATCTCCTTCTCCACTTCTGCCATCTGAGCCAAAAGAAGTTTCTCTTGTTCTTCCAGAAACTGGTGCAGTCGCCTGAACTCAGCTACCATCTTTTCTCTCTCTGCATCTGTTTGTTTCTGCAGCAAAGAGGTTGAAAGAAGAGAACAGTGGGCCAAAATCAGGCATCTAGCCTCCTGTTAAAGGATGAGGAGGCCAGATATCTGAATTCCCTTGGAAGGGAACGCCTGACATATTGAGCAGAGAAAGAACTTCGTAAAAATTTACAAGCCCACCCACTCCTTTAAATGGTATTTCATGCTATGTGGGAGATCAGACCATTCAAAAAGAAATCTCTTTCTCTATTTCATATTCATTTCCCCAGATTTTGATTTAAGACTACAGCACTTATTCACTTCCAAGTAACAATAATGCTTACAAGCAGGTATTGGCTTTCCTTTTCTGCATCTGCTTTAAACACCAGAATTTTCTCTCTCTCCTTCCTCACATTGTCTAGGCAGCTGCTGATCTGATCCTGAAAAGAAAAGAAAATCAAACTTTGGTTGTTTTTTTTATTTGCTGGAGTTTTATTATTCATAATAACAGGAAAGTTGAATCACATGCTTGCTCCCTGCCCCAAATACTGTGGCCTTGCTTTCTTCATCCAAGGAGACTGTGGCACAATGGGTCAGTGTGTCTGGCTGTTAATCAGAAGGTTGGTGGTTCAAGCCCAACCAGGGATGGCTGTGGGCAGAATTCCGGCATTTCAGGGGGTTGGACTAGATGGCCCTTAGGGTCCCTGCCACCTGCACTGCCCCACCCTCCAGCCCTTTCCTAAGGGAGCTGCTTCCAGAGGAAGGACTGTGGTTGAGTTACTCCTGCATGCAGGGGGGGTATGGGGGGCACTATACTCCCCCAAAAAGAAAAAAGGAAATGTTTATTGAAGAGTTTTGGAAGTTTAGTTACTCTTTGGCTGCTGGAGGGGAGAATACATTAAAGCGTTTTCTTGCAAGACCCCCTTCTCTGTAGCTCTTTCACCCTCACCATCCCCAAAGGAAACCCAGAGAGATTTCCTACCTTGTACTCCTGCAACGCCTCCTCCAGAGGGATCACCTCGTGGCCTTTGTGCTCCTTGGATACATTACACACCACACAGATGGGGGCTTCTTCCTCCTTGCAGAAGAGCTTCAGGGGCTCCTGGTGCTTCTCGCAGACCCTCCCCTTTCCTTCTGCCCCCTTTCCCCCTGGAAGGGAGACTTTCTCGGCTCCCAGTATTTCCACAACATTTGCCAGCGGCCGATTGGGGATGAGGGTCCTGTGCTGAATGATTTCTCTGCACAGAGGGCAGGAAGCCTCTCCCTCGGACTTCTCCCAGCACTGGATCAGGCATGCTCGGCAGAAGTTGTGCCCGCACTCCGGGATGATCACCGGATCCCTGAAACACTCCAGGCAGATGGAGCAAGTGGCTTCCTCGCAGAGATCCTGCACGGCACCCCCAGAAGCAGCCATCGCCAGGAAGAGAGAGCTTGGTTGCCTTTTCTTCGCTTTCCGTGTGCGAATTGCTATGTTTCCGTTTCCCGGGAGGAGATTATTCCACGTGGTGACTCAAGATTTCCCTTCCGCTCCGCAGATGTGGAGTTAGCAAGATCTGGGATATTTCTTCTCCCGCCCAGGAAATTTAAGCAGGACGACTCAGGATCTCGGCTGCCTTAAAGACAGTGTCTTTAAGTGGAACAGGGTCTCTTTGATATGGAAATTTATTTATTTGTAATGAGAATGGGCAGAATTCCTTGCTTCTAATTTAAAGGGCCATGCACCTAGGAGAGGCAGAGATAAGTGCTCTTGTTTGTTATTTTAGCTTCACCGCCAGCCTCGAACGCCTCTGAATGAATAACTCAAACTCTGCCGACTCTTTCCAACTGCAGATCACAATGTTCAGCCCAAACTCCACTGCGATGCACATTCCCACGGGACAATTGGACCCTCGTCCGCAGCCACAGACCTGGGAAATTTTTAAGCTGCTCTTCAGGACCAGTTTCTTCCCATTCCCCCCCCACCCATTGATCCCATCTCCAGTCTGTCCATCCTCTCAGAAAAATTAACATTAACCATTGGAATTTTTAAAAACCATTTTGTGTGTGTGTGTGGGGGAAGTGTTCTCTCTTTTTACTTGTGATATTTTATATCTTTATATACTGCTAAAGTATTATTGTTTGGTGGTTGATACATACCATATTTTTCTGTATATAAGATGCCCCCATGTATAAGAAGACCCCTATTTTTTGAGCCCAAAATGAAGAAATAAAAATATTTTAAACACCAAACAGAACAACTTTGATATTTTATTAAATATCTAGGCAATCACCAAAACCTGTGAGCTAAGCCTTTTTGTAAAAAAATAAAGTGCACTCCTATGTCTACTCAAGAGTAAGTTCAAAGGGACTTATTCCAGGACACAGGGCTATAGGCTTAATTTCCTATTTGCTCCACAGAGCTCAGAAGAGATTAGAAAGATGTGCTGCCTTCCCTTCTTCCAATTTCAGAATTGCCTTTCAGGTGACTATGATAAAAATGTTGAATGAAAACACCTCTCCCTATTTGTATGCCCTATCTGTTTGGCACTGGTTGCAATGCTTCCGTTGAAAACAGGGTGGGGAACTATTATAATTGGCATTCTTTTCATCCCCCCCTTCAATTTGCACACAACTGACTGTATTTTTTAAAAATAGGGTGTCAATAGGGTACCTGCTCTCTCGCTGAAATGGCAGATACGGCTGAGACTCACTGCTCTCCTGGTTGTGGGATTCCCACAAATAAAGGGATGGGCAGACTTCAGACTTGGGAGATTTGCTTTCATTTCTAATCCGAATGCTGAGATCCAAAAATGGATCCAGGTGCAAAATAAGAGTTTATGCAGGGAAGCCCCTGAAATCAGCCACTCACTCAAACTGGATCAACTCCTCCTGCAGACATTCACGGTAAAGACAAGAAGGTCTGAATATGAGCTTCCACATACAGGAACTTTGCAGGGAGGGCTGTCAAGCATATCTCTGAAGGATCCTTGTTAAGATTTCAAATTCTGAAATCTTGGGATGACAAGGCCCAGGTTCAAACCTCTTTTGACCATAAACTTTAATTTGTTTCCTTTTTTTCTAAGTCTCTCAGCTCAGTTTCTTCAACCACACAGGGTTTCTCTGAGGATAAAACAGGATATCGCCCTCCTAAAATCCCTGGAGAAAGTGTCATGGGGAATGGATGGGGCCATTATACTGTTGAGTTTGAAACAACATAGGAACAATGAGAAGGACAATCTTTAATAAAATCAAATATGATAGCACATGAAACATATCCACAAATTCTTCCAGTTATACAAAAGGATAAGAAGAGGTGATGAGGAGAAGGCCTTAGATCAGACACTCCAAACTCAGCCCTCCAGATGTTTTGGGACTACAACTCCCACCATCCTGACCACTAGTCCTGTTAGCTAGGGATGATGGGAGTTGTAGTCCCAAAACATCTGGGGGGTTGAGTTTGGGGATTCCTGCCTTAGATAATATCTTGTGGAACTTTATGAAAAAATCTATAGAAATAATAGGGCTAGGGGAAAACTTTAAGAGAGGCATTGAGGCAGTATATTGAAACCAGAGAGCCAAACTGATCCTTAATATTGAAATAATGGAAGATTTAAAGATAAGTAAAGGGACCAGGCAAGGCTGTCCTCTTTCACCTTTAGTATTTATTGTGAATGCAATAAGGTAAGATCAAAATATAAAAAGTATAACAGTGGGAAAGGAATCACATAAGATGAAGGCCTTTGCACATGATCTGATCCTAACTACCAAAAATCCAGAAGAGAGTGTACCAAAAATAATATAAAGGATTCTTTAATTAGGAAAAGTGACAGGATTTAAACTAAACAAGAATAAAACCAAAATGTTAGCAAAAATACGTCAATGCAGGAAAAAGAAGAACTGCAGAAGATATCAGGATTAACAATAGTAAACCAAACTAAGTACTTGGGAATTTGGCCGACGATTAAAAACAGTAACCTATTCAAGGATAACTATATAAAAATATGGAAATAGTTCAAGAGAGATTTGGAAATTTGTAGTTAAGTTAAGATGATCAATGTGTGGCAGGATATCAGTTGTGAAAATGAAAGTGTTGCCTAAAATGATGTTCTTATTTCAAATGATACCAATCATTGGAGGGGTGGGATTTAAATCTTGGCAAAAAGATCTATCAAAATTTATTTGGCAGTATAAAAAACCAATAATTACACATAAACTTTTAATAGATAAAAAATAATAGGGGTGGATTGGCATTACCTGATTTAAATTTGTACAGTGGTACCTTGGGTTAGCCCCATTAGCTAAAGTGATGCTTTAGGTTAAGAACAGTTTCAGGTTAAGAACGGACCTCCGGAACGAATTAAGTACTAAACCCGAGGTACCACTGTAGAGGGCACTACTACATGTGTGGTGGACATGTGACAAAATTGGAAGCTTTTGGGACATGGTATACGAAGAGCTAAAGAAAATGTTTAAAGAAAACTTTGTTAAGAAAACAGAAGCTTTTTTATTGGGGATATTAGATACGAATATAGCCAGAGAAAATAAGAAAATATTCCTTTATGCTACTACAGCTGCGAAACATTAATTGCTAAATATTGGAAAAAAGAAATAACACCAACAAGAAAAGAATGGCAAGATAAATTATTTGATTATATAGAATTGGCTAGAATGACAGATGCAATTAGGGGGCAGCCCAAACAAAAATTTCAAAAAGAATGGGGAAAATACAGGGATTACCTTAAAAAGCAGTGCCCTCAAATAAAAAACAAAAACCAAAATAAAAATGGGTAAAAAATATACAAAAAGGAGGAAACAATTTATCAAAAATGAAAATGCAACTGTGCTGAGGATGAAGGAAGTCAACTGGAAGAAAATAATTGAAATATAAAAAGGTAAAGGTAAGGTAAGGGACCCCTGGATGGTTAAGTCCAGTCAAAGGCAAGTATGGGGTTGCGGCGCTCATCTTCCTTTCAGGCCGGGAGAGACAGCATTTGTCCACAGACAGCTTTCCGGGTCATGGGGCCAGCATGACTAAACCGCTTCTGGAGCAATAGTTTATTATTTGTATTGTATGAGTTTTTGTATGCTATGCTGATATTGCTTATTCTTTTCACTAGTATTCTTATCTTTTATCTTTTAATGTCTTTTTACCTTGTATTTTACTACTTTTATGTTCAGTTGTATGAATGTGTGTGCCTGTGCTGCAAAATTTTACACACACACACACACACACACACACACAGGTACCTCTGGTTAAGAACTTAATTCATTCTGGAGGTCTGTTCTTAACCTGAAACAGTTCTTAACCTGAAGCACCACTTTAGCTAATGGGGCCTCCTGCTGCCACCACACGATTTCTGTTCTCATCCTGAAGGAAAGTTCTTAACCTGAGGTACTATTTCTGGGTTAGCGGAGTCTGTAACCTGAAGCACCTGTAACCTGAGGTACCACTGTATAAACAAAAAAAGAAGAGGTGATCTCTAAAAATACAGATAAGTATCTGACTGTTCACTACAAAGCACCTTGGAGAATATAATTGTATACATGGGAATTTACGGGGGGGAAACCCACTCCCCAAAATCCTCTAGATTGTCACTGTTCTCTCCTCAGAACTTCTGACAGAGGCTCTTCACTGTCAAGAGGGGATTTTGTTACATCAAGGCCCAAAACCTGTGTGGGGGGGTTATGTTTCTGGGGTCAGAATGCAAAAGCAATATTGGATAAGTCAGGAAGACCCCCGAAAATGCGCCCCAAGCAACCATCCCTACGTGTCCGAAGCCAGAGATCTTGAGAGCTTTATGCAACCTTTCTGGAGGCCAGTAAGCAAGGTGGACTTAGAAACCCTTTCTCCCACTGCCAAAGCGCCCCCCCGCCCAATTGCCTTCTGGGCTTTGGAGACTCTTGTGACATCTCACAGTCCCTTCCAAGAGGTTTTCCCATCTCTTGCCCTCTTTCTATTTATTAATTTGTTTTCACAAAGTGCTCCAGGCTGCAATCATGCAAGTAAGTTGTGCGTTCTGGGTCGACTAGCAAACAGGTCTCTGATTTTGCTATATTGCCACATAAGCTTCACTGAGTAGCAGCAAAAAAAGGGGGGGGTGTTGGGATTTTGGAATTTCCATTCATGGTCAGTGGAGGTTTTGGGGGAGGAAAGGGAATCTGAGAAAGGGATTGAGGCTGAGGAAGGTTTTAAGTGATGCCCGTGCATAATTCTGGTTTTATTCATAAAAGATGATGGTATTGTCTCTAGAAAACTCAAGTTGGAGGTTGGAGAGATGGAGAGAGAACATCAAAACAGGAATATTGCGGGGGGGGTGTGTTGCTGTTGTTTCCTAAATCATTTTCTTGCTTCTTTCCCCCTTTGCACCTCCTGGACTGACAGAAGTAGCCTATTCCCAAGGGAGAGAGAACAGGCAAGTTTGGGGACTGACAGGGGACCCAATCAATCAGTGTCATTCACAAAACTGGCCTGGGAAGGGAGAGTTGTATCATGATTGACACAAGGGATGGCCAATCACCGTTCTGCAAATATGGTTTCTCCTGAAGTGCCTGTCAGCTCAGTCCTGAAGAGGAGACTGAATGTGCCATGATGACAGTGAATATATGCTTGTCTGTCTGCACCTTCAGTCAAGAGAGTCTCAGGTTCCCTTTCTTGCTCACGAAAAAGTAGGGCTGGAGGGTCTCTCCTGAGAAGGGGGCTGCTGTATCTGCATGGAGAAGGGCTGCTGTATTAGCATCGTAAAAGGACACCCGTCCCCCTTCACAGTTCAGGGTCACTCGGATCCTCTCGGGTTCCTCACATGGAACAGGGGCCTTACGGGGGGAGCAGAACTTGACCTCACCATCCGACTTCCCCAAACCCCAGATCCCTTCCGTAGTATTAAAATACAAAACCCCCTTCCTCTTCACAGACTTTCTGGCTACCCCCACCCCCCACGTCTCCTCTCTTCCCACAATGACCTCCCAGAAATGTCTGCCTGCTGTGAAACCCTCACACCCCAGAACACAGCAACATGTGTCAAATCTCTCAGGGTTGTCTGGCAGGTCTTGACGCACTCCTCCCTCTCTCACACTCTTTCGATCCTCAGACAGGGTGAGGAGGGGATGCGCTGTGTCTGGATCCAAAGTTACGTTTTCTGTTGGGGCAGATGAGGAAAGAGAAGAGAAACGACGTCAACGGGGAAGCTGACTTTTCTTTAGGCACATGACAGAAATAGCATCCCCTCTGAAATGAACAGGGACTCCAGGGCTCTGCATTCGAGACAGGGATGTGTATCAAGTTCTTAATGACTCTTGAAATATTTGCAGTTCTTTCAAGTACTTAACACACATTCTCTACATAGAACCCTTGCAACTTCCCTGTAAGTTAAGTCAATCTTAACTATGCCCATTTTTCAGATGGGAGGACTGAGGCTGAGAGACCGTGGCTTCTCTAAGGCCACCCCCACCCCCACAGTTCATGGCAGAAGGGTCCTCTAGTGCAACCCACTGCAATACAGGAATCCCAACTAAAGTATTCATGATAGCCCCCCCCCCAACCTCTGCTTATAAACCTCCAAGGAAGGAGAGTCCACCACCTTACGAGGGACTCCGCTCCATGTTCTGCAGTGTGATGCAGGAGTCCCTGGGAGGTGTTTGGGCCTATGGTTTGTTTTCCCCAGGCAAACTATGAGCAATCAGCCAAGAACAAATTTGATTATACCTTGCAGTTTGGTTTGAGCGATGCAGAAAATTTATAGTTCTATTACATCGTTGACATGAATGGCTTTCTTTTCCTATGAATTGTGTTAATCGTTAATGCATTTATTGTTGCAATCCTAAGATAAAGGGTGACACACACACACACACAACCACAAAAAAAAAAATATCACCTTCAATGCAAAGACCCCATCCTGGCTCCCCAGACCTGATTTGGCTATATAACTCGTCTTTTTCTTCACTGTTCCTCACATTTATGGAAAGGGTGGGCAGTGGAAGCACAATGAGAAGCCCATTTAGAAATTAGTCAGGCTGGTGGAGATTAGGAAGAAGATCTGCTCTGCAGTCCTCTCACCACGTTATGGAAAGTTAGTCAAGCTATTTCTTTTTAAAGACACACATTTGTACAGTGGCCTTTGGAAATTAAGTGGGATATTGGATGTTGCGAGTGCTGCTATTAGTAAAAAAATTTGTAAAATGTAATGGGTTTTACTAATTTATTGTTGTATTGATTAGCCTTTATGTATTTTAATTACTGCTGTTTTCTAAAAGAATCCCAGAATATAATTTTAAAGATAAGTAGGAGTTTCCTTTATGCTGCCATCTGCTGAACCTTGTCCAGCTCTTATGGATCCCTTTTTGTGGTTTTCAGGATCAGGCCAGACTGGACTTCTGTCTTCCCATTGGGCTTTTTTCCCTGGTCTGTGGTGCAATTCTGTCCTGCTCTTTTAAGTTTACTCAAGTTTCTCTAGTTTAAGCAGAGACATCATGTCTCCTCTCCAACAGAAAAGCTGAGGGAAGACCCCCATCTTGCAGGGAAGCCGGACCCCTGGAGTTCACACTCAGGGAGCCCCCAGCTCCCTCCACAAACATCAGAACCCATTCACCTTCTCGCCCCCAAAGGTTGTTGCAGCCATTTTCTGAGCTATTTGTGTTCATGCATTTCCCACTCTTACATAAAAGGGGTGGGGACCCTGCATGGCTCAAAGGAATATTTTCTCCTCATGTGCCAGGAGCCTTTGGCTTCACACCACCCCTGTGTCTTATTGAGATTGGGCACAGAAAAGCCAGCCATCCTGGGCTGGGGGTTCCTAAGAGTCTGCAGGATCAGACCAAGAGCCCCTCTAGCCCAGCATGCTGCTCTCACTCATCACATGCCTCCGGGAAATAAGGGAAAATAAGGCATGGCGGAAGAGCTGCAGTGGCCTGGTCTTTTGAGAAGTGGATCCCCTCTCTCCCGAATTTTGCCTTGGAAAATGGCTGGGGAAACCCAGCCAGATGGTCGGGGTATAAATAATAAATTATTATTGTTATTATTAAATGTACCTTTTTGAAGCTGAAGTCCATATTCCACAGTGTCTGGAAAAGAAAAGGGAACAGAGATTTAGCATCACACCATCAAAGAAAGAACAATATGAGCTCATGAGATTGTAGCCAGGTGTTGTGGACTACAAGTCCCATCATCCCTAACCACTGGCTACACCAGCTGGAGTGATTCCAGAGACCAGCAAGAAGGGTTTATCGTCCTCTTTCAATTGCATAAGTAAAATCAGTTGTGAATCATCTACATATTAAAGTGTGACTTCTAGATATTGAAAAAGTATAAACAAAAAAACCATTTTCCTTGCATGGCTAATATTCCGTATGATCTGGAGCCTGTCATGAACACTTCTAAACAGCCAGTATAAAATACTTTCAGCCCTTCTTTACTAACCTCTGAACTGCTGCATGACTCCCTCCAGGAAGGGATTTATATCTCCGAAGTCCCAGATCCTCCACTTCAGAGCAGGAGGAAAAGCCACAGGAGGAGCCTCTAAGTTCTCCTTCTCCTGAGACCTGGGAGGAGAAGAACAAAATCAACCCTCCATCCTTCCAATGCAAGGCGCTTTCTGACAAGGCAGGTGTCTCATCCTGATGATAAAGGCATGATGGATATATCCTGAAGACTTGGGAGCAGGGTTTTTCCAATGGTAAAAGGCAGCATCTAGAGAGCACCTAACAAGTTGAAGGAAAACCGACACACACCTGCTTCCATAATATGCTGAAGGAAATATAGGAATTTGAGATTGCATAGATCAGCTTCTTTACCTTCAAATTATTTTTTTTTAGGAAAGTGAGCAACACTGGGTCCCTACGCAGAGATTTTAGGACTACACCAGTTTTAGTGAAGCATTTCAAGTGACTAATGAACAGAACAAAATAGGTCTGGTATGTGCCTTTCTGAAACATAAGGACGTTCAGAATGCTTTGGAATGGCTTTTGTAATTAACATTATAAATCTATTTTAGCACAGTGGCTATATTTTAAAAATGGAGAAAATATTAGAAACGAAAGCAGTATTTTCTAAACATGGAAGATTCTCAAAATTCACGAGTGTTTGAATATGTTGCAGTTGTTTTGGGGACAAGGCTCTAAGCGCCTACTCTTCACGATGGCGGAGTCAAAGGCAGTGGTGCCTCTGAAGCACAGGAGGGGAGTGTCCTCTGGGGCTCGGATCCTGATCACCGCAGGTTTCGCATTGGCATCTGGTTAATCATTGTGAAAACAGGATGGTGGACTAGATGGGCCACTGGCCTGATCCAGCAGGGCCCTTTCTCACATTCTTATGTCTGAGGAAGAACCAGCAGGAGCCTGACATACACTGAATATTTAAAGGTAAGTTATAGTGAAGATATTTACAAGCCCCTTTGGGATGTCCCCCCTTTTTGTATCAATTGCAGAGTAAATGAATCCATCACAGAGAAGAGCCTTCAGAAACATGCAATGGGAATGGCTTTCTGACTGAGTTTAGATGGGACCAATAGCTACCACAAAATGTATCCCTATTTTTGTCTGCAATTTTGTGAAATGGACAATGGAGTCCTGCATTATCTCTGGAAGGAGGAAGTGGAGAGTGAGGTTCTCACCAGTTAAACAGGAAAATTCATAGCATCAGAATAAGGTGGGGTTTCCAATCACTTACCTCTGCAAGAAGCTTCCAATATCCTGGATGGAAAGAAAGAAAGGGAGGGAGGGAGGATGTCAGTGGAGCCAGTTCTACTGTTGTTGTTGTTATCAATTTTGTATACAACCCTATACCCGCACGTCTCTGGGTCATAGCTGTCAACTTACAGATTTGAAAATAAGGGACCAGCAGCCAAAATAAGGGACCTGCAGCCTCACCTGTTCCAGGCACTCCAGTCTTCCTGTCCTCCTGCAGCCTGGTCAAACTCATGCTGGTAGCTTCGGAGAACACTGTCCAACCAACTTTGTAACCAGAGGTTCAACTGAATAGAATCTGAATCACATGCACCACAAGGCCTATGCAGCCTCAACTTAAGATGGCTCCCCGGCCTGGCTTTGCACTGCAAAGTTTGCAGCAGCACGTGCAACAAAATGGCATCCAGCATTCAAAAACCTCCTCAGCTTGCATTAACTAGCCACACACAAGGCATGCAAGCTCCACCCCAGTCGTTCTTAGACTTCTTATAGGAGGAGCAACACAGCCAAGCAACACAGTTGGAGCCTCCCTCCTCCCTGGCCGGCAGGGAGGGAGGGAGAGGAGCTGCTTCCTTTGAAATTTAAGGGACATCATTTAAGGGACATTTAAGGGACATCTATCAATAAGGGACAGCAGCGGGACATGGCGCTGGAATAAGGGACTGTCCCTTCAAATAAGCGACACTTGACAGCTATGCTCTGGGTGGTTCATGAGATAAAATCACAGTATAAAAATATATAATTCATAATAAAAATAAAAACAAGAGCAACCAAATAATCCAAACTGTCTTCAGAGGCAGCCCCATGTACTACCACCAAGCTATGTACCCAATCCATCAGAGGAAGCGTAACCCTATCAAAAGCAGCCCATCTCCCACCCATCCAGTCTAGGGGTCCTTCCACTAATAGCTCCTCAGTCTTATCTGGATTGAGCTGCAGTTTGTTGGCTCTCCTCCAGTCCGTTATGGAGACAAGACAACGGTCCAGCACTTCCACTGCCTCACCTGAAGGTGTAAAGGAGAGTCACCAGCATATTGCTGACAACGGGCTCCAAACCTCTGCATGACTCCAATCAGTTATCAATACTAAGCAGCTGAGTTCCCCTTGCAGGGAAACAGAGGGGGGCAGAGTGCTGCTGGTTCTTTAGGCTTCCAGCCACCTCTGGTTGGCCAATGCAAGAACACAATGCTAAAGTGAAGAAGCCTGTGGCTTGATCTAGCAGCACCCCTTTTGTGACCCCAGGCCTTTCACCCTTCATGTACTAATTGTGTTTTTTTACAGCAGCTTCTTTGGGGGGGTGGGGGGGCTAAGATATGTTATCCTCCTGCCTGTAGTCTGAAGCAGCACACTCCACCCTCTCGCATCAAGACCAGGCCTCACCTGCAGGAGTTCGCTCTCTGGTTCCTGAAGCTTCTCCTCCATCTCCCGGATGAGGCTGTCAAGAGAGGAGAGTTCCCGGGAGAGTCTGGCCAGGTGCTCCTCCCTTTTGGCTGCAATCTCCTTCTCCACTTCTGCCATCTGGGCCAGAAGAAGCTTCTCTTGTTCTTCCAGAAACTGGCGCAGTCGCCTGAACTCAGCCACCATCTTTTCCCTCTCTGCACCTGTTTGTTTCTGCAGCAAAGAGGTTGAAAGAAGAGAAGAGTGGGCCAAAATCAGGCATCTAGTCTGCTCTTGAGGATGAAGAGGCCAGTTATCCCAATTCCTTTTGAAGGCCACTTCTGAAATTTTAGAGAGATTACACCTATATTCAGCAGGGAAAGAGCTTCCCACCCCCTCCTTTAAATGGTCTTTCACGTCTGTGGGAGATACGGCTGTTCAAAAATAAACCACTTTCTGTATTCCATATTCCTCCCCCCCCCCCAGATATTGATTCTAGACCACGGGTGTCAAACACAAGGGCCGCGGGCCGAATCCGGCCCGCCAGACCTCGTCATGTGGCCCGTGTAGCCGCCAGCCCGGCCTGCCCGCTTCCCCCTGCGAGGCGGCGCACTGTGGGCGGGGCTGGGGCCCTGGAAGGCGGGTGGTGGAGAAAGCGAAGGCACTCCCTTCCCACGCCATTACCTGACCGGCCTGAGAGAAAATTTCTGAGGCGGCGGCCTTCGTCCAGGGTCGGGGGGCCATGGTGGGACTTTGCCCTCCCAGCGCCTTCGCCCTTGGAGCCCGACGCCCAATGCCCGGAGGGCCCGCCGAGAGCGGGAGGCAGCGGGGGCGCAGGCGGCGTGGCAAAAAGGAGGAAGGCGGAGGAGAAGGCAAAGGCCAGCGGCCTTGCTCCGCTGGAGGCGCCCCGACGCCGATGCCACGTTTCCCTCACGAGGAGACGGGCGAGGAGGTCGCCGAGCAGCCGCCGCCGCCGCCTCGCCGGGACCAAAGGGATGGCGAACCGCCTGCGAGGTGAGTCGCTGACCGGCCGGGCCCTTCCGTCGCCCTTCCCGGCTCGCATCTCTCCTGTTTCACCTTATTACTTTTATGTTACTCGCGAGTCTTCTGCTCTGAAGACAGATGCAAATAATCCGTTCAGCTCCTCTGCAATCTCCTTTCCCACCTTTAGCACATCTTTGATTCCCTTGTTGGCCAAAGGCTCTACCACAGACATGTCCAAAGTCCATTTTGGGGCCTAATCCAGCCCCTTTGGCAGTTTATGGGGTGAAAGCCATAAAAAACCCCTCAACAACTTCAACCCTAAAAAAAAAAGGTCAACAATTTCAATCCTTAAAAAAGCGAAAAGCGCAACAACTTTGGTCTTTGGTTGGCCCTCACGGCCCTTCACTTCATCAAATCTGGCCCTCCTTGAAAAAAGTTTGGGAACCACTGTTCTAGACTATAGCATTTTTCATCTTAAAGTAGTAACAATAGTGCTTACAAGCAGGTCTTGGCTTTCCTTTTCTGTGTTTGCTTTAAATATGAGAATTTTCTCTCTCTCCTTCCTCACATTGTCTAGGCAGCTGCTGATCTGATCCTGAAAAGAAAACAAAATCCAAATTGGGCTGCATTACACATTAACAGGCAAGCTGAATCCTGTGTTTGCTCCCTGCCCCACATCCCTGGGTCTTTTGCAGAGGCTCCCCTTTTTCATCCCAGAGGAGGCAGAAATGGACCTGCCCTATATCAGAGCTGGGGACGCAGGTGGCGCTGTGGGTTAAAGCCTGTCGTTCGGTCCCAGCGCCTGCCAACCTAGCAGTTCGAAAGCACCTTCGGGTGCAAGTAGATAAATAGGGACCGCTTACTAGCGGGAAGGTAAACGGTGTTCCGTGTGCTGCGCTGGCCTGCCAGAGCAGCGATGTCACGCTGGCCACGTGACCCGGAAGTGTCTGCGGACAGCACTGGCTCCCGGCCTATAGAGTGAGATGAGCGCACAACCCTAGAGTCTGGCAAGACTGGCCCATACGGGCAGGGGTACCTTTACCTTTACCTTTATATCAGAGCTGAGAAACATGGGGTTTTGCTATTTGTCCCCCACACTCAACACACCTCCAACAACCCCCCTCCTTTTTATTAAAATAATCCTAGATGTTGTAATCTTTCCTCCCAGGGGAGTTACTGCAGCCTGCATTCAGGGTCACTGGGGGCACTTTACTCCCTCAAAAAGAAAAAGAAATATTTATCGTATAAAGTTTCAGAAGTTTAGTTTTATCAGGCTGCACAAGATCTCTTGCTGGAGAATTCCTTTTGGGTGGCAAGTAGAGAGAATACATTACATCATCATCATCATCATTATTGCAAACCCCTCTTGTCTGCAGCTCTTCCACCCCCAATAAAGACCCACTGCCTTTTCCCACCTTGTATTCCTGGAAAGCCTCCTCCAGAGGAATCACCTCGTGGCTTTTGTGCTCCTTGGATCTGTCACACACGACACAGATGGGGCTTTCGTCCTTCTTGCAGAACAGCTTCAGGAGCTCCTGGTGCTTCTCACAGACCCTCCCTTTTCCTTCTCCCTCCTTTCCCTCTTTTCCCCCAGATGGCTAAATTTCTTGGCTATTTCTACAAAATTTGCCAGCTGCAGGTTTCTCCTGATGCTGCCTTGCTCCACTGTTTTCCTGCACTGAGGGCAGGAAGCCTCTCCCTGGGATTTCCCCCAATACTGGGTCAGGCAGGATCGGCAGAAGTTGTGCCCGCACTCCGGGATGATCACTGGATCCGTGAAATAATCCAGGCAAATGGAGCAAGTGGCTTCCTCGCTGAGATCCCGGACGGGACCCCCAGAAGCAGCCATGGCTGCTGCCTCGCCAGGAAGAGGGAGCTGGTTTCGTTTTCTCTCTTTTCCGTCTGCAAATGGGCGTGTTCCCTTTCCAGGAAATTCAGATGCGATTACTCAGGATCTCTGCTGCCTTGGAGATGGGTGGAGCTCCATATATATATAATTGAGTGCTCATCCATGGTGGCTACTCGTTTAAGGAACCATTTCCCCGTGGGAGCTGGTGGAGTTTATTGTTGTTGTCGTTTAACTATCAGCATGTCAGCCTCAGACTACTTTGCAAGCTGATGAATGAATCCCCCCCCCCGCCTTGCTCCATTGACATCTTCTTTCTAGTTAGCAGCCCCCACATACAGAGGAGAAACAGCCCAGCCCTCCATCCCGGTGCCAGTTTTCAGTGAGTCGTTCTGACAGAATCGTCGGCGTCTGATAATGTGCAATAACAACCTCTGGAACGAACTCTGCAAACAGCTCAGCTAAATGGTATCCAGATATTTGCCAATAACACTGCAGCGCAGCTATTAACATCGGGTGCTTTCAATTAGCCCCATTTTTTCAATGAATGCAGCCCTTTGTCAGTGAAATATCACTTTAGTCAGAGAGAACATGAACCAAACAAGTTCCTCTTTTGGGAAAGCTGCCTGGGGGAGGGACAAGAGGCGGGCTTCCTCTCCTGACTGACCTAACAGAAAGCCAATGAAAATGTGGCCACCTCGCCTGCCACTCAAGTTCATGCAGAGAAGCAGGAGTCAAACTAGGGACTCCTCTGATTCACAGCTCAATATTTTGCCTTGAAAGGTCAGGAAAAACTGGCAGCAGCCCATAGCAGAGAAAATACCCTCTTTGCAGCTACCACCCAAGTTTCCATTATATATTTAAAGTATGTTATCCTGCTGTTATGTACTGAAGTTCTCACCCTGGGCCAGCAGGGGGATACTGTAGATAGTTATGCAAATGAAGGATCGAAAGTGACGTTCAGTGATTGGATAGTTTTAGAAAGTTCTTCAGTTAGATTGTTCTGGAGCTCTATATAAGCAGGCTGACTGAGCTCCTCAGTTCAGTTCTGTTCCAGCTTACAAATAAAGAGCTGCTTTGGAAGAATCGCTGTGTCATCTGATATGTTCACCCACAACTTAACACCTGCAACTTTCCAGGTACTGTAGTTTATACACATCAAAACAGTGACACTTGAACCGAACCACCTTGGATTAGTTTATCCATGCCTTTTCTTCCCTGCACATGTCACAGGTGAGTGAAAAATGAATTGGAGGCTGCAGTCTTGGCGTAACACCCCCCCTTACATTTGTTTTCAAATGGACACACTGTTGGGTAACGCAAAATCAATTTGCAATGAGCTTTTATTGAGAGATGCGGGTGGCACTTGAAAATATCTGAAAGCCACCATGATGAGCACCCTTGCATATGCCAGGGCAGGGGCAATGTCAAGGCTCAGGCCTGCCCAGACCTGGAACCTGGTGTCTCCTAAGGTGATGTCTCTGCTTTTTAAAGTACCCGCCACCTTAAGTACATCTTAAGTAAAGGTAAAGGTACCCCTGCCCGTACGGGCCAGTCGTGTCCAACTCTAGGGTTGCGCGCTCATCTCACTCTAGAGGCCGGGAGCCAGCGCTGTCCGCAGACACTTCCGGGTCACGTGGCCAGTGTGACGAAGCTGCATCTGGCGAGCCAGCACCAGCGCCGCACATGGAAACCCCGTTTACCTTCCCGCCGGAGTGGTACCTATTTATCTACTTGCACTTAGGGGTGCTTTTGAACTGCTAGGTGGGCAGGAGCTGGGACCGAACAACGGGAGCTCACCCCGCCGCGGGGATTCGAACCACCGACCTTACGATCAGCAAGTCCTAGGCACCTAAAGAACGATAAAACTATCAATGTACCTGCCACCTAAAGAACGATAAAACTATCAATGCATATCCTTGCCTTCTGGCCTTCCCGAGGATGGGCTATGGGAACACCTGCCTCAGGCAACCCATCAATTGATGTTCATTGTCCCCCTACAAATGCTGTGTACTTGACTGTTTATCCCAAGGATTATGGGGGAGGGTGGTATTCAAGTTGAGTACGTGACCTCTCCCTTAGAGAATTATGGAGGAAGACGATGTCCAAGTCCGCATTTCCTTTTGAAGCAAAATGTCATTGAAATGGGGAAGAAATGCCCTCGCATGAAGCCTTGGGTTTGCAATTTTGGGAGAGGGGAGACTGCAGTGATGGGGAGCGGGCAGGCTGGCGAGGCCCCCTAGATTTAGAGGCCCGAGTTGCCCTGCCCAAGCAGGAAGTCTTGGGTTTGCTATTTTGGGAGACGGAAGACTGCGGCGCAGGGGTGTGGGCAGGCTGGCGAGGCCCCCTAGATTTAGAGGCCCTAGGCTTCATCTTTCTGTTGGGAAAGATGGAGGGCACAAGGAGAAGGGGACGACAGAGGATGAGATGGTTGGACAGTGTTCTTGAAGCTACCAGCATGAGTTTGACTAAACTGCGGGAGGCAGTGGAAGACAGGAGTGCCTGGCGTGCTCTGGTCCAGGGGGTCACGAAGAGTCGGACACAACTAAACGACTAAACAGCAACAACAACAGGCTTCAGCCTACTCAGCCTATACATAAATCTGGCCCTGCCTAGCACCCAAGTCACTACAGGTCTGGTTTTCCAAAAACTGAAACACAGCCAGGGATTTGGGGGGGGGACTTTTATGGGGAGGGCAGAACTGAGAAATCTGTGACACAGCTGGTCAGTTAGTTAAGTGTTATTTATTTATTTATTTGAATTAAGAGGCCAGCTGCCCTCCCTGCCCCCCTCTGTCTACACCCATGGCGGACATCTTTGAGGAGAAAGACGAGAAAGCAGGAGTCATGGCAGAACCCAGACTGGATTTAAATCCCCCTTCAGAGCTTCACTGTTGACACAGGAATACCTGAACATGAGCTGCAGCATAAAAGAACTTCATAATGAAGGCTTGGGAGCACATCTCTGAAGAGGGCTTGGCAACATGGTGCAGATGCTGAGAAAATGGATAGGGAGATTTTTCGTGCAAAAAATAAGAGGGGATCTGTAAAAAACATATTGATGTACCCGATTGTTCACAACAAGTCAGCTTAGAGAAAATAATTGTATAAGTGGGAATTTACTACCACCCCCTAGGTAAAGGTAAAGGGACCCCTGACCATTAGGTCCAGTTGTGACCTTTACTGGCCGAGGGAGCCGGCATTTGTCTGCAGACAGCTTCCGGGTCCTGTAGCCGACATGACTAAGCCGCTTCTGGCGAAACCAGAGTAGTGCACGGAAACGCCGTTTACCTTCCCGCAAGAGCGGTACCTACTTATCTACTTGCACTTTGATGTGCTTTCGAACTGCTAGGTGGGCAGGAGCAGGGACCGAGCAACGGGAGCTCACCCCTGTCGCGGGGATTCAAACTGCCACCCTTCTGATTGGCAAGTCCTAGGCTCTGTGGTTTAACCCACAGCGCCACCCGCGTCCCACTACCACCCCCTGAAATTCCCCAAATTGTCTCTGTTCTGTCCTTGGAACTTCTGTCAGAGGCTCTTACGTTCTGGGGATTAGCAAGTCAAGTCAGGGAGACTCCTTGAGAAACCTTTCTTGGAGGTCCGTAAGCAAAACAGAGGGGCTTAGAAGCCCTTTGCACAGCAGGATATAGGGCACCAAATTTGTAAGCCCCCCATCTTGCTTTCTGGGCTCTGGATGCTCTTGTGAGATAACACACGATCCCGTCTGACAGTTTCCTCCCACCCTCTATCTATCTATCTATCTATCTATCTATCTATCTATCTATCTATCATCTATCTATCTATCTATCTATCTATCTATCATCTATCTATCTATCATCTATCTATCTATCTATCATCTATCTATCTATCTATCTATCTATCTATCTATCTATCTATCTATCATCTATCTATCTCTATCATCTATCTATCTATCTATCTATCTATCATCTATCTATCTATCATCTCTATCATCTATCTATCTATCTATCATCTATCTATATCTATCTATCTATCTATCTATCTATCTATCTATCTATCTATCTATCTATCTATCATCTATCTATCATCTATCTATCTATCTATCTATATCATCTATCTATCATCTATCTATCTATATCTATCTATCTATCTATCTATCTATCTATCATCTATCTATCTATCTATCTATCTATCTATCTATCTATCTATCTATCATCTATCTATCTATCTATCTATCTATCATCTATCTATTTATCTATCTATCTATCATCTATCTATCTAGGCTGTGATTGCATAATAGAAATTATGCAAATTTTGGCCCTCTTTGGATAGAGATATTTTGTTGCAATTGCCACATAAGATGAAGGCAAGGGGTTTTGGTTGTTCACGGCCAGTGGAGGTCATCTTGGGGGAGGTAAAGGGAAACTGAGAACAGGATTGAGGCTGAGGGTGGTTTTAACTGATGTCCTTTCAGAATCATCTTGCCAACAAAGGTACGTATAGTCAAAGCTATGGTTTTCCCAGTAGTGATGTATGGAAGTGAGAGCTGGACCATCAAGAAGGCTGATTGCCAAAGAACTGATGCTTTTGAATTATGGTGCTGGAGGAGACTCTTGAGAGTCCCATGGACTGCAAGAAGATCCAACCTCTCCATTCTGAAGGAAATCAGCCCCGAGTGCTCACTGGAAGGACAGATCCTGAAGCTGAGGCTCCAGTACTTTGGCCACCTCATGAGAAGAGAAGACTCCCTGGAAAAGACCCTGATGTTGGGAAAGATGGAGGGCACAAGGAGAAGGGGACGACAGAGGACGAGATGGTTGGACAGTGTTCTCGAAGCTACCAGCATGAGTTTGACCAAACTGCGGGAGGCAGTGGAAGACAGGAGTGCCTGGCGTGCTCTGGTCCATGGGGTCACGAAGAGTCGGACACGACTGAACAACAACAACAACAAGGGTCATCTAGTCCAACCCCCTGCAATGCAGGAATCTTTTGCCCAGTGTGGGGCTCAAACACACAACCCTAATATTAAGAGCCTCATGCTTTACCGAATGAGCAATGTAAGGCCAGTAAGGTTATGATCTTGTCTTTATAAAGCTGTGTCAGACTCGACTCTCTTTTGGGAGGCTGGAGAAAGAACAGTATCGGAACCGGAATAAGAGCAGGGTCGTTGCTGTTTTACGTATTAGTCTGCTTATTTCCCCTGAAGCAGCTGATTCTCAAGGGAAAGCATGTGGGAGAGACAACAGGCAGGTTTCAGGACTGGCAGGAGAGCCAACCAATCAGTGTTGTTTACCAACCTGGCCTGAGAAGGTAGACTTGGCATCATGACTGGCAGGAAGTCTGGCCAATCACTGTCCTGCAAACACTGTTCTACTTCGGCGGGGGGGGGGCAGCCCTTGAGGACTGCGTGGTGATGAGTGGTTGGGGCAAAGGAGAGCTTTCATTCTTTCCAGAACTACCTGAAAGTTCTTGAAGATTCCAGAAGATTTTGCAAGGATACTGCAAGAAGCTTCCAGAAGGCTGGAAGTTTTTCTTTAGTAAAGGCCACATCTGTGAGAGGAGCTGCTTCTGTTCTTACAGCAGCTGTATGAAAACTGTGTTTAGTCTGCATTGATCTGGCAAGCTGACAGAGAGGGAAGAGCAGGGCATTGTGGGTCGCAAAAAGCAAAGCCCAGAAAACTCTAAGGAAGAAACACTTCAGCAGATGAACTCTGTAAATGGGAACTGATATAAGCAGTGGCGTAGCGTGGGTTATCAGCACCCGGGGCAAGGCAAGTAATTTGCGCCCCCTAACCCATGGATTTGCGCCCCCTAACCCGTGGATTTCCCTAACCCCCAGATGTTGCGGCCAGTGCGGCCGGGCCCCCCTGCACCCCCCACGCTACGCCACTGGATATAAGTAAAAAAAAATTGCTCCTTTTGCCTTATGGGGTACCCAAGAGCCCTTATAAAGTCCTTTTGTAGGTTCTCTATCGGTAGGAGAAAATAACAGAGACCAACCAGAGAATATTGAGAAGCAAAGCAGCTAGTAAGCCTGATCTTTATTAACTGTTGCAACAGGGTGCTCCCCCAACACGCAGGAGAGAGGAGGAGGACCCAGAACAAAGGTGTGCCCACCCTTATATAGACATTTTAAATTGCCCACCCTGGAGTCCAAGACCAACCCCCCCAGACACATCATACCTACATCACAGAAGAGGCGGTCTACAGCAGAAATCTGAGTGTGTTGTTTATCTCCTGTCTGGCAAGTTACCTGATTGCATTATCTGGGTTTTGGCCACTCTTTTGTTATTATAACTACTTAATTCCTGAATCTAGCTCACAGGTCACAGGCTCACACCCTGTTCATATCTTGAATGTGGGTTTGTGAGGAAAAAGAAAGAAATATTTGAGGTCAATTTGTTCAGGACCTAATCTGTGGGGTTTCAGACATGTGATTTATATATACAGTTACGAACATTTAACTTTTTTATATATGACCTTAAAATTCTTATAACAGGAACCATTAAGCTTTTATGACCCAATGGTAAAATACTTCTGTCTGTAATTAACTGAATCTGTGAGTTACTGCCTTCGTTGTCTGGGTCAGAGCTTCTGAAGCGCTTTGATGTTGAGCATCGCTCTGCTGATTTAGGACAGGTGGCACTGAGAAGCATACTGAGCAGCGAACCTGGAACCTTGTCTGTCTCTGCCCTCAGAGAGTGCTAAGTGGCCTTTGGCGGACACATAAAACAAAGGCTGGAGGGTCTCTCCTGAGAAGGAAGCTGCTGGAAATGCGCGGAGAAGGGCTGCTGTATCAGCATCGTAAAAGGACACCCGTCCCCCTTCAAAGTTCAGGGTCACTCGGATCCTCTTGGGCTCCTCACTTGGATGAGGGAACTCATGGGGGGAGGATAACTCGTACCCACCGCCCCACTTCCCCAAACCCCAGATCCCTTCCCTAGTATCAAAACAGAACTTGCCCTTCCTCTTCACAGACTTTCTGGCCACCCCCACCCCCCACCCCTCCTCTCTTCCCACAATGACCTCCCAGAAATGTCTGCCTGTTGTGAAACCCTCACATCCCAGCACATAGCCATATGTGTCAAATCTCTCAGGGTTGTTTGGCAGGTATCTAAACACTTTCCCCCTTCGCACACTCTTTCGATCCTCAGACAGGGAGAGCCAGGGATTTGCTGTGTCCGGATCCAATGTGACGTTTTCTGTGGGGGCAGATGAGGAAAGAGAAGAGAAGTGACGTCAGCTGGGAGACTGACACTTCTTTAGACACATGAGAGAAATATGAAAAGGGTTTTCATGCACTGCGTTCAGAACTGGGGTGCTCCTTAGGTTCTTAATAATGATTCTTTAAACATCTGCAGTTCTTTCAAAGCACTTCACACATCTCTCTCTTGAAATTGTGCCTCCTTTAGATCCTGAAATTTACCTTGATGCAGCTGAAGTCCAGAGTCCAGAGTGTCTGGAGAAGAAAAGGGAAGAGAGATTTAGCATCACACCACCATCCAGAGAACAAATCTGGTAACAACAATATGAGCTCCTGAGATTGTAGATGTGGTGCCAACCCATCAGCCCGAACCACCAGCCACACCAGTTGGAGCTTAGGAGAGTTGCAGCTGAAAATGTCTGAAAGCCACCACAATGGCCATCCCTGCATAAGCCAGGGCAAGGGCAATGTCCAAGTTCTAGGCCTGCTCAGACCTGAGAAGAAGAGTAGGACCTCCAAAAGACCTCCCCTTCAGTATCAACCTTGAGATGTAAGATCTCTTCCAGGACTGGAGATCTCACCCCCAGTTCCCTCTGATCCCAGATGGCTTTTTGACAGCCCCCCACCTTCACATCAATCTCAGGGCCAAAGGAACTGAGGAGACGCCCGAGAGGCTGTAGGTGAGGCTACTTGGGAAATGGGTGAGGAGTGTGAAAGCATCTAAGGCCTGGCGGAGAGATGTGAAGCAGTAAAATACAACTTTCTACAGAAAACGTACGCGAGGGTTACTTTCCTGGGGATTGTGCATAAAGTTGTGTAATGTCAGAATGACCCCTGGAATTGCCCCTGCCATCTGAGATCTCAGACAGCCCTGCGAGACCTCACAAGAGCATCTCAAAGCCCAGTAAGCAAGGAGGATGGCTTAAAAGCAAATTCCGTGTAGGGATTAAAAGTGCCTTTTCTCATGAGAGCCTCCAGAGCCCAGCCCAATGAGGGCTTCCTGCTTGCTTTCTGTTTATTTATCTGCAATCCACATAAAAGTTTTGATTGTGTAAGTAAAACCAGCATCTGTATATTAAAGTGTGGCCTCTGGACATTGAAATAAAACAAAAATAAATAAACCTTTCCTGGTATTACTAATATTACGTATGACCTGGAGCCTTTCATAAACACTTTTAAACATCCAGTATAAAATCCCTGTTGCCTTTCTTCATTACCTTTGAACTGCTTCATGACTTCCTCCAGGAAGAGATTCATATCACAGACATCCCAGATCTTCCACTTCAGGGCAGGAGGAAAAGCCACAGGAGGATTTTTAAATTTCTGCTTTGCCTGAGACCTGGGAGGAGAAGGAAGGGTTTTCTTGTGTGAGTTTCTTGTGGCTGTTTAGCTGCTCTCTCTGTGCAAAGGTCAGAGGGGGCAGGGCTTCTGTTGAGGTAGGTGATTAGCTGTGGGAGGAGCTTATCAGAGTTTTAGGGCAGCGGCTGAAGAAGGAACAAAAAGGGTTTTCTTGTGTGAGTTTCTTGTGGCTGTTTAGCTGCTCTCTCTGTGCAAAGGTCAGAGGGGGCAGGGCTTCTGTTGAGGTAGGTGATTAGCTGTGGGAGGAGCTTATCAGAGTTTTAGGGCAGCAGCTGAAGAAGGAACAAAAAGGGTTTTCTTGTGTGAGTTTCTTGTGGCTGTTTAGCTGCTCTCTCTGTGCAAAGGTCAGAGGGGGCAGGGCTTCTGTTGAGGTAGGTGATTAGCTGTGGGAGGAGCTTATCAGAGTTTTAGGGCAGCGGCGCGCGCCTAGCGGCGCGCGCAGTTTGATCCATATTTTAGATTTAGGGGAGCTAGTCTCAAACATTTGTTGGGGGAGACCTAGGTTTTTTGGGGGGGATTTATTTGTCCTGTCTCCACACTTTTTATGATAGAGGACCACTGTAGTCACCCCCAACGACACGTTCTCAAGATGGAGGGTGAGGGAACAGCTGCAGTCGCCTGTGGTTCCTGCACAATGTTTGCCATCTTGCCAAAGGTTGCAGGCAGCTTTACCTGCAGCAATTGCATGTTGATTGCCCTCTTAAAAGACAAAGTCCAGCAACTGGAGGAACGTGTAGCTACGCTCCAAAGAATTAGAGACCTGGAACTCTTCTTGGAAGCAACAGAGCTCCACCAAGGAAGAGACAGGGGACTCCCCTGAGAAGGTGGCTAGTTCACCAACACAGGAGCCAGATATATGGAGAAACGTGACTCAAAGAAGTAGGAGGCCCAGGGTTCGCTCTGATTGTTTAGAAATACGCAATCGCTTTGAGGTCCTTTCCCCTACTATGGAAGACGAAGAGCAGACTCCATTTGAGGATCTCTCCCTCATTACAGTCGATCAGGTATATGAAGACGAGCAGCAAAGGCAGTCCTCAGGGAATGTCCAGGCGACCTTGGAACGGACAGCTCACAGAAGAACCCCGACCAGACCTAAGAGGAGGCGTGTGGTGGTGATAGGGGATTCCCTACTGAGGGGAACAGAAGCAGTGATCTGTGGGCCTGACAAGATGTCTCGGGAAGTGTGCTGTCTCCCCGGGGCTAAGATCCAAGATGTAACTGAACGACTGCAAGGAATCATAAAACCCACTGACAAATACCCCTTCCTCTTGGTTCATGTGGGAACCAATGACACTGCAAGCAATAGCCTCCAGAAGATCAAAAGAGATTACGAGGCTCTGGGCAGGAAATTGAAGCAATTAAATGCACAAATTGTCATCTCATCTGTCCTCCCAGTTGAACGACGTGGCCCAGGGAGAGAGGGAAAAATAGTGGAAGTGAACAACTGGCTTCGCAAATGGTAAACAGGAACGGTTTGGATTCTTAGATCACGGAATGCAGTTTCTTGAAGATGGACTTCTGGCAAGCGATGGGCTGCACCTCACAACGGTTGGGAGGAATGTTTTTGCAAAAAATCTCAGAAACCTCATCAGGAGGGCTTTAAACTGACTAATGTGGGGGAGGGAGACAGTGCTCCTGAAGGTAGGAGTCTATCAATTGATGAAGATGATCATCCAAATGTCATAGACCGAATGGAGCAAAGAGCATGCAGACCTAGTGGTGGGAGGAAAAAATCCTTAAATAAGAGACACGGGGGAATGATTAATGGACTTCAATGTCTGTACACTAATGTGCAAAGCATGGGAAATAAACAAGATGAGCTTGAGCTCCTGGTACAGCAAACTAAATATGACATAATAGGAATCACTGAAACCTGGTGGGATAAATCCCACGATTGGAATGTAATAATGGAGGGATACAATCTATTTCAAAGAAACAGACCAGACAAGAAAGGAGGAGGAGTGGCGTTATATGTCAGGGATGTGTATACCTGTGAAGAGATCCAAGATTTAGAACCTCAAAGCCAAAGTGAGAGCATTTGGGTGAAAATTAAGAGAGAGAAGAATAACAGTGACCTCATTGTGGGAGTTTACTATAGATCCCCAAGCCAAACGGAGGACATAGATGATGCCTTCCTGGAACAGATGGCCAAGCATGCAAAAGGAAGGGAGATAGTAGTAATGGGGGACTTCAATTACCCTGATATTTGTTGGATGTCAAACTCAGCCAAGAGCATAAGGTCAAACAGATTCCTCACTGCCCTTGCAGACAACTTCATTGTCCAGAAAGTGGGAGAAGCAACAAGAGGAACAGCCATTTTAGATCTGGTCCTAACCAATGTTGATGACCTGGTTAGTGGGGTAGAAGTGGAAGGATCATTAGGCGCGAGTGATCATGCTCTTCTGAAGTTTACTATACAGCGGAAAGGAGCAGCCAAGCATACTAGGACTCAATTTCTCGACTTTAAGAAAGCCGACTTCATAAAGCTTAGGGAAGTGCTGGGTGAGATCCCATGGACAGTAATACTAAAAGGAAAGGGAGTTCAAGATGGCTGGGAGTTTGTTAAGAGGGAGATAGTAAAAGCACAACTTCAGGCAATACCAATGAGACGGAAACATGGAAGGTGCCTAAAGAAGCCAGGGTGGCTATCTAAAGAACTTTTAACTGAGTTAAGATTAAAAAAGGATGTGTACAAAAAATGGAAAAGGGGGGAAACCACCAAAGAGGAATTCAAACAAATAGCCAGAACGTGTAGACACAAAGTCAGAAAAGCTAAAGCACAAAATGAACTCAGGCTTGCTAGAGAGGTTAAAAGCAACAAAAAAGGCTTTTATGGGTATGTTCGTAGCAAAAGGAAGAACAAAGAAACCGTGGGGTCACTCAGAGGAGAAGATGGTGAAATGCAAACAGGGGACACAGAAAGGGCTGAACTCCTCAATGCTTTCTTTGCCTCAGTCTTCTCCGATAAAGAAAACAATGCCCGACCTGAAGAATTTGGAGCAAATGATTCAGCAGAGGAAACACAACCCAGAATAACTAAGGAGATAGTACAAGAATACTTGGCTAGTCTAGATGTATTCAAGTCTCCAGGGCCAGATGAACTGCATCCAAGAGTATTAAAAGAACTGGCAGATGTGATTTCAGAACCACTGGCAGTCATCTTTGAGAATTCCTGGAGAACAGGCGAAGTCCCGGCAGACTGGAGGAGGGCAAATGTTGTCCCTATTTTCAAAAAGGGGAAAAGAGAGGACCCAAATAATTACCGCCCAGTCAGTCTGACATCAATACCAGGGAAGATTCTGGAGCAGATCATTAAGCAAACAGTCTGTGAGCACCTAGAAAGGAATGCTGTGATCACCAATAGTCAGCATGGATTTCTGAAAAATAAGTCATGTCAGACTAACCTGATCTCGTTTTTTGACAGAATTACAAGCCTGGTAGATGAAGGGAACGCAGTGGATGTAGTCTACCTTGATTTCAGCAAGGCATTTGACAAGGTGCCCCATGATATTCTTGTAAAGAAGCTGGTAAAATGCGGTCTTGACTATGCTACCACTCAGTGGATTTGTAACTGGCTGACTGACCGAACCCAAAGGGTGTTCATCAATGGTTCCTCTTCATCCTGGAGAAGAGTGACTAGTGGGGTGCCACAGGGTTCTGTCTTGGGCCCGGTCTTATTCAACATCTTTATCAACGACTTGGATGATGGACTCAAGGGCATCCTGATCAAATTTGCAGATGACACCAAACTGGGAGGGGTGACTAACACCCCAGAGGACAGGATCACACTTCAAAACGACCTTGACAGATTAGAGAACTGGGCCAAAACAAACAAGATGAATTTTAACAGGGAGAAATGTAAAGTATTGCACTTGGGCAAAAAAAATGAGAGGCACAAATACAAGATGGGGGACACCTGGCTTGAGAGCAGTACATGTGAAAAGGATCTAGGAGTCTTGGTTGACCACAAACTTGACATGAGCCAACAATGTGACGCGGCAGCTAAAAAAGCCAATGCAATTCTGGGCCTCATCAATAGGAGTATAGCATCTAGATCAAGGGAAGTAATAGTGCCACTATATTCTGCTCTGGTCAGACCTCACCTGGAGTACTGTGTCCAGTTCTGGGCACCACAGTTCAAGAAGGACACTGACAAACTCGAACGTGTCCAGAGGAGGGCAACCAAAATGGTCAAAGGCCTGGAAACGATGCCTTATGAGGAACGGCTAAGGGAGCTGGGCATGTTTAGCCTGGAGAAGAGGAGGTTACGGGGTGATATGATAGCCATGTACAAATATATAAAAGGATGTCACATAGAGGAGGGAGAAAGGCTGTTTTCTGCTGCTCCAGAGAAGCGGACACGGAGCAATGGATCCAAACTACAAGAAAGAAGATTCCACCTAAACATTAGGAAGAACTTCCTGACAGTAAGAGCTGTTCGACAGTGGAATTTGCTGCCAAGGAGTGTGGTGGAGTCTCCTTCTTTGGAGGTCTTTAAGCAGAGGCTTGACAACCATATGTCAGGAGTGCTCTGATGGTGTTTCCTGCTTGGCAGGGGGTTGGACTCGATGGCCCTTGTGGTCTCTTCCAACTCTATGATTCTATGAAAGTCAAGCCTCCATCCTTCCAATGCAAGGAGCTTTCTGACAAGGCAGGGGTCTCATCCTGATGATAAAGGCATGATGGATATATCCTGAAGACTTGGGAGCAGGGTTTTTCCAATGGCAAAAGGGAACATGTAGAGAGCACCTAACAAGTTGAAGGAAAACCGACACACACCTGCTTCCAAAATATACAGAAGGAAATATAGGAATATGAGATTGAAGGTAAAGAAGCTGATATATGCAATTTTTTTGTTTTTTTGAAGAAAACTTAACAATACAAGGGTCTTAGGCAGAGATTTGGACTACACCAATTTTAGTGAAGCATTTCAAGTGAGTATAATAATAATTATTTTTTAGCCCAGTGGTTACATTTAAAAAAGGAAAAAATATTAGAAATTAAAACTGTATTTTCTAAATGTGGAAGATTTTAAAATATGTTGCAGTTGTTTGGGGGACAAGGCTCTCAACGGGTACTATTCATGATGGCTGGGTCAAAGGCAGTGGTGCCTCTGAAACCACAGGAGGCGAGTGTCCTCTGGGGCTAGATCCTGCTCACGAGTTTCCCACAGGCATCTGGTTAGTCACTGTGAAAAGAGGATGTTGGACTTGATGGGCCACTGGCCTGATCCAGCAGGGCCCTTTCTCACCTTCTTATGTCTGAGGAAGAAACTGCAGGGGCCCCAAATACACTGGATATTTAAGAAAAACTTATAGTGAAGATATTTACAAGCCCCTTTGGAATGTCTCCCCTTTTTGTATCAATTGCAGAGTAAATGAATCCATCACAGAGAAGGGCCTTCAGAGATATGCAATGGGAATGGCTTCCTGTCTTTTATTATAGATGAGACCAACAGATGCAAATGACTACGAAAACGTGTCCCTGTTTTTGTCTGTGATCTTGTTAAATGCATGATGGAGTCCTAAGCTATCTCTGGAAGGAGGAACTGGAGAGCGAGTTTCTCACCTTGTGAACTGGAGCTTTCCTAGAATCAGAATAAGGCAGGGGTTTTCCATCACTTACCTCTGCAAGGAGCTTCCGATATCCTGGAGGGAAAGAAAGAAAGATGTCAGTGGAGCCATTTCTGCACTGCAGTGATGACTAAATGCTCCCCTTCTTTCCTTTTGGCCAAGTTGTCCAAATAGCTGAGTGGTTCAGTCTCACCCTGGTTTACCATTTTGCCCTGCAGTGCAAGCCAGCTCCATGTTCACCTGCGACCAATTTGTTTACTGCTAGGTACATCTCATACTCCCGTCTTAGATCCCAGGACAGCACCTGAAGGAACACGTGCTTGATGCAGTAATGATCACCAACTTGGAAGGGTTTGGAAGGTTGGTTTATGAAAACTAGCCACAAAGCCTATGTACTACTTCAAATGTGGGAGGCAGTATCAGTTGTATTCAACTGGTTTTACTAAGATACACTGAAATTAATGAACCTTGGATAGCCATCCCCATTAGTCTACTCTGAGTAAAGGTTACTTGACTACAAGCTTCTACCTCTGGGAATCACAGATGGGGAGAGCCCTATTGGCTTATGAGCTTCCCAGACCAAAGAGAGGACAAGATGCTGAACTGAAGGCGCTTGCAGTTTGATCCAGCAGGACCCCTTTTTGTGACTCCAGAGCTAATAGCTTTCATCCTTCTTGTACCAACTGGTTTTTTTACAACGATATTTTTCTGTGGGGGAGAACTAAGGAATGCTTGTACAATCATAACTCAGGTTGAATGTGCTTCAGGTTGAGCGCTTTAGAGTTGTGATCCGCGGCAACCCAGAAGTAACGGAGCGCGTTACTTCCGGGTTTCACCACTCGCGCAAAATGACAACACGTGCATGCGCGGAAACGGCAAAACGCAACCCGCGCACGTGCAGATGCGCTGCTGCGGCTTACGTTCCATTCAGGATACAAACGGGGCTCCGGAACGGATGCCGTTCGCATCCCGAGTTACCACTGTAGTCTGAAGCATCACACTCCACCCTCTCGCATCAGGATGAGGCCTCACCTGCAGGAGTTCGCTCTCTGGTTCCTGAAGCTTCTCCTCCATCTCCCGGATGAGGCTGTCAAGAGAGGAGAGTTCCCTGGAGAGTCTGGCCAGGCGCTCCTCCCTTTTGGCTGCAATCTCCTTCTCCACTTCTGCCATCTGGGCCAGAAGAAGCTTCTCTTGTTCTTCCAGAAACTGGTGCAGTCGCCTGAACTCAGCCACCATCTTTTCCCTCTCTGCACCTGTTTGTTTCTGCAGCAAAGAAGTTGAAAGAAGAGAAGAGTGGGCCAATATCAGGCATCTAGTCTGCTCTTGCAGGATGAAGAGGCCAGATATCTGAATTCCCTTGTAAGGCCACTTCTGACATATTCAGCAGAGAAAGAACTTCTTAAAAATTTACAAGCCCACCCACACCTTTAAATGGTATTTCATGCTATGTGGGAGATCAGACCGTTCAAAAAGAAACCTCTTTCTCTATTTTCCCAGATTTTGATTTAAGACTACAGCACTTTTTCACTTCCAAGTAACAGTGATGCTTACAAGCAGGTCTTGGCTTTCCTTTTCTGCATCTGCTTTAAATTCCAGCTTTTTTTCTCTCTCCTTCCTCACATTGTCTAGGCAGCTGCTGATCTGATCCTGAAAAGAAAAGAAAATCAAACTTTGGTTGTTTTTTATTTGCTGGAGTTTTAGTATTCATAATAACAGGAAAGTTGAATCACATGCTTGCTCCCTGCCCCAAATACTGTGGTCTTTGCCTTCGTCATCCAAGGAGTCTGTGGCGCAATGGGTCAGTGTGTCTGGCTGTTAACCAGAAGGTTGGTGGTTCGAGCCCAACCAGGGATGGCTGTGGGCAGAATTCCGGCATTTCAGGGGGTTGGACTAGATGGCCCTTAGGGTCCCTGCTACCTGCACTGCCCCACCCTCCAGCCCTTTCCTAAGGGAGCTGCTTCCAGAGGAAGGACTGTGGTTGAGTTACTCCTGCATGCAGGGGGGGTATGGGGGGCACTGTACCCCCAAAAGAAAAAAAGGAAATGTTTATTGAAGAGTTTTGGAATTTTAGTTACTGTTTGGCTGCAGGAGGGGAGAATACATTAAAACATTTTCTTGCAAGACCCCCTTCTCTGTAGCTCTTTCACCCTCACCATCCCCAAAGGAAACCCAGAGAGATTTCCTACCTTGTACTCCTGCAACGCCTCCTCCAGAGGGATCACCTCGTGGCCTTTGTGCTCCTTGGATACATGACACACCACACAGATGGGGGCTTCTTCCTCCTTGCAGAAGAGCTTCAGGGGCTCCTGGTGCTTCTCGCAGACCCTCCCCTTTCCTTCTGCCCCCTTTCCCCCTGGAAGGGAGACTTTCTCGGCTCCCAGTATTTCCACAACATTTGCCAGCGGCCGATTGGGGATGAGGGTCCTGTGCTGAATGATTTCTCTGCACAGAGGGCAGGAAGCCTCTCCCTCGGACTTCTCCCAGCACTGGATCAGGCATGCTCGGCAGAAGTTGTGCCCGCACTCCGGGATGATCACCGGATCCCTGAAACACTCCAGGCAGATGGAGCAAGTGGCTTCCTCGCAGAGATCCTGCACGGCACCCCCAGAAGCAGCCATCGCCAGGAAGAGAGAGCTTGGTTGCCTTTTCTTCGCTTTCCGTGTGCGAATTGCTATGTTTCCGTTTCCCGGGAGGAGATTATTCCACGTGGTGACTCAAGATTTCCCTTCCGCTCCGCAGATGTGGAGTTAGCAAGATCTGGGATATTTCTTCTCCCGCCCAGGAAATTTAAGCAGGACGACTCAGGATCTCGGCTGCCTTAAAGACAGTGTCTTTAAGTGGAACAGGGTCTCTTTGATATGGAAATTTATTTATTTGTAATGAGAATGGGCAGAATTCCTTGCTTCTAATTTAAAGGGCCATGCACCTAGGAGAGGCAGAGATAAGTGCTCTTGTTTGTTATTTTAGCTTCACCGCCAGCCTCGAACGCCTCTGAATGAATAACTCAAACTCTGCCGACTCTTTCCAACTGCAGATCACAATGTTCAGCCCAAACTCCACTGCGATGCACATTCCCACGGGACAATTGGACCCTCGTCCGCAGCCACAGACCTGGGAAATTTTTAAGCTGCTCTTCAGGACCAGTTTCTTCCCATTCCCCCCCCACCCATTGATCCCATCTCCAGTCTGTCCATCCTCTCAGAAAAATTAACATTAACCATTGGAATTTTTAAAAACCATTTTGTGTGTGTGGGGGGGGAAGTGTTCTCTCTTTTTACTTGTGATATTTTATATCTTTATATACTGCTAAAGTATTATTGTTTGGTGGTTGATACATACCATATTTTTCTGTATATAAGATGCCCCCATGTATAAGAAGACCCCTATTTTTTGAGCCCAAAATGAAGAAATAAAAATATTTTAAACACCAAACAGAACAACTTTGATATTTTATTAAATATCTAGGCAATCACCAAAACCTGTGAGCTAAGCCTTTTTGTAAAAAAATAAAGTGCACTCCTATGTCTACTCAAGAGTAAGTTCAAAGGGACTTATTCCAGGACACAGGGCTATAGGCTTAATTTCCTATTTGCTCCACAGAGCTCAGAAGAGATTAGAAAGATGTGCTGCCTTCCCTTCTTCCAATTTCAGAATTGCCTTTCAGGTGACTATGATAAAAATGTTGAATGAAAACACCTCTCCCTATTTGTATGCCCTATCTGTTTGGCACTGGTTGCAATGCTTCCATTGAAAACAGGGTGGGGAACTATTATAATTGGCATTCTTTTCATCCCCCCCTTCAATTTGCCCACAACTGACTGTATTTTTTTAAAAATAGGGTGTCAATAGGGTACCTGCTCTCTCGCTGAAATGGCAGATACGGCTGAGACTCACTGCTCTCCTGGTTGTGGGATTCCCACAAATAAAGGGATGGGCAGACTTCAGACTTGAGATTTGCTTTCATTTCTAATCCGAATGCTGAGATCCAAAAATGGATCCAGGTGCAAAATAAGAGTTTATGCAGGGAAGCCCCTGAAATCAGCCACTCACTCAAACTGGATCAACTCCTCCTGCAGACATTCACGGTAAAGACAAGAAGGTCTGAATATGAGCTTCCACATACAGGAACTTTGCAGGGAGGGCTGTCAAGCATATCTCTGAAGGATCCTTGTTAAGATTTCAAATTCTGAAATCTTGGGATGACAAGGCCCAGGTTCAAACCTCTTTTGACCATAAACTTTAATTTGTTTCCTTTTTTTCTAAGTCTCTCAGCTCAGTTTCTTCAACCACACAGGGTTTCTCTGAGGATAAAACAGGATATCGCCCTCCTAAAATCCCTGGAGAAAGTGTCATGGGGAATGGATGGGGCCATTATACTGTTGAGTTTGAAACAACATAGGAACAATGAGAAGGACAATCTTTAATAAAATCAAATATGATAGCACATGAAACATATCCACAAATTCTTCCAGTTATACAAAAGGATAAGAAGAGGTGATGAGGAGAAGGCCTTAGATCAGACACTCCAAACTCAGCCCTCCAGATGTTTTGGGACTACAACTCCCACCATCCTGACCACTAGGTCCTGTTAGCTAGGGATGATGGGAGTTGTAGTCCCAAAACATATGGGGGGCTGAGTTTGGGGGTGCCTGCCTTAGATAATATCTTGTGGAACTTTATGAAAAAATCTATAGAAATAATAGGGCTCGGGGAAAACTTTAAGAGAGGCATTGAGGCAATACATTGAAACCAGAGAGCCAAACTGATCCTTAATAATGAAATAACGGAAGATTTCAAGATAAGTAAAGGGACCAGGCAAGGCTGTCCTCTTTCACCTTTACCATTTATTGTGACTGCAATAAGGTAAGATCAAAATATAAAAAGTATAACAGTGGGAAAGCAATCACATAAGATGAAGGCCTTCGCAGATGATCTGATCCTAACTACCAAAAATCCAGAAGAGAGCGTACCAAAAATAATATAAAGGATTCTTTAATTAGGAAAAGTGACAGGATTTAAACTAAACAAAAATAAGACCAATATGTTAGCAAAAATACGTCAATGCAGGAAAAAGAAGAACTGCAGAAGATATCAGGATTAACAATAGTAAACCAAACTAAGTACTTGGGAATTTGGCCGACGATTAAAAACAGTAACCTATTCAAGGATAACTATATAAAAATATGGAAATAGTTCAAGAGAGATTTGGAAATTTGTAGTTAAGATAAGTTAAGATGATCAATGTGTGGCAGGATATCAGTTGTGAAAATGAAAGTGTTGCCTAAAATGATGTTCTTATTTCAAATGATACCAATCATTGGAGGGGTGGGATTTAAATCTTGGCAAAAAGATCTATCAAAATTTATTTGGCAGTATAAAAAAATTTATTTGGCAGTATAAACTTTTAATAGATAAAAAAATAGGGGTGGATTGGCATTACCTGATTTAAATTTGTACAGTGGTACCATGGGTTGGCCCCATTAGCTAAAGTGGTGCTTCAGGTTAAGAACAGTTTCAGGTTAAGAACGGACCTCCGGAACGAATTAAGTACTAAACCCGAGGTACCACTGTAGAGGGGACACTACTACATGTGTGGTGGACATGTGACAAAATTGGAAGCTTTTGGGACATGGTATATGAAGAGCTAAAGAAAATGTTTAAAGAAAACTTTGTTAAGAAAACAGAAGCTTTTTTATTGGGGATATTAGATACGAATATAGCCAGAGAAAATAAGAAAATATTCCTTTATGCTACTACAGCTGCGAAAACATTAATTGCTAAATATTGGAAAAAAATAAATAACACCAACAAGAAAAGAATGGCAAGATAAATTATTTGATTATATAGAATTGGCTAGAATGACAGATGCAATTAGGGGGCAGCCCAAACAAAAATTTCAAAAAGAATGGGGAAAATACAGGGATTACCTTAAAAAGCAGTGCCCTCAAATATACAAAAAGGAGGAAACAATTTATCAAAAATGAAAATGCAACTGTGCTGAGGATGAAGGAAGTCAACTGGAAGAAAATAATTGGAATATAAAAAGGTAAAGGTAAGGTAAGGTAAGGGACCCCTGGATGGTTAAGTCCAGTCAAAGGCAAGTATGGGGTTGCGGCACTCATCTTCCTTTCAGGCCGGGAGAGACAGCATTTGTCCACAGACAGCTTTCCGGGTCATGGGGCCAGCATGACTAAACCGCTTCTGGAGCAATAGTTTATTATTTGTATTGTATGAGTTTTTGTATGCTATGCTGATATTGCTTATTCTTTTCACTAGTATTCTTATCTTTTATCTTTTAATGTCTTTTTACCTTGTCTTTTACTACTTTTATGTTTAGTTGTATGAATGTGTGTGCCTGTGCTGCAAAATTTTACACACACACACATACACACACACACACAGTGGTACCTCTGGTTAAGAACTTAATTCATTCTGGAGGTCTGTTCTTAACCTGAAACAGTTCTTAACCTGAAGCACCACTTTAGCTAATGGGGCCTCCTGCTGCCACCACACGATTTCTGTTCTCATCCTGAAGGAAAGTTCTTAACCCGAGGTACTATTTCTGGGTTAGCGGAGTCTGTAACCTGAAGCATCTGTAACCTGAGGTACCACTGTATAAACAAAAAAAGAAGAGGTGATCTCTAAAAATACAGATAAGTATCTGACTGTTCACTACAAAGCACCTTGGAGAATATAATTGTATACATGGGAATTTACAGGGGGAAAACCCACTCCCCAAAATCCTCTAGATTGTCACTGTTCTCTCCTCAGAACTTCTGACAGAGGCTCTTCACTGTTCAGAGGGGATTTTGTTACATCAAGGCCCAAAATCTGTGTGGGGGGGTTATGTTTCTGGGGTCAGAATGCAAAAGCAATATTGGATAAGTGAGGAAGACCCCCGAAAATGCCCCCCAAGGAACCATCCCTACGTGTCCGAAGCCAGAGATCTTGAGAGCTTTATGCAACCTTTGTAGAGGCCAGTAAGCAAGGTGGACTTAGAAACCCTTTCTCCCACTGCCAAAGCGCCCCCCCCCCAATTGCCTTCTGGGCTTTGGAGACTCTTGTGACATCTCACAGTCCCTTCCAAGAGGTTTTCCCATCTCTTGCCCTCTTTCTATTTATTTATTTATTAATTTGTTTAGACAAAGTGCTCCAGGCTGCGATCACACAAGTAAGTTGTGCGTTCTGGACCAACTAGCAAACAGGTCTCTGATTCTGCTATATTGCCACATAAGCTTCCCTGAGTAGCAGCAAAAAAAAAAAAAAAAAAAAGAAAGAAAAAGAAAAAGAAAAAGAAAAAAAAGGGGGGGGGATTTTGGAACTTCCATTCATGGTCAGTGGAGGTTTTGGGGGAGGAAAGGGAATCTGAGAAAGGGATTGAGGCTGAGGAAGGTTTTAAGTGATGCCCGTGCATAATTCTGGTTTTATTCATAAAAGATGATGGTATTGTCTCTAGAAAACTCAAGTTGGAGGTTGGAGAGAGAACATCAAAACAGGAATATTGCGGGGGGGGGGGTGTTGCTGTTGTTTCCTAAATTATTTTCTTGCTTCTTCCCCCCTTTGCACCACCTGCACTGACAGAAGTAGCCGATTCCCAAGGGAGAGAGACAAGGGGTCTGATAGGGGTCCCAACTGATCAGTGTCATTTACAAAGCTGGCCTGGGAAGGGAGAGTTGTATCATGATTGACACAAGGGATGGCCAATCACCGTTCTGCAAATATGGTTTCTCCTGAAGTGCCTGTCAGCTCAGTCCTGAAGAGGAGACTGAATGTGCCATGATGACAATGAATATAGGCTTGTCTGTCTGCGCCTTCAGTCAAGAGAGTCTCAGGTTCGCTTTCCCGCTCACAAAAAAGTAGGGCTGGAGGGTCTCTCCTGAGAAGGGGGCTGCTGTATCTGCATGGAGAAGGGCTGCTGTATTAGCATCATAAAAGGACACCCGTCTCCCTTCACAGTTCAGGGCCACTCGGATCCTCTTGGGCTCCTCACTTGGAACAGGGGCCTCATAGGGGGAGCATAACTTGTACCCACCGTCCCACTTCCCCAAACCCCAGATCCCTTCCGTAGTATCAAAACGTAAATCACCCTTCCTCTTCACAGACTTTCTGGCAACCCCCACCCCCCACCCCTCCTCTCTTCCCACAATGACCTCCCAGAAATGTCTGCCTGATGTGAAACCCTCACATCCCAGCACATCGCCATCTGTGTCAAATCTCTCAGGGTTGTTCGGCAGGTCTTGATAGAAGTCTCCTTCTCTCACGCTCTTTCGATCCTCAGACAGGATGAGGTAAGGATTTGCTGTGTCTGGATCCAAAGTTACGTTTTCTGTGGGGGCAAATGAGGAAAGAGAAGAGAAACGACGTCAATGGGTAAGCTGTTTTAGGTACATGACAGAAATAGTATCCCCTCTGAAATGAACAGGGTCTCCATGGCTCTGCATTCAAGACAGGTTCTTAATGATTCTTGAAATATTTGCAGTTCTTTCAAGTGTTTGAAGTACTTAACACACATTCTCTACATAGAACCCTTGCAACTTCCCTGTAAGTTCCAAGGATGAAGAGTCCACCACCTTCTGAGGGACTCCCTTCCATGTTCTGCAGTGTGATGCAGGAGTCCCTGGGAGGTGTTTGGGCCTATGGTTTGTTTCCCCCAGGAAAACTATGAGCAGTCAGCCAAGAACAAACTTAATTTTATCTTGCAGTTTGGTTAGAGCAATGCAGAAAATTGATGGTTCTATTACATCGTTGATATGAATGGCTTTCTTTTCCTATGAATTGTGTTAATTGTTAATGCATTCACACACACACACACACACACACGTCACCTTCAATGCAAAGACCCCATCCTGGCTCCCCAGACCTGATTTGGCTATATAATTCATCTTTTTCTTCACTGTTCCTCACATTTATGGAAAAGGTGGGCAGTGGAATCATCACGAGAAACCAATTTAAAAATTGGTCAGGCTAGTGGACATTAGAAAGAAGATCTGCTCTGCAGTCCTGCCTACCCCTGCCACGTTACGGAAAGTAATCAAGTGATTTCTTTTTAAAAACACACTTTTGCACTTTGGAAATTATGTGGGATATTGGATGTTGCCAGTGCTGCTATTAGTTTTTTGTTTTGTTAAATGTAATGTGTTTTTCTAGTTTATTGTATTGATTAACTTTTATGTATTTTACTCAGTGTTTTCTAAAAGAATCCCAGAATATGATTTTAAAGGTAAATAAGAGTTTCCTTTATGCTGCCATTTTTACATCTTTTCCAGCTCTTATGATTCCCTTTTTGTGATGTCCAGAATCAGGCCAGACTGGACTTCTGTCTTCCCACTGCGCCTTTTCCCCCAGTCTGTGGTGTAATTCTGCCCTGCTCTTTTAGGTTTACTCAAGTTTCTCTTGTTTTAGCAGAGAGGTCATGTCTCCCCTCCAATACAAAAGCTGAGGGAAGACCCCCATCTTGCAGGGACGCTGAACCACTGGAGTCCACACTCAGGCAGCCCCCAGCTCCCTCCACTGACACCAGAACCCATTCACCTTCTCGCCCCCCAAAGGTTGTTGCAGCCATTTTCTGAGCTATTTGTGTTCATGCATTTCCCACTCTTACACCTTACTCTTACATAAAAGGGGTGGGGATCCGGTATGGCTCAAAGGGATATTTCCCCCTCATGTGCCGGGAGCCTTTGGCTTCACACCACCCCTGTGTCTTAGTGAGATTCGGCACAGAAAAGCCAGGCATCCTGGGCTGGGGGCTTCCCAAGAGTCTGCAGGATCAGGCCAAGAGCCCCTCTAGCCCAGCATGCTGCTCTCACGGAACAGATGCCTCTGGGAAATAAGGGGAAATACGGCATGGACGGAAGAGGTGCAGTGGCCTGGTCTTTAGAGAAGTAGATCCCATCTCTCCCGAATTAGTGTCTCTGCTTGACCCGGAAATGTACCTTTTCGCAGCTGAAGTCCATATTCCACAGTGTCTGGGAGAGAAAAGGGAACAGAGATTTAGCATCACACCATCATTCAGACAACAAACCTGGAATGAACAATATGAGCTCATGAGATAGTAGCCAGGTGTTGTGGACTACAAGTCCCATCATCCCTAACCACTGGCCACGCCGGCTGGAGATTATGGGAGTTGTAGTTAAAACTATTTGAAGGTCTCCATACTGGCTATCCCTGCATAACCAGGGCAGGGGTGATGTCAAAGGTCAGTCCTGCCCAAATCTTGTGAGGAGGAGCAGGACCCCCATAAGATCTCCCCATCAACAACAAGGTCCAGACACCCCTGTTCCAGGATGGGAGGCCTCAGCCCCAGTCCCCTCTGCTCCTGGCTGGCTCCTGGACAGCCCTCCTCTCTCTTTCTGCCCCCCTTACATCAATCTCAGGGCCAAAGAAACAGGTGAAATGCCCGAAAAGTGAGATGTGTGAAAGCCTGGCTGAGAGATGTGAAGAGTTCAAGTACAACTTTTTACAGACACTCACCACTTGAGGGAGGCTTACATTCCTGAAGATTGTGCATAAAGGCAAATGGTGCAAAGTCAGAATGACTCCCGGAATCACCCCTGCCATCAGAGATCTCAAAACGGTCCCTTGAGATCTCGCAGGAGCCTCTCAGAACCAAGTAAGGTCTTAAAAGCGATTTGCACGGTGGCCAAACCCTTCATGGCAAGAGCTTTCAAGCCCTTTACCTTGCTGACTGGAATCTGGGAGGCTCCCCCAAGATCTCGCAGGAGCTTCCAGAGCCCAGCAAGAAGGGTTTATCCTCCTCTTTCAATTGCCTAAATAAAATCAGTTGTGAGTCATCTACATAGCAAAGTGTGGTTTCTAGATATTGAAAGAGAATAAATAAATAAGCCTTCTATTTTCCAGGCATGGCTAATATTCCGTATGACCTGGGGCCTGTCATGAACACTTCTAAACATCCAGTACAAAGTACTTTCAGCCCTTCTTTAAGGTAAAGGTAAAGGGACCCCTGACCATTAGGTCCAGTCGTAGCCGACTCTGGGGTTGCAGTTCTCATCTCCCTTTATTGGCTGAGGGAGCCGGCGTACAGCAGTAAAGTAATGCTTTTCCCTGGCTTGGGCTTAGGATATTTCCATTCCACCTTAAAAGGGAGCAGGCTTTGTGAGTCACAGAGTCTGCGTATTTCCTGTTCACAGGAAGTTTATGTTTTGTCTCTTGCTTTCGTTTCTCTCTCTGTGTCTGAGACACTGAAGCAGGCAGTCATGTTTTTTCTTTGTTCTGACCAACGCTGAATAAACTTGTAAATATGCTCTCCTGAGAGCGTCTTTCACTGTGCGAACTCTGCTGATAGAGCGTGCAAGAGCTCTGGAATGTGGGAAACTATTTCTGGGGCTCGTGTCGCCAATTGCTGATACTGTATCTACGGGAGATCGATGGATCGTCCGGAGGCGACGTGGAGTCATGATGGGCTTTATCTCCCTGGCAGTATCCCAACAGTCATGTGGCCAGAATGACTAAGCCACTTCTGGCGAACCAGAGCAGCACATGGAAACGCCGTTTACCTTCCCGCCAGAGCGGCACCTATTTATCTACTTGCACTTTGACGTGCTTTCGAACTGCTAGGTGGGCAGGAGCAGGGACTGAGCAACGGGAGCTCACCCCATTGCGGGGATTTGAACTGCCAACCTTCTGATCAGCAAGCCCTAGGCTCTGTGGTTTAACCCACAGCACCACCCGCGTCCCCTTCAGCCCTTCTTTACTACCTCTGAATTTCTTCATGACTCCCTTTACCACCCCCTTTCAATTGCCTAAGGAAAATCAGTTGTGAGTCATCTACATAGGAAAGTGTGACTTCTAGATATTGAAAAGAATAAATAAATAAACATTCCATTTTCCTAGCACTGCTAATGAGCTGGAGTCTTTCATGAACAATTTTAAATATCCAGTACAAAATATTTTCAACCCATCTTTACTACCTCTGAATTTCTTCATGACACCCTTCAGGAAGGGATTTATATCACAGACGTCCCAGATCCTCCACTTCAGGACAGGAGGAAAAGCCACAGGAGGATCCTCTAAGTTCTCCTTCTCCTGAGACCTGGGAGGAGAAGAACAATGTCAAGCCAACATCCTTCCAACGCAAGAAGCTTTCTGACAAGGCAGGCATCTCATCCTGATGATAAAGGCACCATGGATATATCATGAAGACTTGGGAGCAGGGTTTTCCTACGGCAAAAAGGAGCATCTGGCTGACGTGTGGATCTAGAAAGCATCTAAGAAGTTGAAGGAAAACCGAAAGACACCTGCTTTTGAATTTTGAATGAAATATATGAATAGGAGATTGAAGATAAAGAAGCTGATATATACCCATTATTATTTTTTTAAGAAAAGTGAACCATACTGGGTCCTTATGCAGAGATTTTAGGACTACACCAGTTTCAGTGAAGCATTTCAAGTGATTAATGAGGAAAACAAAATAGATCTGGTATGTGCATTTCTGAAATATAAGGAAGTTCAGAATGCTTTAGAATGGCTTTTGCAATTAACATTATAAATGTATTTTAGCACAGTGGTTATATTTTAAAAATGGAGAAAATATTAGAAATTAAAGCAGTATTTTCTAAACATGCAAGATTTTCAAAATTCTTGAATTTTTGAACATGTTGTAGGTGTTTGGGGGAGAAGGCTCTCAGCGGCTACTCTTCATGATGGCTGAGTCAAAGGCAGTGGTGCCTCTGAACTCCAGTTGCTGAAACCACCAGAGCAGAGTGTCCTCTGGGGCTCAGATCCTGCCCACTGGTTTCCCACTGGCATCTGGTTAGTCACTGTGAAAACAGGATGCTGGACTAGATGGACCACTGGCCTGATCCAGCAGGGCCCTTTCTCACCTTCTTATGGCTGAGGAAGAAACTGCAGGAGCCTGAAATACACTGAATATTTAAGGGTAAGTTATAGTGAAGATATTTACAAGCACCTTTGGGGTGTCCCCCTTTTTTGTATCAGTTGCAGAGTAAATGAATCCATCACAGAAATGGACCTTCAGAAATATGCAATGGGAACGGCTTCCTGTCTGTGATTGTAGCAACAAACTACCACAAAAATGTGTCTCTACTTTTGTCTGTGATTTTGTGAAATGGACGGTGGAGTCCTAAGCAATCTCCGGAAGGAGGAACTGGAGAGTGAGTTTCTCACTTGTTAAACAGGAACTTTCCCAATACAGTGGTACCTCGGGTTAAGTACTTAATCCGTTCTGGAGGTCCATCCTTAACCTGAAACTGTTCTTAACCTGAAGCACCACTTTAGCTAATGGGGCCTCCTGCTGCAGCTGCGCCACCAGAGCCCAATTTCTGTTCTCATCCTGAAGTAAAGTTCTTAACCTGAGGTACTATTTCTGAGTTAGCAGAGTCTGTAACCTGAAGCGTATGTAACCTGAGGTACCACTGTAAATTATCTTAAAGCAGTAGATTTCCATCACTTACCTCTGCAAGAAGCTTCTGATATCCTGGAAGGAAGGAAAGAAAAAGATATCCGTGGAGCCATTTCTGCGGTCAGTTATAAATACTAAGCAGCTGAAGCAGAGAGAGGTTAGCCAAGCACAAAACAAAAGACCCCCAATAAAATACACAGTGCCACATAATTTTGGAATAACCATCAGATGGCAAAAGTCAGCCATTCCAGTGATGACTAATAAAAGGTCCCTTTCTTCTCTTTTGACCAAGTCACCCAGACACCTGAGAGATTCAATCCCACCTCCCTTATTTGCCATTTTGCCCTGCAGCGCATGCTGGTTCCGTGTTCACATACAACTAATCGGTTCACTGCTATGTACATCCCACACTCAATCATATCCTATGAACCACCCTGAGACTTGTGGGTATTGGGTGGTACACAAACTTATTTTAATAATGATAATAATGATAATAATAATAATAGGTCACCCCCTCTCTAGCAGGACCCAAGACAGCATCTGAATGAAAAGATGTTGCAGTGCCAATTTGGAATGCCTGTGTTGGAGGCAGTATCGGTTGTTTTCAACTCGCTTTTTCTCAGGCACACTGAAATTAATGAACCTAAGATAGTCTACTCTGAGTAAAGGTTAATTGACTACAGAGCCCTATTGGCTTGTGGGCTTCCCAGAGACCTCTGGTTGGCCAATGCAAGAACAGGAAGCAGGACGGAAAGGGCCTGTGGTTTGATGTAGTGCCAACTTGAAGAAGATATTGGGGGGTGGGCAGGTAAGCCCCATTCCACATAATCAATCACAAGATGCAGCACACAAACCCCATTTCAATAGAAATGCCCATTATTGGTGGCGGGGGGGGGGGGGGCTGGCCCCCTCAAATATTTTATTGGGCAGTCTAAGGGACCTTGGCCTCTCGGAGTTAGCTGCTATGTCATGTACTGCTTGTTCCTCTGACAACAGTATTTTTATGTGGGGAAGGACTAAGAAATGCCTGTAGTCTGAAGCAGCACACTCCACCCTCTCGCATCAGGATGAGGCCTCACCTGCAGGAGTTCACTCTCTGGTTCCTGAAGCTTCTCCTCCATCTCCCGGATGGCGCGTTCAAGAGAGGAGAGTTCCCTGGAGAGTCTGGCCAGGTGCTCCTCCCTTTGGGCTGCAATCTCCTTCTCCACTTCTGCCATCTGGACCAGAAGAAGCTTCTCCTGTTCTTCCAGAAACTGGTGCAGTTGCCTGAAGTCAGCCACCATCTTTTCCCTCTCTGCATCCGTTTGTTTCTGAAGCAAAGAAGTTGAAAGAAGAGAAGAGTGGGCCAATATCAGGCATCTAGTCTGCTCTTGAAGGATAAAGAGTCAAGTTATCCGAATTCCCTTAGAAGGCCACTTCTGACATATTCAGCAGAGAAAGAGCTTCGTAAAAACTTACAACCCCACCCCCTCCTTTAAATGGTCTTTCAGGCTCTGTGGGAGATCAGACCATTCAAAAATAAACCTCTTTCTGTATTTCATATTTATTTTCCCAGATTTTGATTTTGTTTGCTTCTGCACCAGCAAAAAGAGAAAGAGGAGGAGAAAGCCAGGCCAATATTAGGCATAATGCTGCAGGATGAAGAGACCAGTTATTAGAATTCACTTGGAAGGGCATGCCTGTCATTTTAGAGAGATCACTCCAGCAGGAAAAGTTTCGTAAAAATTTACAAGCCCACCCCCACCTTCAAATGGTCTTCCATGCCCTGTGTGTGATCAGACTGTTCAAAAATACTGTAAACTTCTTTCTGTATTCCATCTTCATTTTTCCCCAGATATTATACTACAGTATTACCTCCGGGTTGCGGATGGGATCCATTCCAGAGCTCCAGTCGGATCTCGAAGTTTCAGCAACTGGAGGTGCCTGTTCTGTGCATGTGCGTGATAGACCGCTTCTGCGCATGCACGCAGTGAAACCCAGAAAAATACTTCTAGGTTTGCCATGTTCGCATCCTGAAGTTTACATAACCAGAGGGTTGTGTAACGCGAGGTACTACTGCATAACATTTTTCACCTTAAATAAAAATAATGCTTACAAGCAGGTCTTGGCTTTCCTTTTCTGTACCCGCTTTAAATTCCAGAATTTTCTCTCTCTCCTTCTTCACATTGTCTAGGCAGCTTCTTATCTGATCCTGAAAAGAAAAGAAAATCAAACTTTGGTTGTTTTTTTCTTCGTTGGAGTTTTAGTATTCATAACAGGAAAGTTGAATCATCTGCTTGCTCCCTGCCCCAAAGACTGTGGTCTTTGCCTTTGTCATCCAGAGAGCCTGTTGTGCAATGGGTCAGTGTGTCTGGCTGTTAACCAGAAGGTTGGTGGTTCGAGCCCAACCAGGGACGGCTGTGGGCAGAATTCCTGCATTGCGGGGGGGTTGGACTAGATGGCCCTCAGGGTCCCTTCCAACTCCACCATTCTGTGTTTCTATCCCTGCCACCTCCATTGCTCCTCCCTCCAGCCCTTTCCTAAGGGAGCTGCTTCCAGAGGATGAACTGGGGGTGAGTTTCTCCTGCAGGGGGACATTAGGGGCACTGTAATCCCCAGAACGGTAAAAATAAATTGAACAGAGTTTCAGAAGTTTACTGACAAGAGACTCTTTGTCTGCAGGAGGGGGAGAATATATTAAAACATTGTCCTGCAAAACCCCCTTCTCTGTAGCTATTTCGCCCTCATCAAACCCAAAGGAAATCCAGAGAGATTTCTTACCTTGTACTCCTCGAAAGCCTCTTCCAGAAGAATCGCCTCGTGGCTTTTGTGCTCCTTGGACGCAATACACACGACACAGATGGGGCTTTCGTCCTCCTTGCAGAAGAGCTTCAGGGGCTCCTGGTGCTTCTCGCAGATCTTCCCCTTTCCTTCGGCCCCCTTTCCCCCATGAAGACGGAGTTTCCCGAGTGTAAGTTTTTCCAAAACATTTGCCAGCGGCCGATTGGGGATGAGGTTCCTGTGCTGAATGATTTCCCTGCACTGAGGGCAGGAAGCCTCTCCCTCGGATTCCCCCCAGCACTGGATCAGGCAGGATCGGCAGAAGTTGTGCCCGCACTCCGGGATGATCACCGGATCCCTGAAACACTCCAGGCAGATGGGGCAAGTGACTTCCTCGCAGAGATCCTGCTCGGGACCCCCAGAAGCAGCCATGGCTGCTGCCTCGCCCGGAAGAGAGAGATGGTTTCGTTTTCTCTCTTTTGCGTCTGCAAATGGGCGTGTTTCCTTTCCAGGAAATTCAGGTGCTATAGCTCGAGATCACTGCTGCCCGAAGAGTTGGGTTAAATGGGAGACAGAGTCTTCCCGCCATGGGAATTTATATTTTTTAAAAGGAAGGGTATAATTCGTGGCTGCCGATTTAAGGAGCCGTTTTCCAAGGAGAGGTGGAGGAAGCGAGTTTTTTTTTATGAGCTTCATGTCAGCCTCGCTCATTCGAAAGCCAGTGAATGAATTTGAATCTGAAGCCCCTCCCACCCTTAGAAGCAACCCATGCGTAAAAAGCAGGAAAGTCCAGCATGAACAGAAGTTACAGACCTCTAAATAGGCATGAGGGTGGTGGGTGGGGTGGAATCCGGGACTCCTGAGTTCGCTGGAGGCCAAGAGGGAAACTGGACATCTCTTCCAACATTTATTGCGCGCGGGCACCCGGCTCCCTTTGCTTTACGAATGAATGGCGCTTTCGCAGGGGAGGTTTGGGCGTGAGAGAATTCAGGGCCGATGGCTTACGTGGCTGGAGCTAATGTCAACACGAGTGAAGGGTGCGACGCGGCACAAAGTCCCGGCCCCACGCCCTGGTCGATCCTGCCGCCAGGTTAAGTCACTAGTCCTCGGTGAGGACACCAAGCGGCGTCGAGGCACCGCCGCCCCCTAGCGACCGAGTATGGAAACGCGGAGTGTGTGTGTTAAACAGCACGCTTTCCCCGCTCCATGGAGAGGTTTCAGCTCTGAAGTTGTTGCTTTCGGAGCCCCTTTCCCGCTGTAAGACACAAAAGTTCAGACTCCAAGGAGCATCGCAGCCGGAGCCCAACCATCCCCTGTGATGCACATTCCCACGGGACCATTGGACACCAATCCACAGCCCCTGAGAACATGGGATGGAGGCTAGGGGGTTTCGGAAGAGATTAAGAAAACAATCTGCCTTCACTTCCTCTTCCCATTTGAGGAGTGGGACTCTGTCAGAAATGTTTCTGCTATGCGCCCCCCTCCTTGGCCCTGTTCCCGGTTCTTCAGTTGTCTGGCTGCCATGGCAGATAAGGCTGAGTCTCACTCACCCAAAGGACTTGGAATGCATGCAGAAGTTGCGGAGACAAACATCAGAAAACAGTTTAATAAATCTCCCGCCACCCCTCTCCAAGGAGCCCCTACAGTTCAATAAAAGCCTCCAGAATTCTCTCTTCAATCCCATTTTCATTAACATTTATTCTGGCAAAAGTGGGTAGTATTTCAAGTCCTGCTCAGAACAGACTCATTGAAGTCAATAAGCATGACTAACATTGGCTTATTCATTTAAATGGGCTTACTCTGAGTAGGACATACTTGAAACCAACCCAGAGGGTGTATAGGATTGCTAGCCATCCTAGCCCAGACGTTTCTCCCATGCATTTCAGCAGAATCCAACAGAATTCTCTCTTCTCCACCTGAGAAGTTTTGCTCCAGGAAACCTGCTGAATGGGGGAACTTGGTTCTCAAAAGCCCCTTTTTCTCACAACCCAGCTGATGACGCAGGCACCCTCCTAAATTCCCTGGAGGAAGTGTCATGGGAAATGGATATAATACTGTTGAGTCTGAAACAACATAGGAGCAACAAGAAGTACAATCTTTAGTAGAATCAAACACATTAGCGCATGAAACATATCCCCAAACTCTTACAGGACCATTACACAAAAGGATAAGAAGAGGGGATCTCTAAAAATACAGGTAAGTATCTGACTGTTTGCTACAAAGCACCTTGGAGAAAATAATTGTATACAGTGGTATCTCGGGTTACAGACGCTTCAGGTTACAGACGTTTCAGGTTACAGACTCTGCTAACCCAAAAATATTACCTCGGGTTAAGAACTTTGCTTCAGGATGAGAACAGAAATCGTGCAACAGCAGTGGGAGGCCCCATTAGCTAAAGTGGTACCTCAGGTTAAGAATGGACCTCCAGAACATATTAAGTTCTTAACCTGAGGTACCACTGTACATGGGAATTCCCCCCCTCCATGCGAAATCCTCTAGATTGTCATTGTTCTTTCCTCAGAACTTCTGACAGAGGCTCTTCACTGTCAGAGGGGATTTTGTTGCATTGAGGCCTGAAACCTATGTGGGGGTTACATTCCTGGAGTCAGCATGCAAAGGCAATATTGCACAAGTCAGGAAGACCCTCAAAAATGCCCCCCACGCAATTAGTGTGGTGTAGTGCTTAAGAGTGGTGGACTCATAATCTGGTGAACCGGGTTTGCTTCCCCGCTTCTCCACATGCAGCTGCTGGGTGACCTTGGGCCAGTCACACTTCTCTGGAGTCTCTCAGCCCCACTCACCTCACAGAGTGTTTGTTGTGGGGGAGGAAGGGAAAGGAGAATGTTAGCTGCTTTGAGACTCCTTAAGGGGAGAGATGGGGAGGATATCAAGTCCAAACCCCTCTTCTTCATCATCCCTACTTGTTCGAAGCCAGAGATCTTCAGAGCTTTATGCAACCTTTGTAGAGGCCAGTAAGCAAGGTGGACTTAGAAACTCTTCCCCCCACTGCCAAAGCCCCCCCATTGATTTCTGGGCTCTGGAGTCTCTTGTGAGATCTCACACAGTCCCTTCCAAGAGCTTTTCCCGGACTCACCCTCTATTTACAAATTTGTGTTTTGACAAAGGGCTTCAGGCTGTGATCATGTAAGTTAAGTTGTGCTGAGTTTTGGACCGACTGCACTCAACTAGCAAACAGGTCTCTTTGGATATGGGGATTTTGCTGAATTGCCACCTAAGCTTCCCTGAGGAGTAGCAAAAAAAAGGGATTTTTGAACTTCCATCTCCCTGGCCAGTGGAGGCTTTGGGGAAGGAAAAGGGAATCTGAGAGCAGGATTGAGGCTGAGGAAGGTTTTAAGTGATGCCAGTGCATAATTCTGATTTTATTTAGCAAAGATTATGGTATTATCTCTAGAAATCTTAAGTCAGAATTGGAGGTTGGAGAAAGAACTACATTGAAACAGGAATGTGTGTGGGGTTGCTGCTGTTTCCTAAATCATTTTCTTGCTTCTTACCCCCTTTCCAACTCCTGCACTGAAAGAAGTACTCGATTCCCAACGGAGAGAAAACAGGCAAGTTTGGAGACTGACAGGGGACCCAGTCAATCAGTGTCATTTACAAAGTTGGCTCAAGAAGGGAGAGTTGCATCATGATTGACACAAGGGATGGCCAATCACCGTTCAGCAAATATGGTTTCTCCTTAAGTGCCTGTCAGCTCAGCCCTGAAGAGGAGACTGAATGTGCCATGATGGCCATGAATATACACTTGTCTGTCTGCACCTTCAGTCAAGAGAGTCTCAGGTTCCCTTTCTTGCTCACGAAAAAGTAGGGCTGGAGGGTCTCTCCTGAGAAGGGGGCTGCTGTATCTGCATGGAGAAGGGCTGCTGTATTAGCATCGTAAAAGGACACCCTTCCCCCCTCACAGTTCAGGGTCACTCGGATCCTCTCGGGCTCCTCACATGGAACAGGGGCCTTACGGGGGGAGCAGAACTTGAGCTCACCATCCGACTTCCCCAAACCCCAGATCCCTTCTGTAGTATTAAAATACAAAACCCCCTTCCTCTTCACAGACTTTCTGGCTACCCCCACCCCCCACCCCTCCTCTCTTCCCACAATGACCTCCCAGAAATGTCTGCCTGATGTGAAACCCTCACCCCCCAGAACACAGCAACATGTGTCAAATCTCTTAGGGTTGTCTGGCAGGTCTTGACGCACTCCTCCCTCTCTCACACTCTTTCGATCCTCAGACAGGGTGAGGAGGGGATGTGCTGTGTCTGGATCCAAAGTTACGCTTTCTGTGGGGGCAGAGGAGGAAAGAGAAGAGAAACGACATCAACGGGGAAGCTGACTTTTCTTTAGGTACATGACAGAAATAGCATCCCCTCTGAAATGAACAGGGACTCCATGGCTCTGCATTGGAGACAGGGATGTCCATCAAGTTCTTAATGACTCTTGAAATATTTGCAGTTCTTTCAAGTACTTAACGCACATTCTCTACATAGAACCCTTGCAACTTCCCTGTAAGTTAAGTCAATCTTAACTATGCCCATTTTTCAGATGGGAGGACTGAGGCTGAGAGACAGTGGCTTGTCTAAGGCCAAACCCACTGCAGAAGGGTTCATGGCAGAAGGGTCTTCTAGTCCAACCCACTGCAATACAGGAATCCCAACTAAAGTATTCATGACAGCCCCCCCCCCCCAACCTCTGCTTGTAAACCTCCAAGGAAGGAGAGTCCACCACCTTCTGAGGGACTCCGCTCCATGTTCTGCAGTGTGATGCGAGAGTCCCTGGGAGGTGTTTGGGCCTATGGTTTGTTTTTCCCAGGCAAACTATGAGCAGTCAGCCAAGAACAAATTTGATTATATCTTGCAGTTTGGTTAGAGCGATGCAGAAAATTTCATAGAATCATAGAGTTGGAAGAGACCACAAGGGCCATCGAGTCCAACCCCCTGCCAAGCAGGAAACACCATCAGAGCACTCCTGACATATGGTTGTCAAGCCTCTGCTTAAAGACCTCCAAAGTAGGAGACTCCACCACACTCCTTGGCAGCAAATTCCACTGTCGAACAGCTCTTACTGTCAGGAAGTTCTTCCTAATGTTTAGGTGGAATCTTCTTTCTTGTAGTTTGGATCCATTGCTCCGTGTCCGCTTCTCTGGAGCAGCAGAAAACAACCTTTCTCCCTCCTCTATGTGACATCCTTTTATATATTTGAACATGGCTATCATATCACCCCTTAACCTCCTCTTCTCCAGGCTAAACATGCCCAGCTCCCTTAGCCGTTCCTCATAAGGCATCGTTTCCAGGCCTTTGACCATTTTGATTGCCCTCCTCTGGACACGTTCCAGTTTGTCAGTGTCCTTCTTATAGTTCTATTACATCGTTGACATGAATGGCTTTCTTTTCCTATGAATTGTGTTAATCGTTAATGCATTTATTGTTGCAATCCTAAGATAAAGGGTGACACACACAAAACCACAAAAAAAATTATCACCTTCAATGCAAAGACCCCATCCTGGCTCCCCAGACCTGATTTGGCTATATAACTCGTCTTTTTCTTCACTGTTCCTCACATTTATGGAAAAGGTGGGCAGTGGAAGCACAATAAGAAGTCCATTTAAAAATTGGTCAGGCTGGTGGACATTAGGAAGAAGATCTGCTCTGCAGTCCTCTCACCTGCTCCCCACGTTATGGAAAGTTTGTGAAGCAATTTCTTTTTAAAGACACACATTTGTACAGTGGCCTTTGGAAATTAAGTGGGATATTGGATGTTGCAAGTGCTGCTATTAGTAAAAAGAAAATGTAAAATGTAATGGGTTTTTCTAATTTATTGTTGTATTGATTAGCCTTTATGTATTTTATTTACTGCTGTTTTCTAAAAGAATCCCAGAATATAATTTTAAAGATAAGTAGGAGTTTCCTTTATGCTTCCATCTGCTGCCCCTTTTCCAGCTCTTATGAATCCCTTTTTGAGGTTTTCAGGATCAGACCAGACTGGACTCCTGTCTTCCCATTAAGCCTTTCCTCCTGGTCTGTGCTGTAATTCTGTCCTGTTCTTTTAAGCTTATTTAGGCTTCTCTAGTTTAAGCAGAGACGTCATGTCTCCCCTCCAACAGAAAAGCTGAGGGAAGGCCCTTAATCTTGCAGGGAAGCCGGACCCCTGGAGTTCACACTCAGGCAGCCCCCAGCTCCCTCCACTGACACCAGAACCCATTCACCTTCTCGCCCCCCAAAGGTTGTTGCAGCCATTTTCTGAGCTATTTGTGTTCATGCATTTCCCACTCTTACACCTTACTCTTACATAAAAGGGGTGGGGATCCGGTATGGCTCAAAGGGATATTTCCCCCTCATGTGCCGGGAGCCTTTGGCTTCACACCACCCCTGTGTCTTATTGAGATTCAGCACAGAAAAGCCAGCCATCCTGGGGGCTTCCTAAGAGTCTGCAGGATCAGGCCAAGAGCCCATCTAGCCCAGCATGCTGCTCTCATGGAACAGATGCCTCTGGGAAATAAGGGGAAATAAGGCATGGAAGGAAGAGCTGCAGTGGCCTGGTCTTTTGAGAAGCGGATCCCATCTCGGAAATGACTGGCAGAATCCGAGACCAGGGAGAAGAGTCGGTAGAAGGTTGGAAGAAATTAAAAGACTATCTACAGAAACATTGTAGAATTAAGGAATGCTAGAAGGAAGCTGAAATGAAGTTATGTGGTTTTAGCAGTAATGTTACAAAGGAGTATGTAAAAATGGATTGTTAACAGGTGAAAATGTAAAGTTACAATATACTAAGATAAATTATTAAGATAAAAACAAAGATGGAAAGGATTTGCTGAATTAACTAATTGAACTAGAACACAAAAAAGGGAGGTGTGAGGAGGTCAAGGAAACAAGCAAATGAAAGATAAGATGTGGAAAAATTGATTTGTTTTTAACTGTTTTATTTTTCTGTATTTTTGTATTTTTATTTTTGTTTTATTTTCTTTTACTTTTGTAATTTTTGAAATTTTAATAAATATTATTAAAAAAAAAGAGAAGCAGATCCCATCTCTCCCGAATTTTGCCTTGGAAAATGGCTAGGGAAACCCAGCCAGATGGACAGGGTATAAATAATAATAATAAATAATAAATAATAATAATATAATAATAATAATAATAATAATAATAATAAAATGTACCTTTTTGCAGCCGAAGTCCATATTCCACAGTGTCTGGAAGAGAAAAGGGAACAGAGATTTAGGATCACACCATCAAAGAAAGAACAATATGAGCTCATGAGATTGTAGCCAGGTGTTATGGACTACAAGTCCCATCATCCCAGACTACTGGCCAAACCAGCTGGAGTGATTCCAGAGACCAGCAAGAAGGGTTTATCATCCTCTTTCAATTGCATAAGTAAAATCAGTTGTGAATCATCTACATATTAAAGTGTGACTTCTAGATATTGAAAAAGTATAAACAAAAAAACCATTTTCCTTGCATGGCTAATATTCCATATGATCTGGAGTCTGTCATGAACACTTCTAAACAGCCAGTATGAAATACTTTCAGCCCTTCTTTACTAACCTCTGAATTGCTTCATGACTCCCTCCAGGAAGGGATTTATATCTCCGAAGTCCCAGATCCTCCACTTCAGGGCAGGAGGAAAAGCCACAGGAGGAGCCTCTAAGTTCTCCTTCTCCTGAGACCTGGGAGGAGGAGAGCAAAGTCAAGCTAACATCCTTCCAATGCAAGGAGCTTTCTGACAAGGCAGTTGTCTCATCCTGATGATAAAGGCATGATGGATATATCATGAAGACTTGGGAGCAGGGTTCTTCCTATGGCAAAAGGGAGAATCTAGATGATGTGTGGATTTAGAAAGCATCTAAGAAGTTGAAGAAAACCCAACACACACCCACTTCCAAAATATGCTGAAGGAAATATAGGAATTTGAGACCATATATATCAGCTTCTTTACCATCAAATTATTTTTTTTTAGGAAAGTGAGCAACACTGGGTCCTTTTCAGTCTCTGTTTTTGGTATAAGCAGTTTTAGTGAAGCATCTCAAGTGATTAATGAGGAAAACATATTGATCTGGTATGTGCATTTCTGAAAAATAAGGAAATTCAGAATCCTTTAGAATGGTTTTTGCAATTAACATTATAAATGTATTTTAGCACAGTAGCTATATTTTAAAAATGGGGAAAATATTAGAAAGTAATATCTATAAAATATTAGAAAGTCTTAAGTTGTCTAGAGGACAAGACTCTCAGCGGCTACTATACACAATGGCTGCGTCAAAGGCACAGCCCTCTGAACCACAGGAGGGGAGTGTCCTCTGGGGCTCGGATCCTGCTCACCATGGGTTTCCCACTGTCATCTGGTTAATCATTGTGAAAACAGGATGGTGGACTAGATGGGCCACTGGCCTGATCCAGCAGGGCCCTTTCTCACATTCTTATGTCTGAGGAAGAACCTGCAGGAGCCTGAAATACACGGGATATTTAAAGGTAAGTTATAGTGAAGATATTTACAAGCCCCTTTGGGATGTCCCCCCTTTTTGTATCAATTGCAGAGTAAGTGAATCCATTACAGAGAAAGGCCTTCAGAGATATGCAATGGGAATGGCTTCCTGACTGTGATTTTAGATGGGACCAATAGCTACCACAAAAATGTGTCCCTATTTTTGTCTGCCATTTTGTGAAATGGACGATGGAGTCCTACATTATCTCTGGAAGGAGGAAGTGGAGAGTGAGTTTCTCACCCGTTAAACAGGAACTTTTGTAGCATCAGAATAAGGCGGGGGTCTCCCATCACTTACCTCTGCAAGAAGCTTCCGATATCCTGGATGGAAAGAAAGAAAGAAAGAAAGAAAGGGAGGGAGGGAGGATGTCAGTGGAGCCAGTTCTACTGTTGTTGTTTTTATCAATTTTGTATACAACCCTGTACCCGCACGTCTCTGGGTGGTTCACGAGATAAAATCACAGTATAAAAATATATACTTCATAATAAAAATAAAAACAAGAGCAACCAAATAATCCAAACTGTCTTCAGAGGCAGCCCCATGTACTACCACCAAGCTATGTACCCAATCCATCAGAGGAAGCGTAACCCTATCAAAAGCAGCCCATCTCCCACCCATCCAGTCTAGGGGTCCTTCCACTAATAGCTCTTCAGTCTTATCTGGATTGAGCTGCAGTTTGTTGGCTCTCATCCAGTCCGTTATGGAGACAAGACAACGGTCCAGCGCTTCTACTGCCTCACCTGAAGGTCTAAAGGAGAGTCACCAGCATATTGCTGACAACGGGCTCCAAACCTCTGCATGACTCCAATCAGTTATCAATACTAAGCAGCTGAGTTCCCCTTGCAGGGAAACAGAGGGGGGCAGAGTGCTGCTGGTTCTTTAGGCTTCCAGCCACCTCTGGTTGGCCAACGCAAGAACACGATGCTAAAGTGAAGAAGCCTGTGGCTTGATCTAGAAGCACCCCTTTTGTGACCCCAGGCTTTTCACCCTTCATGTACCAATTGTGTTTTTTTACAGCAGCTTCTTTGCGGGGGGTGGGGTGGGGGCTAAGATATGTTATACTCCTGCCTGTAGTCTGAAGCAGCACACTCCACCCTCTCGCATCAAGACCAGGCCTCACCTGCAGGAGTTCACTCTCTGGTTCCTGAAGCTTCTCCTCCATCTCCCGGATGAGGCTGTCAAGAGAGGAGAGTTCCCTGGAGAGTCTGGCCAGGTGCTCCTCCCTTTTGGCTGCAATCTCCTTCTCCACTTCTGCCATCTGGGCCAGAATACGTTTCTCTTGTTCTTCCAGAAACTGGTGCAGTCGCCTGAACTCAGCCACCATCTTTTCCCTCTCTGCACCTGTTTGTTTCTGCAGCAAAGAGGTTGAAAGAAGAGAAGAGTGGGCCAAAATCAGGCATCTAGTCTGCTCTTGAGGATGAAGAGGCCAGTTATCCCAATTCCTTTTGAAGGCCACTTCTGAAATTTTAGAGAGATTACGCCAGTATTCAGCAGGGAAAGAGCTTCCCATCCCCTCCTTTAAAAGGTCTTTCATGTCTGTGGGAGATACGGCTGTTCAAAAATAAACCGCTTTCTGTATTCCATATTCCTCCCCCCCCCCCCAGATATTGATTCTAGACCACGGATGTCAAACACAAGGCCCGCGGGCCGAATCCGGCCCGCCAGACCTCGTCATGTGGCCCGTGTAGCCGCCAGCCCGGCCTGCCCGCTTCCCCCTGGCGCGCTGTGGGCGGGGCTGGGGGGCTGGAAGGCGGGCGGTGGAGAAAGCGAAGGCGCTCCCTTCCCGCCGGCCTGAGAGAAAATTTCTCCCTTACTCGGCCGGCCTGAGAGAAAATTTCTGAGGCGGCAGCGGCCTTCGTCCAGGGTCGGGGGGCCATGGTGGGACTTTGCCCTCCCGGCGGCCTGGAGCATCTGGAGCTGGGGCGGCTGCGGGACCCGCCGGGCAGCGGCGGCGGAGTCGTCATCGGCGTTTCTTCTCCTTCTCCTTCATCTTGCTTGCCGTCACCGCCGCTCTCGTCTTGCTCGAGGCAGGCCTGGAGCTGGGACAACCCGGGCTTCGAGCCCGAGGAGGAGGCGGGCGAAGCAGCCAGGGCGGCTGGGGGGCGCGGCGGCGGGGCCCGTGCTGCAGATGGGCGTGGTGGAGTGGGGCCGAGGAGGGGCGCCTTCGCCCTCGGAGCCCGACGCCCGGGAGGGCCCGCTGAGAGCGGGAGGCAGCGGAGGCGCAGGTGGTATGGCGAAAAGGAGGAAGGCGGAGGGGAAGGCAAAGGCCAGCGGCCTTGCTCCGCCGGAGACACCCCGACTCCGCCGCCACGTTTCCCTCACGAGGAGACGGGCGAGGAGGTCACCGAGCAGCAGCCGCCGCGCCTGGGCCAAAGGGATGGCGCACCGCCTGCGAGGTGAGTTGCCACCCGGCTGGGCCCTTCCGTCGCCCTTCCCGGCTCGCATCTCTCCTGTTTCACCTTATTACTTTTATGTTACTCGCGAGTCTTCTGCTCTGAAGACAGATGCAAATAATCCGTTCAGCTCCTCTGCAATTTCCTTTCCCATCTTTAGCACATCTTTGATTCCCTTGTTGGCCAAAGGCTCTACTACCGACATGTCCAAAGTCCGTTTTGGGGGCCTAATCCGGCCCCTTCGGCAGTTTATGGGGTAAAATCCTCAAAAAACTCCTCAACAACTTCAACCCTAAAAAAAAAACAACTCAACAATTTATTTCAATCCTAAAAAAAGCACAACAACTTTGGTTGGCCCTCACGGCCCTTCACTTCATCATCTGGCCCTCCTTGAAAAAAGCTTGGGAACCACTGTTCTAGACTATAGCATTTTTCATCTTAAAGTAGTAACAATAGTGCTTACAAGCAGGTCTTGGCTTTCTTTTTCTGTGTTTGCTTTAAATACAAGAATTTTTTCTCTCTCCTTCCTCACATTGTCTAGGCAGCTGCTGATCTGATCCTGAAAAGAAAACAAAATCCAAATTGGGCCGCATCGCACATTAACAGGCAGGCTGAACCGTATGTTTACTCCCTGCCCCACATCCCTGGGTCTTTTGCAGAGGTTCCCCTTTTTCATCCCAGACTAGGCAGAAATTGAACTGTCCTATATCAGAGCTGAGAAACATGTGAGTTTTTCTATTTCTCCCCCACACTGAACACACCTCCAACACCTCCCCCCTCCTTTTTATTAAATTAATCCTATATGTTGTAATCTTTCGTCCCAGGGGAGTTACTGCAGCCTGAATTCAGGGGGTCATTGGGCACACTTGAAATCCCTCAAATAGAAAAAGAAATATTTAAGTTTCAGTAGTTTAGTTTTATCAGGCTGCACAAGATCTCTTGCTGGAGAATTCCTTTTGGGCAGCAAGTAGAGAGAATACATTACATCATCATCATCATCGCAAACCCCTCTTGTCAGCAGCTCTTCCACCCCCAAGAAAGACCCACTGCCTTTTCCCACCTTGTACTCCTGTGACGCCTCCTCCAGAGGAACCACCTCGTGGCTTTTGTGCTCCTTGGATCTGTCACACACCACACAGATGGGGCTTTCGTCCTCCTTGCAGAAGAGCTTCAGGGGCTCCTGGTGCTTCTCACAGACCCTTCCTTTTCCTTCTCCCTCCTTTCCCTCTTTTCCCCCCAGATGGTTGAATTTCTTAATTATTTCTACAAAATTTGCCAGCTGCAGGTTTCGCCTGATGCTGCCTTGCTCAACGTTTTCCCTGCACTGAGGGCAGGAAGCCTCTCCCTCAGATTTCCCCCAATACTGGGTCAGGCAGGATCGGCAGAAGTTGTGCCCGCACTCCGGGATGATCACCGGATCCCTGAAATAATCCAGGCAAATGGAGCAAGTGGCTTCCTCGCTGAGATCGCGGACGGGACCCTCAAAAGCAGCCATGGCTGCTGCCTCGCCCGGAAGAGAGAGCTGGTTTCGTTTTCTCTCTGTTGCGTCTGTAATGGGCGTGTTCCCTTTCCAGGAAATTGAGATGCGATTACTCAGGATCTCTGCTGCCTTGGAGTTGGGTGGAGCTCCATATATATATAATTGAATGAATCCTTGGTGGCTGCTCGTTTAAGGAACCATTTCCCTCCGAGAGCTGGTGAAGTTTGTTTTTTTTTTTGTTGTTGTTGTTGACTATCAGCACGTCAGGCTCAGACTACTTTGCAAGCTAATGAATGAATTTCCGCCCCCCCCCCCGCCTTGCTCCATTGACATCTAGTTAGTAGCCACCACATACAGAGGAGAAACAGCCCAGCCCTCCATCAAGGTGCCAATTTTTAGTGAATCGTTTTGACAGAATCGCCGGCGTCTGATAATGTGCAATAATAACCTCTGAACGAACTCTGCAAACGGCCTTTGCAAACAGCTCAGCTAAATGGTCTCCAGATATTTGCCAATAACACCGCAGCGCAGCTATTAACATCGGGTGCTTTCAATTAGCCCCATTTTCTCAATGAATGCAGCCCTTTGTCCGTGAAATACCACTTTAGTCAAAGAGAACATGAACCAAACAAGTTCCTCTTTTGGGAAAGCTGCCCTGGGGGAGGGACAAGAGGCGGGCTTCCTCTCCTGACTGACCTAACAGAAAGCCAATGAAAATGTGGCCAACCCCGCCTGCCGCTAAAGATCATGCAGAGGAGCAGGAGTCAAACTAGGGACTCCTCTGATTCACAGCTCAATATTTTGCCTTGCATCTCATCAAAGACCATATTTGAAAGAACAAAAAAATTCCTTCCAGTAGCACCTTAAAGACCAACTAAGTTAGTTCTTGGTATGAGCTTTCGTGTGTATGCACACTTCTTCAGATACACAGTGCATGCACATGAAAGCTCATACCAAGAACTAACTTAGTTGGTCTTTAAGGTGCTACTGGAAGGAATTTTTTTGTTTTGACTATGGCAGACCAACACGGCTATCTATCTGTAACCATATTTGAAAGGTCAGGGAAAACTGGCAGCAGGCCACAGCAGAGAAAATACCCTCTTTCCAGCTACCACCCAAGTTTCTCTTATATATTTAAAGTACGTTATCCTGCAACTTTCCAGGTACTGTAGTTTATATACATCAAAAACAGTGACACTTGAACCGAACCACCTTGGATTAGTTTATCCATGCCTTTTCTTCCCTGCACATGTCACAGCTGAGTGTAAAATGAATTGGAGGCTGCAGTCTTGGTGTAACCCCCCCCCCTTACATCTGTTTTCAAATGGACACACTGTTGGGTAACGCAAAATCAATTTGCAGTGAGCTTTTATTGTTGGAATGATACCAGTTTATTGCTTGCGGTTCATTTAGAAGTGATGCAGAAAATAGATGTTGCATCTTTTATAATGATATCTATTGTACTGTTGCTATAAATTGCTTTCTTTTACTACAGATTGGTTTGAGTCAAGATCTAGGAAGTGTCACTCCCACTAGTAACCTTAAATGCAGGAGCCCATCCTGGCTCCCTGCATCGGATCAACTATATGACTTGTCTTTCTCTAGACCACAAGACTCTTAATTTCAGGGTTGTGGGTTCGTGCCCCACGTTGGGTGAAAGATTATTGCGTTGCACAGAGTTGTTTGATGACCCTCACTGTCCCTTACAACTTCTACAAGTCTATGATTCTATGTTTCTCCTAAAACTGTGCCTCCATTAGACCCTGACATTTAATTTTTTGCCGCTTTAGTCCAGATTCCACAGCGTCTGGAGAAAACAAGGGAAGAGAGATTTAACATCACACCATCATTCAGATAACAAACCTGGTAACAACAATATGTGCTCATGCGATTGTAGCCAGAGTGGTGCATTCTAGATGTTGTGGACTACAAATCCCATCATCCCTAACCACTGGCCATGCCAGCTGGAGATTATGGGAGTTGCACTTGAAAACATCTCAAAGCCACCATGATGAGCATCCTTGCATATGCCAGGGCAGGGGCGATGTCAAGGTTCAGGCCTGCCCAGACCTAGAACCTGGTGTCTCCTAAGGTGATGTCTCTGCTTTTTTAAGTACCCACCACCTTAAGTACATCTTAAGTACCCGCCACCTAAAGAACAATAAAACTATCAATGCATATCCTTGCCTTCTGGCCTTCCCAAAGATGGGCTGTGGAAACACCTGCCTCAGGCAACCCATCAATGGATGTTCATTGTCCCCCTACAAATGCTGTGCAATTGACTGTATATCCCAAGGATTATGGGGGAGGGTGGTATTCAAGTTGAGTACGTGACCTCTCAGAGAATTATGGAGGAAGACGATGTCCAAATCCGCCTTTCCTTTTGAAGCAAAATGTCATTGAAATGGGGAAGAAATGCCCTCGCATGAAGTCTCGGGTTTGCAATTTTGGGAGAGGGGAGACTGCAGTGATGGGGAGCGGGCAGGCTGGCAAGGCCCCCTAGATTTAGAGGCCCTAGGCTTCATCTTTCTGTTGGGAACGATGGAAGGCACAAGGAGAAGGGGACGACAGAGGATGAGATGGTTGGATGGTGTTCTCGAAGCTACCAGCATGAGTTTGACTAAACTGCGGGAGGCAGTGGAAGACAGGAGTGCCTGGTGTGCTCTGGTCCAGGGGGTCACGAAGAGTCGGACACGACTAAACAACTAAACAGCAACAACAATAGGCTTCAGCCTACTCAGCCTATACATAAACCCGGCCTTGCCTAGCACCCAAGTCACTACAGGTCTGGTTTTCCAAAAACTGAAACACAGCCAGGGATTTTTTTGGGGGGAGGGGGACTTTGTGGGGAGGGCAGAACTGAGAAATCTGTGACACAATTGGTCAGTTAGTTAAGTGTTATTTATTTATTTATTTGATTTAAGGGGCCAGCTGCCCTACTGCCCCCCTCTGTCTACACCCATGGCGGACATCTTTGAGGGGAAATCATAGAATCATAGAATCATAGAGTTGGAAGAGACCACAAGGGCCATCGAGTCCAACCCCCTGCCAAGCAGGAAACACCATCAGAGCACTCCTGACATATGGTTGTCAAGCCTCTGCTTAAAGACCTCCAAAGTAGGAGACTCCACCACACTCCTTGGCAGCAAATTCCACTGTCGAACAGCTCTTACTGTCAGGAAGTTCTTCCTAATGTTTAGGTGGAATCTTCTTTCTTGTAGTTTGGATCCATTGCTCCATGTACGCTTCTCTGGAGCAGCAGAAAACAACCTTTCTCCCTCCTCTATGTGACATCCTTTTATATATTTGAACATGGCTATCATATCACCCCTTAACCTCCTCTTCTCCAGGCTAAACATGCCCAGCTCCCTTAGCCGTTCCTCGTAAGACATCGTTTACAGGCCTTTGACCATTTTGGTTGCCCTCCTCTGGACACGTTCCAGTTTGTCAGTGTCCTTCTTGAATTGTGGTGCCCAGAACTGGACACAGTACTCCAGGTGAGGTCTGACCAGAGCAGAATACAGTGGCACTATTACTTCCCTTGATCTAGATGCTATGCTCCTATTGATGCAGCCCAGAATTGCATTGGCTTTTTTAGCTGCCGCATCACACTGTTGGCTCATGTCAAGTTTGTGAGAGCTGGACCATAAAGAAGGCTGATCGCCGAAGAATTGATGCTTTTGAATTCTGGTGCTGGAGGAGACTCTTGAGAGTCCCATGGACTGCAAGAAGATCAAACCGATCCATTCTTAAGGAAATCAGCCCTGAGTGCTCACTGGAAGGACAGATCCTGAAGCTGAGGCTCCAATACTTTGGCCACCGCATGAGAAGAGAAGACTCCCTGGAAAAGACCCTGATGCTGGGAAAGATGGAGGGCACAAGGAGAAGGGGACGACAGAGGACGAGATGGTTGGACAGTGTTCTCGAAGCTACCAGCATGAGTTTGACCAAACTGTGGGAGGCAATGGAAGACAGGAGTGCCTGGCGTGCTCTGGTCCATGGGGTCATGAAGAGTCAGACACGACTGAACAACAACAACTAGGGTCATCTAGTCCAACCCCCTGCAATGCAGGAATCTTTTGCCCAATGTGGGGCTCGAACACACAACCCTAATATTAAGAGCCTCATGCTTTACCGAATGAGCAATGTAAGGCCAGTAAGGTTATGATCTCGTCTTTATAAAGCTGTGTCAGACTCGACTCTCTTTTGGGAGGCTGGAGAAAGAACAGTATCGGAACCAGAATAAGAGCAGGGTTGTTGCTGTTTTAAGTATTAGTCTGCTTATTTCCCCCTGAAGCAGCTGATTCTCAAGGGAAAGCATGTGGGAGAGACAACAGGCTGGTTTCAGGACTGCCAGGAGAGCCAGCCAATCTGTTGTTTGCCAACCTGGCCTGAGAAGGTAGACTTGGCATCATGACTGGCAGGAAGTCTGGCCAATCACTGTCCTGCAAGCACTGTTCTACTTCGGGGGGGGGGGACAACCCTTGAGGACTGCGTGATGATGAGTGGTTGGAGCGAGGGAGAGCTTTCATTCTTTCCAGAACTAACTGAAAGTTCTTGAAGATTCCAGAAGATTTCGGATACTGCAAGGAGCTTCCAGAAGGCTGGAAGTTTTTCCTTAGTCAAGGCCACATCTGTGAGAGAAGCTGCTTCTGTTCTTACAGCAGCTGTATGAAAACTGTGTTTAGTCTGCATTAATCTGGAAAGCAGACAGAATGCAAGAGAGGGAAGAGCAGGGCATTGTGGGTTGCAAAAAGCAAAGCCCAGAACTCTAAGGAAGAAACGCTTCAGCAGCTGAACTCTGTAAACGGGAACTGATATAAGTAAAAAAAAAACTGCTCCTTTTGCCTTATGGGGTACCCAAGAGCCCTTATAGAGTCCTTTTGTAGGTTCTCTATTGGTAGGAGAAAATAACAGAGACCAACCAGAGAATATTGAGAAGCAAAGCAGCTAGTAAGCCTGATCTTTATTAACTGTTGCAACAGGGTGCTCCCCTCACCCGCAGGAAAGAGGAGGAGGACCCAGAACAAAGGTGTGTCCGCTCTTATATAGACATTTTAAATTGCCCACCCTGGAGTCCAAGACCACCCCCAGAAACATAATACAGACACCACAGAAGGGGTGTAGCCCAAGACCACCCCCCAGATAAATCATACCTACATCACAGAAAAGGCGGTCTACAACAGAAATCTGAGTGTGTTGTTTATCTCCTGTATGGCAACTTACCTGATTGCATTATCTGTAGTTTGGCCACTCTTTTGTTATTATAACTACTTAATTTCTGAATCTAGGTCACAGGTCACAGGCTCACACCCTGTTCATATCTTGAATGTGGATATGTGAGGACAGGATTTGTGAGGAAAGAGACAGAGAAATATTTGAGGTCAATTTGTTCAGGACCTAATCTATGGGGTTTCAGACATGTGGTTTATACATACAGTTATGAACATTTAATTTTTTTATATATGACCTTAAAATTCTTATAACAGGAACCATTAAGCTTTTATGACCCGATGGTAAAATACTTCTGTCTGTCCTTATCTGAATCTGTGAGTTACTGGCTTCGTTATCTGGGTCAGAGCTTCTGAAGCGCTTTGATGTTGAGCATCGCTCTGCTGATTTAGGACAGGTGGCACAGAGAAGCATATTCAGCAGCAAACCTGGAACCTTGTCTGTCTCTACCCTCAGAGAGTGCTAAGTGGCCTTTGGCGGACACATAAAAGAAGGGCTGGAGGGTCTCTCCTGAGAAGGAGGCTGCTGGAAATGCACGGAGAAGGGCTGCTGTATCTGCATCGTAAAAGGACACCCGTCCCCCTTCATAGTTCAGGGCCACTCGGATCCTCTTGAGGGGTAGCAGAACTTGGGGGGAGAATAACCTGATCAAACCACCCCTCTTCCCAAAAACCCAGATCCCTTCCATAGGACCAGAAGAGAAAACACCCTTTCTCTTCACAGACTTTCTGGCCACCCCCACCCACCATCCCCTCTCGCTTCCCACAGTGACCTCCCAGAAATGTCTGCCTGATGTGAAACCCTCACATCCCAGCACATAGGTTTGTGTGTCAAATCTCTCAGGGTTGTCTGGCAGGTCTTGACGCACTTCTCCCTGTCTCACACTCTTTCGATCCTCAGACAGGATGAGGCGTGGATGTGCTGTGTCTGGATCCAAAGTTATGTTTTCTGTTGGGGCAGAGGAGGAAAGAGAAGAGAAACAACCTCAACTGGGAAGCTGACTTTTCTTTAGGCACATGACAGAAATAGCATCCCCTCTGAAATGAACAGGGACTCCATGGCTTTGCATTGGAGACAGGGATGTTCATCAAGTTCTTAGTAAGGTTTCTTGAAACATTTGCAGTTCTTTCAAGTCTTCAAAGTACTTAACACACATTATCTACATAGATCCCTTGCAACGACCCTGTAAGTTAAGTCAATCTTAGTATGCCCATTTTTCAGATGGGAGGACTGAGGATGAGAGACAGTGGCTTGTCTACGACCCCCCCCCCCCAGTTCATGGCAGAAGGGAGTCCATGCAGGGACTCCCTAATTCACACCTTAATCTTTTACCTCACATCACATGACAGACTATGCTTGACATGCCAGGTAAATCTGGCAGCAGGTGCTCTCACCTTTCTTGTAACCACAATTCCAGCTTCAGTTACGGTACATATTTAAAGTATGTTCTACCCCATCCTTCTAGGTAGTTTATAAAAAGGACAACAAAACATAAAAAAGGTATTTATGTGCTCTGATTGATACTCCCTGTCTAAAATGTACTGCTAGGGATTCTTGACATGAGTGGTCAACCAAGAACTTGATTATCTCTTGTGGTTTGTTTAGAGTGATACAGAAAATTGATAGTTCTACCCAGTGCTTTTTTTTTCTTTAAAAAAATGTTTAGAGGTACTCTCAATTTGACTCAAGAAAACCACCATTTTATAGTTCAAATCGGAAAAAATAAATACAGTAAACAGACAAAAGTACAAAGATTCACAAATTTTTTTAGCATCCTCCCAGAAAAAAAGCACTGGTTCTGTCTTTTAAATTGACATCTATTACATTGTTGATATTAATTGCTTCCTTTTGCTATGACTTGTTTTAATGCATTTACTGTTGCAACCCACTCTGGGCTCCCAGGATAAAGGTTGAGATGGACTTTTTAAAACTAATTAAATAACTTTATTAAAGTGATCACTGCCTTGTCATGGCGAAGGGGCTTGAAGAACTCAGAGAAGCTATGAGCTATGCCTTGCAGGGCCACCCAAGACGGACAGGTCATAGTGGAGAGTTTTGACCAAACGTGATCCACCTGGAGGAGAAACCGGCAAGCCACTCCAGTATCCCTGCCAAGAAAACTCCATGGACAAAGACAACAGGCATATAAAAGTTATGACACTGGAAGATGAGCCCCTCAGGTCGGAAGGTGTCCAACATGCTACTGGGGAAGAGCAGAGGACAAGTACAAGTAGATTCAGAGCTGATGAAGCGGCTGGGCCAAAGCCGAAAGGACGCTCAGTTGCGGATATGCCTGGAAGCGAAAGGAAAGTCCAATGCTGTAAAGAAAAATATTGCATAGGAACGTGGAATGTAAGAAACATGAACAAAGATAAGCTGGAGGTGGTCAAAAATGAGATGGCAAGAATAAATATTGACATCCTGGGCATCAGTGAACTAAAATGGATGAATTCAGTTCGGATGATCATAGTACCTACTACTGTGGGCAAGAATCCAGTAGAAGAAATGGAGTGGCCCTCATAGTCAACAAAAGAGTGGCGAAAGCTGTACTAGGATGCAATCTCAAAAATGATAGAATGATCTCGATACGAATCCAAGGCAGACCTTTTAACATCACAGTAATCCAGGTTTACGCACCAACTACCAGTGATGAAGAAACTGAAATTGGCCAATTCAATGAAGACTTACAACACCTTCTAGAAATGACACCAAAGAAAGATGGTCTTCTCATTATAGGAGATTGGAATACTAAAGCAGGGAGTCAAGAGATTAAAGGAACAACTGGTAAATTTGGCCTTGGAGTTCAAAACAAAGCAGGGCAAAGGCTAATACAGTTGTCAAGAGAACAAGCTGGTGACCACAAACACTCTTTTCCAACAACACAAGAGACGACTCTACACATGGACATCACCAGATGGGAAGCATCAAAATCAGATTGATTATATTCTCTGCAGCCAAACATGGAGAAACTCTATACAGTCAGCAAAAACAAGACCTGGAGCTGACTGTGGCTCAGATCATCAGCTTCTTATAGCAAAATTCAATCCTAAACTGAAGAGAGTAGGGAAAACCACAGCAAGATACAATCTGAATCAAATCCCTTATGAATACACAGTGGAAGTGAGGAACAGGTTTAAGGATTTAGATTTGGTGGACAGAGTGCCTGAAGAACTATGGATAGAGGCTCGTAACATTATACAGGAGGCAGCAACGAAAACCATCCCAATGAAAAGGAAATGCAAGAAAGCAAAGTGGCTGTCCAACGAGGCCTTACAAATAGCGGAGGAGAGAAGGCAAGCAAAATGCGAGGGAGATAGTGAAAGATACAGGAAATTTAATGCAGATTTCCAAAAAAATAGCAAGGAGAGACAAGTTCAAAATTGGGAAGGAAGTATGACAAGACTGTATATTGTCCCTGCTTATTTAACTTATATGAATAATTCATCATGCAAAAGACTGGACTAGATGAATCCCAAACTGGAATTAAGATTGCTGAAAGAAATATCAACAACCTCAGATATGCAGATGACACAACCTTGATGGCAGAAAGTGAGGAGGAATTAAAGAACCTCTTAATGAGGGTGAAAGAGGAGAGCGCAAAACATGGTCTGAAGCTCAACATCAGAAAAACTAAGATCATGGCCACTGGTCCCATCACCTCCTGGCAAATAGAAGGGGAAGAAATGGAGGCAGTAAGAGATTTTACTTTCTTGAGCTCCATGATCACTGCAGATGGTGACAGCAGCTACGAAATTAAAAGACGCCTGCTTCTTGGGAGAAAAGCAATGGCAAACCTAGACAGCATCTTAAAAAGCAGACATCACCTTGCCAACAAAGGTCCATACAGTTAAAGCTATGGTTCTCCCAGTAGTGTTGTATGGAAGTGAGAGCTGGACCATAAAGAAGGCTGATCGCCGAAGAATGGATGCTTTTGAATTATGGTGCTAGAGGAGACTCTTGAGAGTCCCATGGACTGCAAGAAGATCAAACCTATCCATTCTGAAGGAGATCAGCCCTGAGTGCTCACTGGAAGGACAGATCGTGAAGCTGAGGCTCCAATACTTTGGCCACCTCATGAGAAGAGAAGACTCCCTGGAAAATACCCTGATGTTGGGAGAGATGGAGGGCACAAAGAGAAGGGGATGACAGAGGACGAGATGGTTGGACAGTGTTCCTTAAGCTACCAGCATGAGTTTGACCAAGCTGTGGGAGGCAGTGGAAGACAGGAGTGCCTGGCGTGCTCTGGTCCATGGGGTCGTGAAGAGTCGGATATTACTAAACGACTAAACAACAACAAATTAAAGCCAAACCCATTAACACCTAGGAAGTGTCATTCCCACACGTCACCTTCAATACAGAGACCCCATCCTGGCTCCTCAGACCAGATTGATATGACTCATCTTTCTCATCTCTGTTCCTCACATACATAAAGAGAGGCCTAGAAAAGTTGCCAGGTTATTGTTGTTACAGAGATTTCTGGCTAAATAACAAAGAATTAGCTAGAAGGTGACTGGAGGCATGTCCCCACCACCACCACCACACAAGCAGGGAAAAAAGTCCTAGCTAAAGACAATGTTATTAGGTAAAGGTAAAGGGACCCCTGACCATTAGGTCCATTCGTGACTGACTCTGGGGTTGGGGCGCTCATCTCGCTTTACTGGCTGAGGGGGTCGGTGTACAGCTTCTGGGTCATGTGGCCAGCATGACTAAGTCGCTTCTGGCGAACCAGAGCAGCACACGGAAACGCTGTTTACCTTCCCGCTGGAGCGGTACCTATTTATCTACTTGCACTTTGATGTGCTTTCGAACTGCTAGGTGGGCAGGAGCTGGGACCGAACAATGGGAGCTCACCCCATCGTGGGGATTCGAACCGCCGACCTTCTGATCGGCAAGTCCTAGGCTCTGTGGTTTAACCCACAGCGCCACCCGTGTCCCAATGTTATTAGGAGTCTGTCAATAATAAAAACTAACGTTTGAGTGTATGGCAGAGGAGGAGACAGAGGGAGTGGAGTTTGGGCTCTGTCAGCTGACATCATGTCAGTGGTCCTGGCTGCCTCTCTCTGATGCCAAACTGTGGACTTGCCTGTTGTGAATGTTTAAGCTCTGTCAATCTGTTGATATTGGCAAATAAAAAACTCAAAAAGGCTGAAATGCCATAAACCTCCAATGATATCCTTCAAAAGGAAACCTCTTTGTGTCAGTGGTTTCATTCTCTCCCATGCTGCAGTGTGTGTGTGACTACTAGACCACATGCTCTGTGTGTTGACATTCCATTCTTTGGAAGCATGAGAAACGGAAGATAGTCCTATGACTTCCTAATTCCGTCCTTTGTTTCCTGTCTGTTTGTTGCTCTCTCTCGTCGGAGAAGAGACGCACCATAATGGTTCTGTTCTTTGTTTTGATCTTGTAAATAAATCACTAAACCCTTATGCTACATTGCACCGGTCTTAAAGGTAAAGGTAAAGGTACCCCTGCCCGTACGGGCCAGTCTTGACAGACTCTAGGGTTGTGCGCCCATCTCACTTAAGAGGCCGGAGGCCAGCGCTGTCCGGAGACACTTCCGGGTCACGTGGCCAGCGTGACATTGCTGCTCTGGCGAGCCAGAGCCGCACACGAAAACGCCGTTTACCTTCCCGCTAGTAAGCGGTCCCTATTTATCTACTTGCACCCGGGAGTGCTTTCAAACTGCTAGGTTGGCAGGCGCTGGGACCGAACAACGGGAGCGCACCCCGCCGCGGGGATTCGAACCGCCGACCTTTCGATCGGCAAGCCCTAGGCGCTGAGGCTTTTACCCACAGCGCCACCCGCGTCCCCTTGCACCGGTCTTAGCTTAGGCTAACTCTGCTAATGACTATGAGCATGCATTTTCAGAAGTATGTTGCGCCTGGATGTCCGGAGGACGACTGGTGCCAGCAAAGCACCAACACTTCTCACTGACAATAAAATTGGAGGAGTATAACACCCTAGGTACAATTTATCACTTCCTGAAAGTGACAAAAACCTGTAACGGAGACATGGAAAGTGGAAACGGGGACTGTTGGCGGACTAGGGGGGGTGTCAGATGGGAGATCCACAGTAGCCTGGTCTTTTGAGAAGCAGATTCCATCACTCCTGAAATTGTGCCTCCTTTAAAAACCTGAAATTTACCTTTTCGCAGCTCAAGTCCATATTCCATAGTGTCTGGAAGAGAAAAGGGAACAGAGTTTTAGCATCATGCCACTGTCTCGATAACTAATCTAGTAACAATACAAACTCATGAGATTGTAATTTAAAACTATCCAAAATCCGCCATGCTGACTATCCCTGCATAAGCTAGGGCAGGGGCAATGTCAAGATTCAGGCCTGCTCAGACCTTAGAAGAGGAACAGGACCCCCAAAAGATCTTCCCATCAGCAACAACCTTCAGGAGATGTCAGGAGCCCAGGCTGTCATCTTGATAACACAGCACACAAGTCGTAATTAGCTGGAAGATTTACAATCAGCCTCAGACGCCCTATCGGAGCTTCCGTACCATATGATTCAGTTGACCCTTCTGAGGAGTTCTTCCTGCTTCTGCAGAATATCCTGAACCTATAACCCTTACTTTTCTGGTTTTGTTTCCTTTCTAATCTCTTTCACATATGTCTATTCCTTGGGCTCATAGGATTAATTGCCTCCTCTTCCGGTGAGGAAATGCTTCCCCTCCTTCATTCTGAGCCAGCCTATGCTTCTTGAGTGAGTTGGCTTCTCTACATAAGTCTTATCTGCATTTCTTTCACTGTCAGGGGAAGGGGTAGTAGACATGCGACTGCTACCAGCTGCCTGAGAGAAATGCAAGAGTTCCTGCTGCTGGCTGCTTAACACATGCTGTGCTTCTCTACTTGGGACAGATGTGTTCATGACACCAGATATCTCTGTTCCAGGATGGGAGGCCTCAATTCCGGTCTCCTCTACTCCTGGCTGGCTCTTTAACAGCCGCCCTCATTCCCTCCTTCTGCTCCCCTTACATCAATCTCAGGGCCAAAGGAACAGAGGAGATGCCCAAAAAGCTGTAGGTGAGGCTACCTGGGAAATGGGTGAGATGCATGAAAGCACCTAAGCCCTGGCTGAGAGATGTGAAGCAGTAAAACACAACGTTTTACAGACGACTCACAACTTATGTGAGGGTTACATTCCAAATGAGATCTGGGACATTCCCACAAGATCTCAGTGGAGCCTCTCAGAGCCCAATAAGCAAGGCAGAGGCAGAACCCAGCAAACGATAATTTCCTACCCCGCTCTTTTTCTATTTCTTAGCGATCCACGTAAAGCTGTAATTTGCAGAAGTAAAAGCAGCAAAAGTTGCGACTTCTGCATATGAAAGTATGGCCTCTAGCTATTGAAAGAGAATAAATAAATAAACCTTCCATTTTCCTGGCATGGCTAATATTCTGTATGACCTGGAACCTGTCATGAACACTTCTGAACATCCAGTATAAAATATTTAAGCCCTTCTTTACTACCTCTGAATTTCTTCATGACAGCTTCCAGGAAAGGAGTCATATCACAAAAGTCGCAGATCCTCCACTTCAGGGCAAGAGGAAAAGCCTCAGGGGGGTTCTGAAATTTCTGCTTTGCCTGAGACCTGGGAGAAGAGGAACAAAGTCAAGCCACCAGCCGTCCAATGTAAGCAGGTTTCTGACAAGACAGGTGTCTCATCCTGATGATAAAGGCATGATGACCTGGGAGCATCTAGATGACGTGTGGATCTAGAGAGATCCTAACAAGCTGAAGGAAAACCGACACACAGCTGCTTCCAAAACATGTTGAAGCTAATATATGAATATGAGATTGAAGGTAAAGAAGCTGATATATGCAAATTATTTTTTAAAAAGAAAATAAATTAAAGCAGCATTTTCTAAACATGGAAGATTTTCAAAATTCATGAGTGTCTGAAGTTGTTTGGAGGACAAGCCTCTCAGAGGCTACTATTTATGATGGCTGGGTCAAAGGCAGTGGTGCCTATGAACCACAGGAGGGGAGTGTCCTCTAGCGCTCAGATCCTGATCGCGGGTTTCGCACTGGCATCTGGTTAAGCACTGTGAAAACAGGATGCTGGACTTGATGGACCACTGGCCTGATCCAGCAGGGCCCTATCTCATGTTCTTATGTCTGGGGAAGAAACTGCAGGAGCTTGGAATACACTGGATATTTAAGGGAAAGTTATAGTGAAGATATTTACAAGCCCCTTTGGAATGTCTCCCCTTTTTGTATCAATTGACTCCATCACAGAGTCTCCATCACAATCAAATGACTCCATCACAGAGAAGGGCCTTCAGAGATATGCAATGGGAACGGCTTCCTGTCTGTAATTGTAGATGGGACCAATAGATACAAATGACTGCGAAAACGTGTCCCTATTTTTGTCTGTCATTTTGTGAAATGGACGATGCTGTCCTAAACTATTTCTGGAAGGAGAGAGTGGACTGTGAGTTTCTCACCTGTTAAAGAATGTTCCTAGCATCATAATAAGGCAGGGGTTTTTCATCACTTACCTTTGCAAGAAGCTTCCAATATCCTGGAGCAAGGGAAGGAAGGAAGGAAGGAAGGAAGGAAGGAAGGAAGGAAGGAAGGAAGGAAGGAAAGAAAGAAAGAAAGAAAAGAAAGAAAGAAAGAAAAGAAAGAAAGAAAGAAAGAAAGATTTCAGTGAAGTCAGTTTTGCACAGAGCACTGTGATCAGTTTGTTGTTATTATCAATTTTGTATACCACCCTTTAACTGCAGGCCTCTGGGTGGTTGACAAGATAAAATCACTATATAAAAACATAAAATTCATAATAAGAGGGGCTGGGAGCTGGGGGCACTGTCATAAAGTGGTTCCGCTCCTTCCTCCTGGGCCATGTTCAGAAAGTGGGGGGGGGATGAGTGTTCAGACCCTGGGCTCTCACTTGTGGGGTGCCTCAGGGCTCCGTCCTCTCCCCATGCTTTTCAACATCTACATGCAGCCACTGGGAGAGATCATCAGGGGGTTTGGGCTGGGTGTTCATCAGTATGTGGATGATACCCAGCTCTACCTCTCTTTCAAATCAGAACCAGTAAAGGCAGTGAAGGTCCTGTCTGAGTGTCTGGAGGCAGTTGGAGGATGGATGGTGGCTAACAGATTGAGGTTGAATCCTGACAAGACAGAAGTACTGTTTCTGGGGGACAGGAGACGGGCGGGTGTGGAGGACTCCCTGGTCCTGAATGGGGTAACTGTGCCCCTGAATGAGCAGGTGCGCAACCTGGGAGTCATTCTGGACTCACAGCTGTCCATGGAGGCGCAGGTCAATTGTGTGTCCAGAGCAGCTGTCTACCAGCTCCATCTGGTATGCAGGCTGAGACCCTATCTGCCCATGGACTGTCTCGCCAGAGTGGTGCATGCTCTGGTTATCTCTTGCTTGGACTACTGCAATGCGCTCTATGTGGGGCTACCTTTGAAGGCGACCCGGAAACTACAACTAATCCAGAATGCGGCAGCTAGACTGGTGACTGGGAGTAGCTGCTGAGACCACATAACACCTGTCTTGAAAGACCTACACTGGCTCCCTGTACGTTTCTGAGCACAATTCAAAGTGTTGGTGCTGACCTTTAAAGCACTAAACGGCCTCGGTCCAGTATATCTGAAGGAGCATCTCCACCCCCATCGTTCTGCCCAGACACTGAGGTCTAGTGCTGAGGGCCTTCTAGCAGTTCCCTTGCTGCGAGAAGCCAAGTTACAGGGAACCAGGCAGAGGGCCTTCTCGGTAGTGGCACCCACCCTGTGGAACACCCTCCCACCAGATGTCAAGAGAAAAACAACTACCAGACATCTGAAGGCAGCCCTGTTTAGGGAAGCTTTTAATGTTTAATAGACTATTGTATTTTAATATTCTGTTGAAAGCCGCCCAGAGTGGCTGGGAAAACCCAGCCAGATGGGCGGGGTATAAAATTATCATTATTATTATTAATTATAAATTATTATTATTATTATTATTATTATTATTATTATTATTATTATTATTATTATATCCCGCCCTCCCCAGCCGAAGCCGGGCTCAGAGAAGCTAACAACAGTAAAATGATACAACATTCTAAAATCATTTCATTATAAAATCAGTTCAAATCAGATTAATGGCAACCATTGGGCTAGAGTTCTGTGAGGATTGCCAAAGAAGGGGGTCAGACTGTGCCCTTGCCAAAGGCCTGGTGGAACAGCTCTGTCTTGCAGGCCCTGTGGAAAGATGTCAAGTCCCGCAGGGCCCTGGTCTCTTGTGACAGAGCGTTCCACCAGATCGGAGCCACGGCCGAAAAAGCCCTGGCTCTGGTTGAGGCCAGCCTAACCTCCCTGTGGCCCGGGACCTCCAAGATGTTTTTGTTTGAAGACCGTAAGGTCCTCCGTGGGACATACCAGGAGAGGCGGTCCCGTAGGTATGAGGGTCCTAGGCCATATAGGGTGTTGTTGTTGTTGTTGTTGTTGTTGTTATTAAAACAAACACAAGAGCAACCAAATAATCCAAACTGTCTTCAGGCACAGCCCCATCTACAACCCCCAAGCGATGTACCCACTCTTTCAGAGGAAGTGCAACCCCATCAAGAGCAGCCCATCTCCCACCCATCCGGTCTAGGGAACCACCCCCTAAGAGTGCCTCAGTCTTATCTGGATTGCCTTTCAGTTTGTTGACTCTCATCCAGTCTGCTAGAGAGACAAGACACTGATCCAGCACTTCCACTGCCTCACCTGCAGATGTAAAGGAGAGTCACCAGCATATTGCTCACAACGTGCTCCAAACCTCCAGATGACCCCAGTTATCAATACTAAGCTGCTGAAAAGCACTTACTGGGATACAGAGGTGGGCAGAGAGCTACTGGTTTTTAAGGCTTCCCAGAGACCTCTGGTTGGCCAGTGCGAGAACATGATAGAATGAAGGGGCTTGTGGTCTGATCTAGCAGATCCCCTTTTGTGACCCCAGGTCTTTCACCCATCATGTCCCAATTCTTTTCCTTGCAACAGCTTTTTTGGGCGTGGGGACTAAGACATGTTATCCTCCTGCTTGTACTATGAAGCAGCCCACTCCACCCTCTCGCATCAGGATGAGGCCTCACCTGCAGGAGTTCACTCGCTGGTTCCTGAAGCTTCTCCTCCATCTCCCGGATGGCGTGTTCAAAAGAGGAGAGTTCCCTGGAGAGTCTGGCCAGGTGCTCCTCCCTTTTCTTCGCAATCTCCTTCTCCACCTCTGCCATCTGGGCCAGAATACGTTTCTCTTGTTCTTCCAGAAACTGGCGCAGTCGCTTGAACTCAGCCACCATCTTTTCCCTCTCTGCATCTGTTTGTTTCTGCAGCAAAGAGATTGATAGAAGAGAACAGTGGGCCAATATCAGGCATCTAGTCTGCTCTTGAAGGATGAAGAGGCTAGTTATCCCAATTCCCCTGGAAGGGAACACCTGACATTTTAGAGAGATTACGCCAGTATTCAGCAGGGAAAGAGCTTCATAAACACAAGTCCACCCCTTCCTTTAAATCACGGTGTCAAACACAAGGCCCGTGGGCCGAATCCGGCCCGCCAGACCTCGTCATGTGGCCCGTGTAGCCGCTGCTGGCCGCCAGCCTTCACCTTTTATTCGCGCTTTTTTTTTGACACAAGAAAGCCGCATGCGCTTCAACGCATGCGCGGCAGCCTACAAGCCAGAGAACGTCTGCCCTCTAGCGGCGCCGGCCGTTCTACACAGGAAACCTCCACTTTACATGCATTCAGGAAACCTCCACTTGTTTTTTATATTGAGCGCATGCCATCCTGTGATGTGACTGATCCAACGGCTGCCTGAACCCTTCTCTCCTGTACTGTAAGTCCTACAGATACAACCGGCCCTTTGAGGGTGACCAAACTGCTGATGCGGCCCCGATGAAATTTGAGTTTGACACCCCTGCTTTAAATGGTCTTTCATGTTCTGTGGGAAATAAGACTGTTCAAAAATAAACCTCTTTCTGTATTCCATATTCATTTCCCCCAGATATGGATTCTAGACTACAGTCATACCTTGGGTTGCGAATGCTGCAAGTTGTGCATTTTGGGTTGCAGACTGCGCTGAACCCGGAAGTACCAGAACGGGTTACTTCCGGGTTTCGGCACTCGTGCATGCGCAGACGCACAAAATAGGTAAATCAATCATACATTTTTAGTTGTACAGTCATAACTCGGGTTAGAGATGCTTCAGGTTGCATTTTTGGGGGGTTACGGGTGTGCTGAAACCCAGAAGTACTGGAACAGGTTACTTCCGGGTTTCGGCACTCGCGCATGCACAGAACCGCTAAATTGTTCTTTGTGCATGTGCAGAAGCTCCAAATTGCAACCCACGCGTGTGCAGACGTGGCACTGCAGGTTGCGAACGCTGCAGGTTGCCAACATGCCTCCTGCGCAGATCTGTATAACACTTTTTCACCTTCAAGTAACAATGGTGCTTACAAGCAGGTCTTGGGTTTCCTTTTCTGTGTTTGCTTTAAGTACTAGAATTTTTTCTCTCTCCTTCCTCAAATTGTCTAGGCAGGTGCTGATCTGATCCTGAAAAGAAAAAAAAGTCCAAGTTGAGCCGCGTTACACATTAACAGTTTGCTCCCTGCCCCACATTCCAGGGTATTTTGCAGGAGTTTCCCTTTTTCATCCCAGACGAGGCAGAAATGGGGCTGCCCTATATCAGAGCTGAGAAACATGGGGGTTTGCTATTTATCCCCCACACTGAACACACCTCCAACATCTCCCCCCTCCTTTTTATTAAATTAATCCTAGATGTTGTAATCTTTCCTCCCAGGGGAGTTACTGCAGCCTGCATTCAGGTGGTGCACTTTAATCTCTCAAAAAGAAAAGTAAATGCTTATTGTATAAAGCTTCAGAAGTTTAGTTGTATCGGGCTGTACAAGATCTCTTGCTGGAAAATTCCTTTTCGGCTGCAAGTGGAGAGAATACATTACAACATTTTTATTTTTGCAAGCCCCTATTGTCAGCAGCTATTCCACCCCCCACCCCCCAAGTAAGACCCACTGCCTTTTCCCACCTTGTACTCCTGGAAAGCCTCCTCTAGAGGAACCATCTTGTGGCCTTTGGTGCTCCTTGGATACATTACAGACGACACAGATGGGGGCTTTCTTCCTCCTTGCAGAAGAGCTTCAGGGGCTCCTGGTGCTTCTCACAGACTCTTTCCTTTGCTTCTGCCCGCATCTTGGCTTTTTCTGCAACATTTGCCAGCGACCGATTGGGGATGAGGTTCTTTTCCTGAACTGTTTTTCTGCATTCTGGGCAGGAAGCCTTTGCCTCGGATTTCCCCCAATACTGGATCAGGCAGGATCGACAGAAGTTGTGCCCGCACTCCGGGATGATCACTGGATCCCTGAAATACTCCAGGCAGATGGAGCAAGTGGCTTCCTCGAAGAGATCCTTCACGGGACCCCCTGAAGCAGCCATGGCGGAGTCGTCAGGAAGAGAGTAAGTGCGTGTGTGAGAGAGCTGGTTTCGCTTTCTCTTTTTTGTTTCTGCAAATGGGCGTTTTCCTTTCCAGGAAATTCAGATGCGATTACTCAGGATCCCTGCTGCCTTGGAGTTGGCTGGAGTTCCGAGCCGCTTTGATATGGTGGAAATATTTATTTATTTGTTTTGTTTTACGTGGAATGCTCATCCTCCCTGCGAGAGCTGTTGGAATTTGTTGTGGTTTTGTTTACTATCAGCACGTCAGCCTCAGACTACTTTGGAAGCTAATGAATGAATTGCTGTCCCCCTCCCCCGCCCCCCTCCATTCACACTCATCTTTCTAGTTACTGTAGTAGCCAAGTCATAGAATCATAGAATCATAGAGTTGGAAGAGACCACAAGGGCCATCGAGTCCAACCCCCTGCCAAGCAGGAAACACCATCAGAGCACTCCTGACATATGGTTGTCAAGCCTCTGCTTAAAGACCTCCAAAGTAGGAGACTCCACCACACTCCTTGGCAGCAAATTCCACTGTCGAACAGCTCTTACTGTCAGGAAGTTCTTCCTAATGTTTAGGTGGAATCTTCTTTCTTGTAGTTTGGATCCATTGCTCCGTGTCCGCTTCTCTGGAGCAGCAGAAAACAACCTTTCTCCCTCCTCTATGTGACATCCTTTTATATATTTGAACATGGCTATCATATCACCCCTTAACCTCCTCTTCTCCAGGCTAAACATGCCCAGCTCCCTTAGCCGTTCCTCATAAGGCATCGTTTCCAGGCCTTTGACCATTTTGGTTGCCCTCCTCTGGACACGTTCCAGTTTGTCAGTGTCCTTCTTGAACTGTGGTGCCCAGAACTGGACACAGTACTCCAGGTGAGGTCTGACCAGGGCAGAATACAGTGGCACTATTACTTCCCTTGATCTAGATGCTATACTCCTATTGATGCAGCCCACAATTGCATTGGCTTTTTTAGCTGCTGCGTCACACTGTTGGCTCATGTCAAGTTTGTGGTCAACCAAGAGTCCTAGATCCTTTTCACATGTACTGCTCTCAAGCCAGGTGTCACCCATCTTGTATTTGTGCCTCTCTTTTTTTTTGCCCAAGTGCAGTACTTTACATTTCTCCCTGTTAAAATTCATCTTGTTTGTTTTTGCCCAGTTCTCTAATTTGTCAAGGTCGTTTTGAAGTGTGATCCTCTCCTCTGGGGTGTTAGCCACCCCTCCCAGTTTGGTGTCATCTGCAGATTTGATCAGGATGCCCTTGAGTCCATCATCCAAGTCGTTGTCAAATGCCTTGCTGAAATCAAGGTAGGCTACATCCACTGCATTCCCTTCATCTACCAGGCTTGTAATTCTGTCAAAAAACGAGATCAGGTTAGTCTGACATGACTTATTTTTCAGAAATCCATGCTGACTATTGGTGATCACAGCATTCCTTTCTAGGTGCTCACAGACTGTTTGCTTAATGATCTGCTCCAGAATCTCCCCTGGTATTGATGTCAGACTGACTGGGCGGTAATTATTTGGGTCCTCTCTTTTCCCCTTTTTGAAAATAGGGACAACATTTGCCCTCCTCCAGTCTGCCGGGACTTCGCCTGTTCTCCAGGAATTCTCAAAGATGACTGCCAGTGGTTCTGAGATCACATCTGCCAGTTCTTTTAATACTCTTGGATGCAGTTCATCTGGCCCTGGAGACTTGAATACATCTAAACTAGCCAAGTATTCTTGTACTATCTCCTTAGTTATTCTGGGCTGTGTTTCCTCTGCTGAATCATTTGCTCCAAATTCTTCAGGTCGGGCATTGTTTTCTTTATCGGAGAAGACTGAGGCAAAGAAGGCATTGAGGAGTTCAGCCCTTTCTGTGTCCCCTGTTTGCATTTCACCATCTTCTCCTCTGAGTGACCCCACTGTTTCTTTGTTCTTCCTTTTGCTACGAACATACCCATAAAAGACTTTTTAGTTGCTTTTAACCTCTCTAGCAAGCCTGAGTTTATTCTGTGCTTTAGCTTTTCTGACTTTGTGTCTACACGTGCTGGCTATTTGTTTGAATTCCTCTTTGGTGGTTTCCCCCCTTTTCCATTTTTTGTACACATCCTTTTTTAATCTTAACTCAGTTAAAAGTTCTTTAGATAGCCACCCTGGCTTCTTTAGGCACCTTCCATGTTTCTGTCTCATTGGTATTGCCTGACGTTGTGCTTTTACTATCTCCCTCTTAACAAACTCCCAGCCATCATGAACTCCCTTTCCTTTTAGTATTACTGTCCATGGGATCTCACCCAGCACTTCCCTAAGTTTTATGAAGTCGGCTTTCTTAAAGTCAAGAAATTGAGTCCTAGTATGCTTGCCTGCTGCTTTCCGCTGTATAGTAAACTTCAGAAGAGCATGATCACTCGCGCCTAATGATCCTTCCACTTCTACCCCACTAACCAGGTCATCAACACTGGTTAGGACCAGATCTAAAATGGCTGTTCCTCTTGTTGCTTCTCCCACTTTCTGGTCAATGAAGTTGTCTGCAAGGCCAGTGAGGAATCTGTTTGACCTTATGCTCTTGGCTGAGTTTGACATCCAACAAATATCCGGGTAATTGAAGTCCCCCATTACTACTATCTCCCTTCCTTTTTGCATGCTTGGCCATCTGTTCCAGGAAGGCAATATCTATGTCCTCCGTTTGGCTTGGGGATCTATAGTAAACTCCCACAATGAGGTCACTGTTATTCTTCTCTCCCTTAATTCTGACCCAAATGCTCTCACTTTGGCTTTGAGGTTCTAAATCTTGGATCTTGGATCTCTTCACAGGTATAGCTGTGAAGTCATCATAGCTGTCAACATTTCCCTTTTTTAAAGGGAAATTCCCTTATTCCGGATAGAATTCCTCGCAAGAAAAGGGGACAAGTTGACAGCTATGCAAGTCATACAGAGAAGAAACAGCCCAGCCCTCCATCCCAGTGCCAATTTTTAGTGAGTCCTTTTGACAAAATCATCGGCGTCTGACAATGTGCAATAACCACCTCTGGAACGATCTCTGCAAACGGCCTTTGCAAACAGCTCAGCTAATGGTATTCATATATTTGCCAATCACACCACGGGGCAACTATTAACAGCAGGTACTTTCACTTAGCCCCATTTTCTCTATTATTATTATTATTATTATTATTAGTTGAATTTATATTGCGCGCCTTCCTGCTGCCCCCCATCCTCTGGGGCTGGCGATGGGGGAAGCGCTGCTTTCCCCACCGCCAGCCTCGAAGCTGGGTTGGAGAGTAGCGGCAAGGCCTTCCTGCTGCCCCCCATCCTCTGGGGCTGGCGATGGGGGAAGCGCTGCTTTCCCCCACCGCCAGCCTCAAAGAGCAGACTCTCCTGGCTTCAACGGAAGCAACGGAAGCCTCCGGAGCGCAGGCTTCAGAGGCTTCGCGTTGCTATCGCTGAAGCCAAGGAGTCTGCATTCGCCCCATAAGACGCACACACATTTCCCCTTCATTTTTGGAGGGGAAAAGGTCCGTCTTATAGGGCGAAAAATGCGGTATATTGTGATTTTATTTTGTGAACTGCCCTGAGACCTTGGGTATAGGGTGGTATAGAAATTTAATTAATTAATTAATTAATTAATTAATTAAAATAATAAAAGGAAACCACTTGAAACTACTAACTGACAAGAGAATTAGAGGAGTGTAACAACCTAAGTATAATTTATCACTTCCTGAAAGTGACAGAAAACCTGTAAGGCAGACGTGGAAAGTGCTAGTAAAGGTAAAGCGACTCCTGACGATTAAGTCCAGTCGCAAACATCTTTGGGGTTGCAACGCTCATCACGCTTTACAGGCCGAGGGAGCCGGCGTTTGTCAGCTTCCACAGACAGTTTTTTTCTGGGTCATGTGGCCAGCAGGACTAAGCCGCTTCTGGCAAACCAGAGCAGCGCACGGAAACACCGTTTACCTTTTCGCCTAAGCGGTACCTATTTATCTACTTGCACTTGACATGCTTTCGAACTGCTAGGTTGGCAGGAGCAGGGACCGAGCAACGGGAGCTCACCCTGTCGCGGGGATTCGAACTGCCGACCTTTCAATTGGCAAGCCCAAGCAGCAAAGTGGTTTAACCCACAGCGCCACCTGCGTCCGTGGGGAAAGTGCTAACTGGGCGAAAATAAGGCATGGACAGAAGAACTGCAGTGGCCTCATCTTTTGAGAAGCAGGTTCCAGTTCTCCTGAAATTGTGCCTCCATTCGACCCTGAAATTTACCTTTTTGCAGCTCAAGTCCAGATTCCACAGTGTCTGGTGAAGAAAAGGGAACAGAGATTTATCATCACACCATCACCCTGATAACTAATCTGGTAATGACAATATGAGCTCATGCAATTATAGCTGGGGAAGCCAGTGAGGAACTTTAGGCATTGTGGACTACAGGTCCCATCATCCCTAAGCATCAACCATGCCAGCTGGAGCTCATGGGAGTTGCCATTTAAAATGTCTGAAACCCACCATGCTGCCTATACCTGCAGAAGCCAGGGCAGGGGCGATGTCAAGCTTCAGGCCTGCTCAGACCTGAGAGGAGGAGCAGGACCCCCAGAAGATCTCCCCATCAGCAACAATCTTGAGATGTAGTAGTAGTAGTAGTAGTAGTAGTAGTAATAGTAATATTCATACCCCGGCCAGCCACTCTGTGCAGCTCACAGCATATATCGACACATAGTAAAACATCAAACATTAAAAACTTCCCTAAACAGGGCTGCCTTCAGATGTCTTCTAAAAGTCAGATAGTTGATTTATGTCCTTGTCATCTGAAGGGAGGGCGTTCCAGATGGTGAATGTGACTACAGAGAAGGCCTTCTGCCTGGTTTCCTGTAACTTCACAGTAAGGGAACCAGCAGAAGGCCCTCAGCACTGGACCTCAGTGTCTGGGCTGAATGATGGGGATGGAGACGCTCCTTCAGGTATACAGGACCGAGGTCGTTTAGCGCTTTAAAGGTCAGCACCAACACTTTGAATTGTGCTCAGAAACGCACTAGGAGCCAATAAAGAATCTTTAGGACCAGTGTTATATGTCCTGGCAGCCACTCCCAGTCACCAGTCTAGTTGCCGCATTTTGGATTAGTTGTAGTTTCCGGCTCACCTTCAAAGGTAGCCCCACGTAGAGCGCATTGCAGTAGTCCAAGCGGGAGATAACTAGAGCATGCATCACTCTGGCGAGACAGTCCGTGGGCAGGTAGAGTCTCAGCCTGCGTACCAGATGGAGCTGGTAGACAGCCGCCCTGGACACGGATTTGACCTGCGCCTCCATGGACAGCTGTGAGTCCAGAATGACTCTGAGGCTGTGCACCTGGTCCTTCAGGGGCACAGGTACCCCATTCAGGACCAGGGAATCTCCCACACCCACCCGTCCCCTGTCACAGAGCACATCTCTGAAGAGGGCTTTATAACATGGTGGAGATGCTGAGAAAATGGATAGGGAGATTTTTCGTTATTTTAGCTCCTGGGGTGATCCAATGAAACTGAAGGAGAGCTGGAGGCGCTGCTGCAGGAGGCTTTGGGCTGAGAATATCTAGAGTCTAGAGGGTGGGGGTCTCTTCTGAAGGCCCACTTTTCTTCTCCAGAGCATCCAACGATTTGCTTCCCAGCATGCCAGATCTCTCTTCAAAGTCAAGACACATTCTGGGTTCCCAATTTCTCCTCCTCCATATTATATCTTCTGAGGATTAGCTACTATTATGTACTGAGCTGAATCCTAGAACAATAGGATCTAGAATGCAGCAGTCTGATTGGTCCGCAGGAGCCACCCAATCTAGCTCCAGGTGGAAGTGAATCAGCGACTTGATTGGCCTACAGGAGCAGCCAATCAGGCTCCTGGATGAAGTGAATCAGCAACCTGATTGGCCTGCAGGAACAGCCAATCAGGCTTCTGGAGGAAGTGAATCCACAACCTGATTAGCCTACAGGAGCAGCCTGGAATTAGCCAATCATGCGGGGCCCATTGTGTAAAAAATGTATATATAGCTATATATACGTTTTGGGGAAAGTTTCATCATTGCTACTATGAGCTGAATAAAGAGCATGAAAGTCACACTCGACTGAGTATTTTTCAGCTACCCCTCCCATATTTCAGACATTATCATGATCTGAGCCTGAGGCCTGATTAAGTCTTTCTTTCAGACTGGGTTACTGCTTTCCCCCCATTACATTTTATTGTAATTTTATTGGTCCTGGGCGGGGAGGGCAGAGGATAAAAATGTTATTGTTACTACTACTACTACTACTATAGTGCTATCATATATCAGAATAAAAAGGGAATAGAAGCTGAACAACTTTGGGATTGCCTGTAAAAAGCTCAACAATTTTGGGGGTTTCCTTAAAAAAAGAAGAAGCTCAGCAACTTTTGTGGTGTCCTGGTTTTTACTGGATCCCACTCTGGAAGATCATTAAAATCCAGAGGAAATTGGTTTTCCACTCCCTAAATTCCACATGCATTTTAGAAAAATAGCACCCCCAAATGTCATCTTTGATATTACAGCTAACTGAGCCTAAAATATCACCCGGGGCACCTGTGAGGAATGCCCGAAATAATTTAGAGTTAATGAGGCGTCTTATCAACACATCCTCCTGTTTCTTTCCTGGTACTGAAGCAAAGGTTGCAGGATGTCCTTGCAAACTATGAGTTTGCTTTGCACATTCTTTCCCCTCCCTTTTTTAAATAATTGTTTAAACTTTCACTTTGGCTGTGGACTTTGACACACACCTGAGGTGCAACACAAAGTAGAAATCCCCGGTCACCTGGTTTCCAGGAAAGGGAACACCCAGTTTGTGAAATAAGTTTTTAACAAAAGACAGCAGAGAAAAAAGTAACTCTTGTGCCCGAGGTAGCCATGGCTGCTGGGGGTCTTGCTGAGGATCTCTCCAGACGTCAGAGGGGAACATGGAGCTTCTGCGAAAAACACCAGGAACCCCGGAAACTTTTCTGTAAAAACCACAAAACCGCCATCTGTGTGATTTGTGACAAAGCCAAGGAACACAAAAAACACAAGGTTGTTCCTCTGGATGAAGCGCCTGAAATATACAAGGTAGGAAATCACGTTTTCTATTCTAGTAATACTCTACTAGCTATGGGCAAGCGAGTCCTGCAACAAAATGTTGCAGTGTGTCTCCATAAAAGGAATGCTCCAGTGAGCTTTGTGGTAAGGAGGTGGAGTATTTCATTAAGTGGAATGGCAGACGCTCCAAATGTCCCTATTTTCCAGGAACAGCCCCGGATTTACAGAAGCTGTCCCAGTTTGATCCTAGAATGACCCACTTTTCCTTAGGACATCCCTATTTTAACCGGAGAAATGTTGGAGGGTATGGTCGGATGTCCCTACTTTCAACAGAGAAAGGTTGGAGGGTATGCAACCCCTGAGCCAAGGAGATAAGAAACTGTACAACATTTAGAAGAAATCTGAAGGTAGCCCTGTATAGGGATGTTTTTAATGGGTGGCATGTAAATAATAAATTTATTACTATTATTATGATGGAATAGAATGCCCCTATTTTCCTCAGAGAAATGTTGGAGGGTATGGAATGAGAACAGGAAGTCTCTCCCCCCCAGAGTTGCTGAATTACAATTATTGCCAAGGCCAAGCAACCCTGGCCACGGCCAGAGAAGCTGGAGGGAAAAAAGGTCCCCTAAGTTTGGGACTACAGTCATACCTCAAGTTAAATATGCTTCAGGTCAAGCGTTTTCAGGTTATACTCTGCGGCAACCCGGAAGTAATGGAACGCGTTACTTCCGTTTATCGCTGCTCGCGCATGTGCAGACGCTCAAAATGACGTCACACTCATGCGCAGAAGCTGTGAATCGCAACCCGTGCATGCGCAGACACACAGACGCAGGTTGCGTTCGCTTCAGGATGCGAACGGGGCTCCAGAACGGATCCTGTTCGCATCCAGAGGTACCACTGTATTTGTCACCCATAACCAGAGCATTTCTTATAGCTATATTAGAAGTCGTTCTGTAGAATAAGAAAGGGGGAAAGTATCCTTTGGGGAAGTAAGCTGGCCTCTGTTGCTACACCATGTTTATTTATATTCAGAATAAAGTAAAGGTAAAGGGACCCCTGACCATTAGGTCCAGTCGTGGCTGACTCTGGGGTTGCGGCGCTCATCTCGCTTTATTGGCCGAGGGAGCCGGCGTACAGCTTCCAGGTCATGTGGCCAGCATGACTAAATAGCACCCCCCAAAAAAAAACACATTTAAAAGAATGAAGAGTATTAATCAGCCAAAGGCCTTGTTGAAGAGGAACGTTTTCACCTGTCGCCTAAAAGTCTATAAGGAAGGCGCCAGGCAAGCCTCGCTGGGGAGAACATCACACAAACGGGGAGCCACTGCAGAGAAGGCCCTGTTCTTGTGTTGCCACCCTCCGGACCTCTCACAGAGGAGGCCCATGAAGAAGGGCCTCAGATGATGATCTTGGGGTCTGGGTTGGTCCCTATGGGGAGAGGCAGTCCTTGAGGTATTGCGGTCCTGAGCCACTTAAAGCTTTACAGTGGTACCTCGGGTTACAGACACTTCAGGTTACAGACTCCGCTAACCCAGAAATAGTACCTCGGGTTAAGAACTTTACCTCAGGATGAGAACAGAAATCGTGCTGCGGCTGCAGCGGGAGGCCCCATTAGCCAAAGTGGTGCTTCAGGTTAAGAACAGTTTCAGGTTAAGAACGGACCTCCGGAACGAATTAAGTTCTTAACCCGACGTACCACTGTATAGGCCAAAACCAGCACTTTGAATTGGGCCCGGAAGCTAATTGGCAGCCAGTGCAGTTGGACCAAGATGGGTACAATATGCTCAAACCGTCTTGCCCTGGTGAGCAACATGGCTGCCAAATTCCGCACATTAGTCCAAGTACAGTATATCCACCGGGTCACCTACATCTATTTGCTTATTGATGCTCTCAAAGATCTCCAATATGCTTCACAGAGGCATCTGATTGGTCAGTGTGAGAAGAGGATGCTAGACTTTGGTCTGATCCAGCAGGCCTCTTGTTCTCTCTTTCTTGAATGCGTTATTTCCCCAAGAAATCAGCAAGGATGCCCTTCCCCAGGATTTCATTTCAAGGAGTGTTAAACCCCACTAACTTATTCAGTCTAACCCATTTGGGTAGCTCAGTTGGTTAGAGCAGTGTTTCTCAACCTTTTTCTGGCCTTGTTTCCTTTCTGTGGCTTCCTGACCTACCAGTAGGAAGGTAGCTATTTTGTTTGCAAATAGAACATGTTTTATATATACTGTATTTTTTGCACCATAACACTCACTTTTTTCCTCCTAAAAAGTAAGGGGAAATGTCTGTGCGTGTTATGGAGGGAATGCCTACAGGTGGCATGCCTACGGATTTTCCTCCTCTAAAAACTACGTGCGTGTTATGGTCGGGTGCGTGTTATAGAGCGAAAAATACGGTATATAACACTATACATACAGTAGTGCCTCAGATTACATACACTTCAGGTTACAGAGTCCGCTAACCCAGAAATAGTACCTCAGTTTAAGAACTTTGCTTCAGGATGAGAACAGCAATTGTGCTGCGGCGGCAGCAGGAGGCCCCATTAGCTAAAGTGGTGCTTCAGGTTAAGAACAGCTTCAGGTTAAGAACGGACCTCCGGAATGAATTAAGTACTTAACCCGAGGTACCACTGTATATATATATTCTATAATTTCACCTGTGGCCCCCTCGGAATATCCTGAGGGCCCCCAAGGGGCCATATGGCCCACAGTTGAGAAACACTGGGCTAGAGCATAGTGCTGGTAATTCCAAGGTTGCAGGTTTGATCCCCATACGGGACAGCCGCAAATCCCTGCTTTGTAGGGGGTTGGACTAGATGACCCTTGGGGTCCTTTCCAAGTCTACAATTCTATGTTGAATGCTGCAAAGTGACATGGAAGGTACAGGAGACCTCCATAAAACTCAAGTCACAAGCATTGCATTCAACTTTCCTCTCACTTTCTCAATTTTGATATCATAAATACTCAATAAATCAAAAAAGAGAGAAAGAATCAAAGTACAAATCATGTTTCTTTCCAGGATCAACTCTGCAGTCGCGAGGAGATTTTGTGTCAAGAGAGAGAGGAGGTTCTGGCTTACGGAGCAGCCATCTTAAAGGAAAGCCAAGACGAGCTTGTAAGTGCTGGCTGGCCGGCCACTGTGAGAACAGATCACTGGCCTCATCCTGCACTCCACTTCTTATACACTCCATAGCTCTGCGTGATGCTACCTGCTTTGACATTTCCAATTGCTTGCTAAGGTCAAAGGAAAACAATTCTTTCTGTCCTACGGCCTTGCGACACCTCAAAGTTCCCTATGGGGAAAAGTCACAACATCTGAGGCTTTTTGAGTTTAGAAAAACAAAAGTTAAGACAAGAGGGACATAAAATTATGCACAGTGTGAAGAAAGCAGATGGACAGAATTATTTATCTCTTATACAAGAACCTGAGGGCATTCAGTAAAACTGAATATTAGATGTTTCAACACACATAATGCTGGTGGCACTGTGGTCTAAACCACTGAGCCTCTTGGGCTTTCTGATCAAAAGATTGGTGGTTCAAATTCCCACTCCCATTGCTCTGTCCCAGCTCCTGCCAACTTAGCAGGTCGAAAGCACACCAGTGCAAGTAGATAAATAGATACCGCTGCGGCGGGAAGGTAAACGGTATTTCCATGCGCTCTGGTTTCTGACACGGTGTCTCTGCGCCAGAAGCGGTTTAGTCATGCTGGCCATATGACTTCTGGTGAACCAGAGAAGCGCACAGAAACGTTGTTTACCTTTCTGTCGGAGCGGTACCTATTTATCTACTTACACTTTACCATGCTTTCAAACTGCTAGGTTAGCAGGAGCTGGGACCGAGCAACGGGAGCTCACCCTGTTGCGGGGATTCGAACCGCTGACCTTCCGATTGGCAAGCCCTAGGCTCAGTGGTTTAGACCACAGCGCCACTCAGGTCTAAGAGAGGCATCTGGTTGGACAATGTGAAAAAGAGATGCTGGCCTGATCCAGATTAGAAGGACACTTTTTATGTTCCCTCATTCTTGAGTGCATTCTCTTCCCAAAGCGTTGGGGAGGTCTCCCTTCCTTCCTATCAAGGTGTGTTAAACCCCCTACTTCACTTGCACCCTGTAATCTATTGAATCCAACCCATTCAAATGCTGCAAAAGGATATGGAAGGTTGCAGGAGATCTCTGTAAAAAGCACAGGAATGTGAGGGCAAGGAGCCAGTGGCGTAGCGTGGAGGGTGCAGGGGGGCCGGCCGCACCGGGCGCAACATCTGGGGGTTAGGGTTAGGGGGTGCAAATCCACGGGTTAGGGGGCGCAAATTACTTGCCTTGCCCCGGGTGCTGACAACCCACGCTACGCCACTGCAAGGAGCAAGCATGCCATTCAACTTTCCCCCTCGGACTTCACTTCAGAAATAGACAATAAAGGAACCAAAAACAAAACGAAGTGGTTTCTGTTTTCTCTTCAGGATCAAATTGACGCTCTTGCGGAGAATCTGGAGGCAATGAGACAGGCAGCATTTGGAAGTGGGGGAAAACAGACGCGGAAAAGAAGATTCAAGGGGTTCTTGTAAGTGTTGCTGATGTTGGGAAGTGAAAAAGTACAAGTCTAAAAATAATAAACCGGGGGGAAATAAATCCAGGAATGTTTGGATATTTTTTAAGCACACAAGGCCACCTTGCTTCTGCTTGGGGTTGCCCCTTTCTCCTGCAGGAAATGACTGACTATTCCAAGGGTGGGCACCCATAAGCTTCTAGAAAGTTCTTTCCCTGATTAATGTTGTGACCTTTGCAGGGAATTTAAAAGTGCCTTTCCCAGGGATTGCTCATAAAAGATGTGGCCTCTTGATGTTGCAGAACCTGAATATATTATCCACCCTGACTCCCTTTTCTCCTCTTTCCACCATCTAGCAAATGGAAATGGAAGAGAAGACAGCCTTCCTTGAACTGTCAGTCATCTTAAGCTCTTGGGACGAGGACTGCTCTGGGCCTTTCAGGTACGTCCCTTTCCTCCCTCTGTGTCAAGCCTCAGTCTCCGGGTGCAGAGGGAGGAGTTACCATTCACTGTCATACCACATAATTTTATTCTATTTATTTTCTGCCTTCCCTCCCATAGTCGCCCAGGGATAGTTCCTTCCCCGGGTGAGCAAAGTACAAGGAACAATGCTGGGCATTTAGTTTCAAGTGGGAGATGAGAGAGGCATGCTTGCTTAGATCCATTTCACAGATTATGAACACTATTGTCCTTTGCAGCAGAATGAAACAAAAATTAATTCTGCTCTGCCTTTTGCCTGGATTGCAGATCTCCAACACCTCTGCACCTCTCAAAAAGCAACCTTGCAGCTCTTCTTCTATGGGGAGAAATTGAAGAAGCGGATGGAGGAGGAGGAGGAGCAGAAGCCATTGCAGAGCTGGAAACATCTCAAGCTGTAGGAAGGACCTAGAAACATCAAGTGGAGTCTCACTATTACCTTTCAGGTTAAGAAAAGATCAGCCGGCCAGCCAAGGACAGTAATCATCATAGAGGCTGTGGGGAATGTCCTGAGCAGTCTGAAGGAAACCATAGATGGGAGGAGCTACTGCCTAGAAAGCGTCTCCTTTCAGGCAGTTGCGTGTCGAGACCCGCAGCCACCCCCTCGTTGGAAATAACTCACACAAGGACACGGATATTAGGTTTATGTTATTGGGCAAATTTTGGCCACAACTTTATTGAAATTACAGAATGTGAGCAGTATTGGCTTAGCCATTGATTGGACCTGACTATATTTGACTCCTGCTCATTGTGCAGTGTAGCAGGAAACCCCCCACCCCAATCATTCTATTTGTACAAACTACACACACACACACAGACACTCACACACTACATACGCCACATTTCTGTTATAAATTCATAGAAAATCAACCATACATTGGATTTGCACTGTTCCATTTTTATTTTACTCCATATGACAAGAACTGGCAAAGGGGGGTGGTTTGACCCTGGTCAGCCAAAATCCCTTCACCATCCCAGCACATCCACAGGAGCCCTGCCCAGTTGCTATGTCAACCCTGATAATCCCAGACAGAAGACAATCAAAATCACAAAGAACAGTGGATTCACCACAGACTGAAACAAAGGACAATGATCAGATCTTCCCTCAGGGGGCAGGAAACTGCAAACTCCCCTTTGTCTCCTGGAAGTAACTCATGGGGAGGGAGGAAAGGAGGAACCAGCCAGGTGACAAGATACTCAGGTTACCACCAACTCCTCCCTCAACCCCTCCTTTCTGTAATATATGCATGATGTTTCTGGGGGTGGGCTTGACCTAGAGGAGGGGAATTTCAAAAGATTTTATAAGACTTGGCACACTATTTTTCTGGGTCTTTCCTCTCACCTGCAAGTGAGGGGAACACCCTGTTGCAACAGTTCAATAAAGGCCAAGCCTACAGGCTGCTGTTTTGCTCCAAGTTATCCTGGTTGGTGTCTTTGTTTTTGTCCAAGAGAGCCCTGGGATTTTTCCGGTAACAGTTGGCACCCCAGATGGGACACTTGGTTCTCCTGCAGAGGTGAGGGGGGAGATAGAGGGGATCGGGCGCCACTGGGCAACCTTAGCCCAGGGATCCTTCTTCCTCTCCCTGCCTCCTCTTTGCGGGCGGTAATCAATCGTCACCAAAAGCTCAACCAGGGGAGCAAAGGCGAGGTCAAGCCGGCTAAAAGAAAAGGATCCGCGGGGGACATCTTCGAACGTGAGTATGGTTTGAAGTAAAACACATTGGGAGGGGGGTTGGAGAAGCAGTGTCCCCACGACAGCCAGACTTTCCTTCTTTCATTTCTGGCGTAGCCCTTCGGAGTCGGCCGGGTACGTTTAAATTCTATTCTTTTCTCCCCCGACGCTCCCCTTTCGGAAAGTGGCCAGGGAGGTCGGGAACTCTACTGTCTGACGTTATCTCTCGGAGTCGTCTAGGTACGTCAAAACCTTTCTCTGTCTCTCCCCTCAATTTCTTACGAGGAACGTGTCCGGGGAAATTGTGGTACTTTTACTGTTTTCCGGCATTACCTCTCGGAGTCGTCCGGGTATGTCTTAATCTCTCTATCCCTTTTCTCCCCCGTTTTCCGTCTTGGAATTGAGTCCGGGAAAGCGTGGCTCTTTTACTGTTTCTCTGATGTCTTCCCTCGGAGTCGTCCGGTGGCATCTTTTCAAAAGTATTTCAACGCAAGGTCATTTGCTTCCTTTCAAACCTTGGTTGTTTTCTGGGACCCCGATCTGGCACTGCTTTGCGCAGGCGTTCAGTAGGGGACTCCAAACTTAGTCTCAAAGGCTAGGCAGGAGGCTGTCGTGGGTGGGAGAGGGGAAAATAGGTTTAGTCTTGTAAACAGCGCTGAGGTAAAGGAATTCCGGGCAGAGGGACCCGTGGTTTTGAGTTTGCGGGCAGAGGGACCCGTGGTTTTGAGTTTGCGGGCAGAGGGACCCGTGGTTTGTTTCAGGTTCAGGTTTGAGATTTCCAGAAATTAATTTGTGGTTTATAGATAAGTAGGAATTGTGTTAGTCAAGGGTACTTTGAGTACTGAAAGGATCTTTTATCTGTCCCCCCTTTCTTTCCCATTGTCCCTCCTCCCTTGTGTGTGTGTTTCCACTCTTTCTGTCTTTAGTGTACTTCGTTAATGGAAGAAAAAAAAAAGCCCAATAATAACATATGAGAGAATGGGAGCTCACTAAAACACCCTAGCTGGACTCCTCCTGGCAACAAAGCTTCCATGAAGCCTTTTTGCCCCAGAGAGGATTCTAATATGCCCCTCCAGCTTGTCATCTCCAATTGGGAAAAAATAAAATAAAGGGGCAAAATGGTCTTTCAAGTACAAAGTATGAGACCGTTGTAACTTTTAGTGGGTGGCTTAGGCTCACCACCTGGAACCCAGGGCACAGCAGCCACCTCAGGGATCCTTCAACAAAATCAGGGTGTGAACCCATAGGGAGAGCTGAAAACATCAAATTTGTGTTGTTAAACTATGACCTAAAGCTAGAACATAAAACCGAAAACTTGATGGTGCTCAGAAGGCAGTAGATATAATAACAGCCCAGCCTGAGAGCCCACGCATTAGAGATCTTAGTTATTAAAATAATAATAATAAATGAATAAGAGATGTACTCAAGGATTTAGAAATATTTCAAGGGTTTGTATTTACATTGGCCTCTGCATCCGCAGACTGTTCTTAAATGCACATAGTTTTAAATTGCAAGCTTGCTTCAAAAATTTTAAATCTAAGAAAGCCATGTTGGGCCTTATCAATCTTAAGACAAAAATCAGAATGAAGTGTGTAAATGTTTGTTATTTGAGAGAGGCTCAAAAGAGTCTTTCTCCTTGTATGTACTTCATTAAGTATATGCCTATGAAAGTATGGTGTTTTTTTCTAAGAAAATTGTTATTAAATGTAGAGGCTTCCATGGCCAGCAAAATTCTATGAGTCCAGTCCAGATATCAGTCTCTATAAGACTTCCTGGACTCTTTTCTTAGAAAATGCCCCCCCCCTTGTTTCATTCTGTCTCTTTCAGGGTTTTTCCCCTTTTCTTCTCCTTCTTACTTCTGTGCCAAGTAAATTTACTCCAGAGTAAGCTTCCTTCAAAGGAAAGGGGGGGCATAGATGAGGCTTACTATTCCCCTGCAAGTTCAGGAAAAATTGTTCACTTTTGTATTCCTTTTAAATCAAATCTATGGCTGTTTTAATTATTTGTGAGTGGTTATATCAATTGAATTAACTTTGCTTTATAAGAGATCCTCTCCCTATCTTAGGGAAAATGTTCACTTCAATCTTCCTTTAAAGATAATTTCTCTAAGAACTTGCATTCTTTAGTCTAAGGAAGCAAACTCACTCACACTATCTCAAGATCTGCAAAAAGGGTTCTGTGTAAAGTTGGGTACTTTTATTTTCCTCTTCCTTAGTACATGATAGAAGCATAGATGTTTCCTTTCCCAGTTGTAAATCTGTACTTAAATGTGTATGTCTCTTTGATAGTACAAATCCTGCTGTGAAATCTTGCTGTGAACTCTATATTTTGGAGGGTTGGACTAGATGACCCCAAGGTCTCTTTCAACTCTCCCAATTTGTGGCTGTGTGGAAGGAACATGTGTCTGCAAGCATTGGAGGGTAATTCCTAAATTCTGGTGTGCTGGTGGAGTTGAAATTCAGCCTAGCTTTGCTCTTTAGTTTTAAAAGGTGAGAGGTGAAGCTGTGATGTTTTGAAGCACAACTGGTAATATCAAGCATTTGAGTGATTACAGTATTTATCATTTTGTCTACAAAAATCAAACTTAAAAGTCTATTCAAAGTTTAAGCACATAAAATTCATATAGTCAAGTAGAATGAGCCTTAACCATCCATCCTGTAAATAAAGGACAGAAAAATTTGTCTGCAAATGGTGAGGCTGAATGACTGAGAATATAATAATAATAATAATAATAATAATAATAATAATAATAATAATAATAAATCCTATGAATTCTGACTCTCTGGCCATCTCCCCCATATATAAGGGCGTGGCATTGTTCCGCGAATAGCCAGAGGGATATTAGCCCTTTCCTGTACATAAAGGAAGCAGTCCTTTGCTTGGGCTGCAATTGCTAGCTTTGGTGAATACTTGAATTGCTGAGTTTCTCCTTTTTGTTTTAAAATCTAACCCTAATTTTAAAATCTACTCCATACCCTTCCCTTCCCTTATTCAAATGGTGATTTAGCCAAAGGATGCAACATTTTCAATAGTATAAAAGGTTTGCTGAGACATGAACTCTGCACATACACAGAGGCTAGATCAGTCAAAAAAAAAAAAAGGAGAGAAAGAGAGAGAGGAAAGGGGGGAACTGTAGGGTGGAGAGAGGAGGTTTTGAGAGCTTGCCTGCAGGGAGAAGCTTATCCAAATTTCCTTATGAAAAGAACTTGAACCATTGAGGGAAATCACCCTAAATGTTTCTTTGCTCCAGGGGCTACGTAAGACAAAAGGGTTTAAAACAAAACTAGCCCATCAAAAGTCAAGAGCTTTCCAGGTTCCAAATCTTAACATGCCAAAATTCTTTTCACAGGTAAATATCAAAGCATTCCCCCCCTCAATGGGATTTAAATCACAGACTTTGTTTGTGTGCATTTTAGGAACAGCATTTCCTGACAGGCTTCTCACATGAAATAATTTTCCCTTTTAACAGGATATGTGAACCCCAATAACAAGGTGTTTGTCCCTTTTTTCCTCCCACAGCAACTTTCTTTCTGATCTGTGAAACAAGTCTGAATCCCTGCTATATTAGTAATTTCCATCTCTTTGTGGCTTTGACACTTTTAAGTTACAAATAATCTGTTTTCATTTATTTAATCTGTTTTTCCATGATGTCTATGAAGTTAATCGAAGCATAACCAAACATTGTTTGTGAAATGGTACTTGTTTACCTTTGCCTGAGCATCTCTTATTAATTCTGTCATTTTGGCTAGTTCAAGGTACTTGCACAATTTTAAATTGCCATTCATTTTCTTGGTATTAAGTCATTTTCCAGTATTTTCCTATTAACATTTTAGCCGATGTTGTCACATCAAGAAACACTCTTTTATTTTCATTGTTACTTCAGAGTTCTTAAAATTGTGTGTCTTAGCATTATTTATTTTTGGTTCCTCATAGGTCATTTTGTGTCTGTGTGTTTTACTTTGGGGACATGTTCATCACATGTTGAAAGTCAGTTTCATGAAGTTCTTTTATCAGATAGCACATGGTGAATTTAAAGTTTTTCCCCCATGGTTTTCCCATTTTTTCAGTCTAGTAGTAA